TTAATTTGCATAAGGTCTCTGGGTTACAATCATATTTAGTGCATAATCCTGGTTTAGACTCAGTATCCAGCTGTAACCTTATTCCACAATTTGAAGTTAACAGATTTTAAACAGCATTTATTTTGGACCTGCTTTGGACCTTGCTTAGACCCTAGTTTAGTCCAGGGTCTGATGTAGTCTAATTTTTGAGTTTTTAAATTCCAAGAACCACAGATCTGCCCAACTGTCACCTTATTTCGTGGTTTGACTTTTGACATAGTTAAAACATTAAAGACACCTTATTTATTTATTTAAATGTCTAAAGTTGTATGTAAATGTTTATTTGTGTTTTTCATGTTGTAGTACTCACTTGTGAATGAGCCCCTTATTGAGCTGACCAACCCCGGCGCCAGTGGCTCCCTCTTCTACCTGACCAGTGATGATGAATTCATCATCAAAACCGTCCAGCACAAAGAGGCCAAGTTTCTTCAGAGATTGTTGCCTGGATACTACATGGTGAGACACTGACGAATTCTACTCAATACTATCCCTGTGCTTCGTGTTATAGGCACCATTTTGAGAACTTTTTACCCTTGAAGACCCTGTTTTCAACTATTAGGCACTATGGTCCTAATTTTTCAGCATTTTGAAACTGATGGATAAGTATAAAGAGATAGAGAGTTTTCTTTACATTGTTTTTCTTATTATTTAGACCAGTTGTGTTTAATTTGAAATTTTTTCAGTCACAAATCTATAATAACTATCACTGACATTTGCAGCCTCCAAACACTAAGAAATAGGCTACCCACATTATCATGAGAGACTGTTATTAAATTGATAATTTATTTTGGGAGAAAGGCAAGGATAGATTCATTGTAGAGGCCAACAAATACAAATCTGCTTTTACAGTTGCATTTGAATGATATCATGTTTTGTTTAAGCCCAACTACATGAGCTTTCATTTATTCCATATATTATTCTGTAACTCTGTGACCACCAGATTGAAAATGACTGATTTTACTGAACTCAACTGAACTTACAACACCCTGTCTTGACACGGATATGTATTGTTTTGCCTTCATTTGGTTAAGTATATTTCCTATTAAACTTCACAAATCCGGATACACTGTGTACTATAAATACACTATAAATACATTCAAGGCTTTGTCAATGTCAAACAGATACAGTACATTAGATACAGAAAAAGAAGGAATGTACAAAGTATTCATTTATACATCTTGGCCATGACCCACTTTGGAGCAACACACACTTGATGTTTGATGACCTCAGCTGTTCTTTTTTTCTTTACATTTACAGTTTACTATGTATGCTATTTGAGATTCATTTATTTTTGTAATTCAGATGTCATCTAGTTAGCTGGTTAATTAGTTTATTTGCCATTTGTATTTTAAAACCATACTGGAAAACATGTGCAAAAAGCTCAGAGTGCACCATGAGATAATAAAAAACAACCACATGACCACAATATTACAGGCAAAATATTGACTCTATGAATGACGACGAGAAGAGAGACAAGAAGACTACCTTTGTTTATCAGTTCTCCAAACTTAACATTAACTGTTGAAAAGAAGAAATACGAGGCATTTTTGTCTTTTTTTTCTCATATTTGTAAGTGAAGTTTTTCCACTGTGATCCTGATAAGCACCTGACCTGAACTTTGACCCACTGAAGCACTCATCTTCCTCTCTTTAATAACATTAACTATATGTCCTTTTTACCTCACAGAACTTGAACCAGAACCCCCGCACGCTGCTGCCAAAGTTCTACGGCCTTTACTGTATCCAATCAGGAGGCATCAACATCAGGCTGGTGGTAATGAACAATGTCCTGCCTCGATCTGTGAAAATGCACTACAAGTACGACCTGAAGGGCTCCACATACAAAAGGAGGGCGTCCCGCAAGGAGAGAGAGAAGTCCTGTCCCACATACAAAGACCTAGACTTTCAGGACATGCATGAGGAGGGCCTTTACTTCGACACAGAGACATACAACAACCTGATGAAGACTCTGCAGAGAGACTGTCGGGTAAGTTTAAAATTACATTACTCTAATATCTCTTAAAATACATGTGGCAGGTTTTCAGGTTTTTTATTTTTTTATTTAGTTTAGTGGGATAGTACCTAAATATTTATTATATTATAATATTTGTCATTTATTGTTTGCCTCTTGTTACCATTGTGAGTGCTAGGTTATTGAATTACCTTGACATATGTCATAATGCTGCCCATGTCCAACCCGGTTTTAAATTTATAAACTTTACCAGAATAAAAATATATACATATTAAAAAAAAATAAAAAATCAATGTATAGTCATATGCATTTTAAATGGCCCCAGCACTTCTACAGATGTTTGAGCAGACTATATAGAGGCATATAATCTGGACATATCATTCACCACATGGTCTTATGTTATCTGTCATATGAAGAGCTCAGAGCCCACTGAACTTAAGCTACAGGAATGTAGAATAACAACGGCTAGAGACTTAAGCATTTTTTTCTTTGGTTATGAAAACCTATAGACATGAAATGTATTATAATACTTAGCCTGGGACATCAGAAAGATAATATAATAATAAATGGCCTAAAGTGTTTGGTTGTAAAAAACTATATACTATTCAATATTCAGTTTTGAGGTATATATATAATACATTGCATTGTATATGTTTTTCAGAAGTAGTATGAGTGATTTTTTGTTTTGTTGTGTTATCAAAATTAATTGAGTATCAAATTGAGTCAGAAATGTTAGTATTGAAGGACATTAACTTAACCTAACTATAGCCACACTAACACAATAACAGTTCTGTGGTGAACAAATGTGATTAAGACAGATCTTGGAGCCAGAGAGACCTGGTTTAAAATAAGCGTGTACATTTTCTTTAATTTCAGCTTTGAAACTCATGGGGTATTGTTGCAGTTCCTGTTTTGTTTTTGTTTTTTTTACTTGGCAGATGCTTTTACTGGTAACAGTGCTAAGAATGAAGGATCTAGGACAGCCCAAAGACTGCTGAATTGCATATCACTTTCCTTCCTCTTCCAATGAGGTCATCTTCAAACTGAGAAACAGAAAACAATGAAAACTACAGTGGACAGGGAAGCCCCATTTACAGTTAAATTAAGTGTGATGATACTGCAAAAACACAAGCGTGGTAGATGACGCTTACTGAAAGAATTAAAGAAATTAACTGCAGACTGCTGGCTTAATAATTTTTGGTTCTTAAAATAGGAATGATAATGAAATTTTAAACTCTATTTCAGTACTAAGAAATAGGCTAATTGTCAATACCAAGTTTTATACCACAATTTTAAGTATAATCTTCTGTCCTTTGTTGTTAAACTATTTAAATTGACAAACCAGATATTTTAAGTTGTTAGGTTGAAAAGTTTGTGGATCACTGACATTTGACAGTGTATAGCTTTTGCCTGATGCACTTCTAAATACATTACAGACTCTATGGCAGGTTAATGGTGTTTAGACTGAAAGCCCCCTGTGTCTTAATCCCATTATTTCTGCTTGATGTGAAGTAATTATGATCATATTATACTTCAGCTTATGCTACATCTGACCAGATTGTGACTGTGTCTGTAAAAGGTGTCCCACATGCCCTGTCACATGATGCAGGCCTATTATCTAACAGTTTAACAAGCTTTATTATAGCACCATATTTTCCCTGTTTTAGGTGTGGGAAGAGAAGGAACTTTGATAGTCCGATGGATACTTTTTATCAGTTCCAATTGATTTATTGTAAGGGCGTTAGCTGTAATGAATAATGTATTGCAGTCTGTTAGTTAAGCAATTACCTCGTTTTCATACAAAACACATGCTTTCAATTTTGGTTATTTTGTATTTACTGTGGAGTTAAATTTGGTGTATGCGGCTTCCTTGTTTTACCCTTTGAAGTTATCAGTGCCTCTACATGTCCAAAACAACTGTCGCTTTCAGACCTGGACTTTCTGGGAAGCCTTTGTTTTTAATGACACTTAAATGGGCATTGTGTAACTTTTCTGATGGAGGTTCCACCATGTGCTTGTCTCCATGGTGATGTTATAGCTTTGTTGTTCCACAGTATGGCATTACACAAATATATCCGGCATTTATTCAATTATATTTATTTCTCAAAACTACCTCAAAAACATGCATTATTACTGTGAGCTGGCCTTCTTCTTCACAGATCTGACCTGTAACTTGGCCAGCTGATGTGGCTCCTTGTCACCATGGAGATAGTTAATTGAAATGCCATACTGTAGAACATTCCAGGAAAAAAAACAATAACATTTACAGGGAGTCAAGCAGGTGGCGGACCCTCTACAAGAAAAGTTACTCAGGGCACCTTTAAGCTTTATCTTCTCTTATCTTTATTCATTTTATATATTTTCACTTAACAAATTCTCAAACTAGAAATTTGCTTAGTTATGCTTTAGGAGATTACAACATAAAAATGGAAGTCTCGTTTACCTGTAAAACATCCACTGTCTCTACATTTGGTAATCTGTGTTTATGTTCTTTATTTTTACCTTTTAATATTACGCATTCAAACACATTGGGGCTTTTACCCTCTGTGGCCTCCATATGCGGCAGACAATTTGTTTTTGTCACAGCTTCCTGCTCTCTCCTCTTGAGCGGGAAACAAAGTGCCCTCTAAGCACAATCTTTTTCCATGAGTAAGCAGCTAACCCCATCACCCCACTAGAGGCTGTGAACTACTACACACAGGCAGTCGCATGTGTTATAACAGGGTTGAGCATAGCATGGTAACAGGGTGATATATACTGTATATATACTGCAATGTGAATCAGCTCAGAACTGGTTGAAAAGTATCAAGATTTCAGTGAGAATGCTATAGGATATGTATCTGTGAAGCCATGACTCAATGAATGGTGGTACGTAGCCTACATCATATTTACATCATACTTTGTAGGGGGTATTTCTATGGCACAATGTTCATTAGTTACCATGGTGACACAATGCACGCATTAGCAATAACTACTAAAAAAGTCTTTAGATTGTCTGAAAACTCAAGAAAAAAACACACATTTTCAGGAGCCTGTAATCAATATGAGCATTCATGGTCCTGTTCAGGTGACTGATTTTCAACCAAAAAAAGTAAGTGACTGCTTGTGACTGTAATGTGTGAGAGACTTTCGTGTAACAGCACAAATCATCTCACCTGTTATAGTTCCGTTTAAGTCAGCTTGTTATGGTCAGACTGTGTTAAAATAAAGCTCAGATTGAGTAACAAAGCTTCAGACAGAGCAGAGTTTACAGTTTTGTATCATACCCCTGGGGAATGTTGATGGCATGAGCTACATCAAGTCTCAATAATGTTAATGTAATGTTAGTAAAAGTAAAGGTTGTTTGTGTTTGTGCTTTATTAAACAATTGAATTGATTCAATTTATTCCGTGTTGAGCATGGTTGTTAGTTTGATATTTTTATTGCTGTGAACTGCAAACTGAATGATCAAGTTAATGATTGATTAAATGATTCATAGCTATGACTCTTGCCTTTCTTATTTAAACTTGGGGATCTTTTTTTGTTTGTTTTTTAATATGCATATATTTCAACATTACACATTACATTACATTAGAGCCTAGCACCCTAGCACCAAATTTGCCCATGTAACTGCTAGTATTGTGAGCTTCATTTGACTGGAGTCGAATGCTATGGGTGACATCCCACTCCCTTAGTCAACTTCTTTATATGGTCTATGAGATTATCTTACATTATTGTTATTGTGTCAGTGGCATTAAATAGTTTCAGCATCATCGTTTTCTCTGTATACCTCTGTAACAGTATATTGCACTTCCAAATTTGTTACCGTGGCAGGCCTAACAAGGACAAAGTATAAGATTTTGCAGTCTGATGAACAGATGAAGGCGTGTAGACATCTTTTTTATGTGTGACAGGAAAATGCTGGGTATGCACACTGGTCTCCATTACTCTGCAGCTCCCCTGACACTGCCCAAATGCCAAAACAACACACTGCATTAATAATTCATGAATCCCATAATAGAGTGACTTACAGGGAGTGGTGTGGGTCCATAACATCCTCCTAAGTCTCTATGCAGATCATTATTCCTGTTAAATCTGATTTACTTGGCAGGAAATACAGTTTAGCTCATTAATCTGCAGGAATAGAAACATACACAGTGGAGTAATGGGGCAGGCATGTGTTGTTGCATAAGACCCAGTGTTGCCAATTCATAATGACAGTTCACTATATAACTGTCTCAAGATCCAGTGACAATAATGAGAATAGTCCAAAAGGGGCTGGTTAGAGTCACTTTAGATGTAGATGTATAAGATGCTGTTGTTATTCTTCTAAGATATATTTTATATTACTATGGAAATTATGCCTGTGTTTTATTTTATGCTTTCTATTTGTGGCATAGTGGATTGTGTTATCAGAAGAATTCAGATCAGAGTTATATTGCTGAGTTAACATTTTCTTAAAAGGCCTTTCCAGGAATAGACAAATGATAAAACAGGCTATACAAGGAAATCCCATTTCTTTATGCGATTGTTTTTGGAAGAACATTCAGTCTGCCACTAGATATTAATTTGTGAATACATTATTTGAATATTTAACTTGGTCCAACTGATAATGCTGATAATTTGTTGCAATGAATATATTTCGCATCGGAATTGCTTGGACCTTTGAAGCAGAAAATGTCTAAAGGAAGTACATCATATTAGAACATTCAGACATTCCTGATTTGTTTTCAGTCTTGACTCTTGGTTCTGTTATTCAGAGGTTTCAGTCTTATCCTCGGAGACTGTTACATACCCAAATATATTTTGGGTACAGTTGGGATGTAGAGGTGGGCAGATTATCCAAATATTGAGTCATGAATGTTGTTTTGATTTTGAAGATCAAATGTTGCTTTCATATTGCAAAGTATTAATATTGAGTGTATTATTTATGATAAAAAGAGCTGATTAAAAAAATTTAAATGTAAATTTCCCATTAAGCTTAATTGATATGTCTGCACTAGGAAAATTTTACAGTCAATGTTGTGATATGTGTATGTATATTTAAACAGTTTTGACATAATGAATGCCAGGATACTGCTGCAACAACAACATTATTATATGGTCAATGTTGCCCATCGCTGAAACTTAAAGATAAAATTAAAAACTTTATAATTAAAGTAATAATACAATATAGTGAGACAGCACATGTTTGCTGTAAATGTCTCCTGTGTGACTGATGGTGAATACTGTGGGAGTGAATGCAAATAGTGGATATGGAAAAAGGAGCAGACAAAGCCACACTATCAGGGTACTTCATTGAGAGTATGCCCTTGTGAGTTGTGTGTAAGTGTATAAAAGATGACCTTTAAAGCACCCATATTACACAGTTTTTGGATTTTTGTTTCCAAAACATCTACCTGATTTTGAGTTCTTCTCTTGAATAGAAAACACTTTGTTCCACCTTGTGGTGTCATGTGATAATACTGCTCCACACGCCTTCTATAGAATAAATTGAATGATTTTGGTCCTGGAATTGCCAATCTTGACTGCACAAAATGTAAAAGGTAGCTGTTAACTTGAAAATAGACGTTTTGTGACATCACAAGGTGGAAAAGAGCATTTTGAGCTTTGGAGATGTAGACAGACTAATAATAAAGGTTATTATAACATGTCTTAAAACTTACAAGAGTCAAATTTGTGTAATGTAGGACCTTTACGATAAAACCATTTCTAAAGAGAACAACTGAATGTATGGAGCATTTTTAAAGAAAATATGCAAGAAGGGAAATCATTAGTTCACTACAGGAACTTTGCTGTAATGTTGAGTCTACAAACATCAAGAGTAGTGTTACAATTTTACATGAAGTAATATATCCACAATATGTTCAACTTATCTGATGTTGTAGCTCCCAGTCAATCAGTCATGCATAATGCATTACCATGGTCTTTTTTTTTGCTCATGCTAGAACACTAATGACAACAGCAATGTGGGAAAATGTGTGTGTTGTTTGTTTTTAGTAGTACATTTTGTGTCACGTCTATATAAGGTTGTCAAAAAATATATTTACTAATCAGTAGTAAAACTAGTATTACTACTATAAACTAATCAATAATTTGCAGTTTTGGGCATTTATATATCCTTAACAAAAGCACCCATTTCTTTACAATCTGCTTCTGAGAGAATCTGACCTGCTGCAGTCTGAGTTGTCTGATAAGCATCAATCATGGTGAATAAACAATGGACCTCTTCCAGATCAAACCCAACAGTCGATGCTGTTTTCTCATGAGAGTGGCACAGACAGGAGACATGCAGTCGTGGGGTGAAAGGCCCCTCACACAGGTCAATGTGTAACACTGCGGAGAAACACCTTGTTTATTTAGCGCCCACCTGGTTTACACACAGACTTCCTTTGAGGTTTCTGAACTGCTGAGATGTACAATTACCTACACAGGTGATGGGGATAAAGTCATTTACTTAGAAAACACATGCATTTCTTTATGAGTTATCTCTCAAATCAAAACTTATTTATAGTTATAAATATATTATGATATTATATAATATCATTAGTCTATTATGGTCACTATTGCAACTGTGTTAGTGAATGTATTGAGTTATTTTTCATGTTTCCCCATTGACTGTGCTGTGCAGGTCCTGGAGAGTTTTAAGATCATGGACTACAGCCTGTTGCTGGGAGTGCACGTGTTGGACCAGCACCACAGGGACAGTAGCGAGCCAGGGCAGGCAGGGGGCGATGGCAGGAGGCCGCAGGGCCAGCGGGTGCTCTACTCCACTGCCATGGAGTCCATCCAGGGAGACGGCAAAGCAGCTGAAGTGCTTAGCACGGACGACACGTGAGCTACTGCCTTGGAAATGTTCATATCATCTACACATATATGGACACACAACTCTCGCACAGAGCTAGGCGTTAGCATAACCTTAGCTACCCTAATACAAACAAGCCATCAGTCGTGTATTTACTGTGACAGCACACACCAATATAAACCCTGTCTGAGCCTTTCCCAAACAAAAGTAAAAGAGAACTGTCTGTTTGAACAGGCAACTCTGAAACTGTAGCTTTAGCTCATGGGTTTAATGTTTACTTTGAACATGCTCCTCAATACGACTCATTACAGACTAAACACATAAACATATAGAGCATGAAAACATGTACAAGTTTAATATGTTGTTCATTGGGTTAATTTCTCTTCACTCATGGTTTTGATCATCACTCTAAGATCTGATAATATTGGAACATGCTTTCATGCAAGTAATATGGTTAGTCATGTAAAAGAACAGACCATGTGACCAAAGCTTTATTCATACGCTGTCCATAAGGTGTGAGGTCAAAGGTCATACAATGAGTTGGATGGAATAGGTAACCAGAAACTGATATTTTCAGGATGGGAGGGATTCCAGCAAAAACACTCAAAGAAGAAAAGTTGCTGATCTTCCTGGGAATCATTGACATTCTTCAGTCGTACAGGTAATTGAGCCAAGTGTTTGACAAATAAAGTGTAACAAACAGCATTAAGGGATTTTTGAAGACTAAGCTGTTTTTGTATTGTGGATGACATTTAGCTTTAGTATTGGAAAAAATACATTGTAATATTTTGTTTACAGATGCTAAAGAGGTCATAAAAGGGCACAGACTCCATGTAAAGCATTCAAAGCACAGTGGCAGAGGAAGCATGATGTTATTGGAACATCAGCGGATTTGTCACTGTTTATTCTGGATTTTTTCTGCTCAATCAAAGACAAACCTCAAAGACCAATGTTATATAATTGGACTTTGAAATGCTAAAAAGGGGATGGCTGTGCAGTATGTTGTGTGAGGAGCATCTGAGATTTGATGTGGCATAAAAAGAAAGGAACAGAGTTGCATAAGAGTTTTATTTTTTGCAGACTTATCAAGAAGCTGGAACACTCATGGAAAGCCCTGGTGTATGATGGCGTGAGTAGACATTTTCATTCAATTTAGCTACTGTTTTTATCAATGGGCTTTTCATTGTTGCACATTGCTGTTTAATAGAAGCTCCATTTTTGTGTGCCTCCAGGATACTGTCTCAGTGCATCGTCCCGGGTTTTACGCCAGTCGCTTCCTCAAATTTATGAGCACCAGAGTGTTCAGGAAGAACCAGCGTGAGTGTCCAATATAATGAAGAGCTATTTCTGTAAAAGAGATTACTGGACTGTTATTTTGTTTTTGTTGGAGGATTTAGCCTGGATCAAGCTTGTTTCACAATGAGTTATATCAATATATATTTCTCACACTAAGGCTGTCAAAAATTGTTACCCAGATACTAAACTAATCAATGCATAAACGTGTATTGAAACTAGATGCTCATTCAGTATTGAAAAAAAAAAAAATATATATATATATATATATATATATATATATATATTGTATTGCTACAACATAGAAATAGCACATATATAAAAATAGAAAAACTAGCAACCCTGAACTCAGCACTTTATTTACAGAATTTTTCACACATAATTTTTTTGATCATATTAATTACACTGACACTCCCTGTGGTTCACATTTTTATCTAACTATTATTTTAACCAAGAAAACCCCATTGAGATTTGTAGATCTATTCTAAGCCCTAATTGAATGTGTAGTCAAAATGTTAACTTTAATTAAATTCAGTGCACTATATATTAAGAGAAGCCCTTAATTCATCAGGACTTGGTTGTGATTATGTAGGTCTGTACAGTCTAAATAGTTGCACATGACAAAGTAAAAGGTTTCACTGGCTCCCTTTTTACAGACAGAAACAGGGCCATGAAATCCAGTAGCGATCAGTTTTGCTTATTTCATGCTGACTGCAGTAATCTGGCATGTGGAGCTCGTGGAACCCAAGACTGATCCTCTGCACCAAGCTTCTTAAACAGTTTATCTTCAGCTCCCAGTGGGTCCAGACAGGTCTATCTTTGTATCAGCATTTTCATCTTTATGTAAATAAACTGTATGTATAACAAAGGTCTATACATGCTAAAAATGTTCTAATTCAGGGACATAATCCCTTCATTCAGTCATAAAACTCTAGTTGAGCAAACAGAAAAATGTGTAAATGTATCTGTAGTAATAACAGCCATTCTTCAATTTTTGTCTGGTTCTAAAATATAATTGTCTTCCTTGATCCTATGTATGCAAACTCAGCAAGATTGGAGGCATTTTTTTTAATTATTTATAATTTTGTTGACATATGAGATACAAAATTCAAAGACAGCAACAATAACAAATGTCCAAAATATTGTTAAAAGACTTACAACTGAGGTGCCTTTAGGCGATCTCTGTGAAAGAGTGGAAAAATGCATTTGGAAGAAATTACAATGCCCCATAGAAATCCAGGAACTAAAGTTTATTCAGCTACATAATTAAACATCTTTAGGTGCAGATTGGGCAATGTCCTTGTTCACTTTGAAAACTAACTGACTAAAGCTCTAAAACCTTTAAAAAAATGTTTATAATGGTGTATTTTGTGGTTGTCCGTGCAGCTCTACGGTTCTCCCCTTCAAAGAGAACACGCACATCTATCCCAGCTCTGAAGTTTTCCTCCCAGGAGATCCTTTCATCCCAAACAGACGAGCGGAGTGAGGAGGACCGGCTGGGAGGGGCCCGCAGCCTGGCTAGTCTAGATGGACAAGGTATCAACTACAACAGCAACTTTACACATTTAGTTCCTGTTTTATTCATTGGCACCCATTAGTTAAATAATAGTAGTGGCAATGGCATGAGAGTTAGTCTTCACTCTCCGGAAGAAACATGGGTGTGGGTCTTTACAGGAAACACAAAGTCAGGTGACCAGTTTGTGAACTCCCCCACTGTTATTTTTAACTTTGCTGAAGCACTTCTTACACACACACCCTTCCAGAAGTGACACTTTCTCATTCAGTCGCGCACAATAGTGGCCCACTGCTTTCCTGTAACTGCTTGTCCAGTAAACCTCAACATAAAAGTTATATTTATACTAATACATGAAAATGCCTGTATAAAATGGGCTAGTTTCCAACAGTTACTCTTACAAACACCACAAACACTGAGGCAAGGCAGAGAAGTGTCTTGCCAAAGTACAGACCAGCAGTAGGTTGTGGTGAGGGTTCAAACCTCCAACTTCAGTTTAGTGGGTGAATACTACACCACACTGCCACTCAGGCATCATCCTTCCTATTCATGTTAAATTGAGCCATACAAAATAAAAAGGATTTCATTGATTAATGAGAGTTTCTAAGTCGGCCTTGTGCTTCCACTGAGGTCATATGACTCTCTCTCCTCAGCTGTGTTCGGGTCATATCGGCGCCCCGATCTGGTACCTGTAACCCCCTCCTTTTACGACGGGTCCTCCATGGGAACCATCTCCACCTCCTCCATCTTTGTCAACGTAGACAACCAAACAGATGAAAGGTACGATACTGAAAACTCTCCATCATGAATGTGGATCTATGGATGAATGCGTCACTTAATTTGAACTGCATTTTCACAGTTTAAATTTTCCACAGCAGAGTAAACACAACATGGACACAAATGCACATAATGAATATGTAAATATACACCTCTTACAAAATCCCCTATGACACATAGAGCAGGTGATCTGTCTGCAGCAGATATATAATAGTATATATTTTATTACTATTATTAAGGTGATCAGTATTATCTACTAATATGTCATAATATTATATAATATGTTTCTTTTATTCTGACTCCAGTGTCGAAGTTGTACTGTAGGCGCATATGATAATAGAATCAAGCACAACATTGAATTTCTTATGGGTTTCGGTGGGATGAAGAAATAGCCATTGATGTTCTAGAAATTAGCAACTCAAAACAAAGAATTATTCTATGTTTTGGTTGATCAGAGTACGTAAAACAAGCGACCCTTAAATAAGCTCTTTCATTGTTTTCCAATTGAGTGGAGTGTTATAGGTTCAGTTCATACACCATTTTCTGTCCCCGTTACTTGAGTTTGCCCCTATTTTCTTCATCAGTCACCTGCTGTCCTGACATGGTTCTGTCAACTCTCCCTATTAATTTTTAAACAGCATCTTTGTCATCCTCTCTTCTGCCATTATTGTACTGAAACACACAATACAATATCAGCATGTACTAGTATTACATAGTGTACTATGGGTGCTCATATACACAGACACTGTTAAGAAGGAGAGCCAGTACAATGACATAAAAATTACAATGGACAAAAAAAAAAAAATCTTATATTTTGCCCTCTAGTGGTTTCTATCTAACCAAGTTCATTTTTTTTATATACTACCTTGTTGACCTTGAAAACGACCAAATGTTGTATTAGTCAACAAATTTTTTATTTAGAGTATAAGAAATTATATGTACAACAGCTGACGAGAAGGTAGGGAGTAAATCCTGTGTTTAATGTGCCTTTTTTCTATATAAATACAAGTTTTTCTGGTACTTTTCTGTATATAAACAAATGTATAAATAGATGTTTTTGCATGAACTCAAATGCAGTTGTAGTATTTTTGAGTGCAGTTACAGTCAGATCATAGAGAGCTTTTGCCTTGCCCCCCTTTAGTTGGCTAAAAGAACCAATACGGCATGTCTTTAGTCAATCAAGGACTTGTGTCATTGATGACAGCCCTAAAAATATTAAGTTCTTCCCCTCGCTGTCTCTTTCTCAGGGATGATGGTGGGTCTAGCTCCACATTCACCCTGGAGGACAGCGCCATCTGCCTGACATCAGAGCAGAGCACTATGGATGTGGACATGGACAGAGACGATGGATCAGTTCTGGATGTCTACCTGGTGAGTTTTCTCCTTATGTAGCATCTGAGTAGTTTGATGTGCATTAACAGTGGTCTCTTATCATCTGTTATAGTGAACATACTCCTCTACAGTCTTCAGCCAATCATCTGACAATCTGCATGTCATCATGAAGACCACAGGGTCTTGATTTCCAGTGCTGCTAGATTCGTGTTGCCACTCATTTTAGCCAAGAGAGAAAATACTTCAGTGGACTAAAGAAAGAAGTAATCCACAGCTGTCTGACCCTATGTGACATTCCGTTATGTTGAATGAGCAAAAAGAGCTTTTAGAGCATGCATTTACTCTGTGCCATTAAGTTTTATATGTGTATGTTTATATGGCCCATGCAGAGGTTCAACTGTACTGTAACTGTTACAGTATGCATTTCTTATCGTTTTCCTGCTGACCTTAGAGGAATGAAAGACACTTTAGAGTTTACAGCTGCTTTCATCATTGGTCCACAAAAGTTTACAGTAATTTGATGATCATCTTGGCCTCTGCGCAAGACAGGACCAGGAGAGACATGCCTGATAATGCCAACAGAAGTGATGAGCCGATCGAACTCTGTGGATCTTAAAACCAAGGCCAAATGAACTGTTTCTGTTGTGAAGCAGGCCTCCTTGCCCACGGCTCTGGTTTCTTGTGCTGGATTCAAACCAGATCCTTGCCTCCATCTTGAGTCTAGTTACTGCAGACTGGACAGAGTATGACCCATTTGCTCTTTACTAAAGGCACTTTTGACACCACTCTGGATAACTGTAAAACAAGTTCCGTTCATTGCTTTGGTGGGGCTAATAATGGGTGTGTTACAATGCACTTTTACTTTTCAAATGACTCAGAAGGAGCATCGTAGATCATTGTGATGCATACACTTCATGCTTTTTCTCAGGATATCTAGTGTGTCCTCTTAAAGAAGCAATGAGACTGACTCTATCAAGACCATAGCTAATGCTTATGTTCATCAGTGCAGACAATAATTTATTCTGTAAATTTTATTACTTCATTTTCTGAATCTTAAATCTTTGAATGTATAAGGCAATGCATATTTATAGAGAAGAGAATATAAATAAACTATGAACCAACGGTTCTTGTGTAGTCTGTGTAGTGTTTCATTCCTAGGACACATAACTTTTGTCAAACAATTTTAATTTACAGATTATAGTCAAACTGCAGTACATTTAGTGCAAAGAATACCATTTCTGATGTAGGAATTAGATACCAAGTGTGTAAATAAGAAAATTTAAATGTTAATTGGATTTGCTCATAAACCATGTAGTTATGAAGAAGACAAAGTTAAATCTTTACTGAGCTATATTAGCATCTGATGTACTGTCACATCGATCAACAAAAGAAATACCCACATTAAAGGGGTAAGAAGCACAAGTTACGCACATGAGGTAAAGTGAAGTGAAATGTCTCTGTCCCCATTCATGACGCGGCTGTTAAATGCACATTAGTGTGTAAACCAGGACCTGTGTTGGGCCTAGGATCTAAGGCATCAGGGGCGTGGTCAGTCAGTGGTCTGCGATGGTGAAGTTATGTTTACAGTATGACTGAATGGATTACACTGGGATTAGATATTTCCCAAATTACATCTTTAATTTTCCTGCATAACAACAGCAGGAGAGAGCAGTTCAGTCGCACACAAAAAAAAATATAAAAACGGAAATAATTTCATGGAGAAGAAGAACCTGGGCAAATAACAGTATTTAGTAAAAAAACTATCCTTGTAGTATTGGTTGCAAACAATTTGGCTTTTTAAAAAAGACACTGCAATTGATCTACAGTCTGTTCCAGCATCAAATCAATCGTCATCAAATTTCAATATGTCTTAATATTCTGCTCCAGGCCTTCTTGGTCCACTACTGTCTGCAAGTTCAAGCATTTAACAGTCAATTCACATTTCACACTGATAAAGTAACATTGTTTATCTGTACAATGTGTTGTGTCCATGGTGTTCTCCAAAAGCTGCTTATCCTAATGTAGAATCTCTAAAACCTCCAGTAAAACAAGTCTTCACTGGAGACATAAAGAAGGCAAAAAGAGGTGATTGTTTACCTCCCTTCAGGATATCTCTCCCATAGTAGTTATTTTAGCAGCAAAACAAACGGCTGAAATACTAATGATTAAAGTGAACCCCAAATTCAGTAAGTTTATAATTATATAAAATATACAAAACAATTTACAAAAGCAAAAATGGTGGTAGCAACCAGTCAAAAACATTTAGAAACTCTATCGATAGAAAGATGGCCAGGAAGATGGATTAAAGCCATATTAACTTCTCTAAGCAAAAATCTGGATCCGGGCGATGCAGCCTCTTCTGTTCTGACAAATGCATGACTCATGAAGTCTCTGACAGTCACTTAGGGCTGAACCTGTCTCCTCTGAAACTTTAACAATCCTGGAAAAAGTCACATGAGTTTTTATTTGTTTAACTAATCATGTAAAATTATTAGTTGTAATGCGCTGCAAGTTAAACACATGTACTGCTTCACTGGCCTGATTTACCTTGTGTCATCAGAAGAGGATGGGATTCCCAGCAGTTTTTTCTTGGACGTAGGAGGTAAAGCGTTTAAGGAACTTGGGGTATTCTCTTTTGGCCACTGCTCTAAGAACTGAGGCTGGAGCCCAGCCACCAGGATTTACTGCATTCAAACACAATAGAGAATGGATTAAATCAATCAACAGGGTACTACTCATTTCTTCAAACAAGTTGTCAAGATACCACTTACCATTGGCAACATATGTGATTTTACAGAGGATGTTGTCTCTGCTAATTTCTTTGTCTCCCTCTGGTGGACTAACCAGAGTTTGGCAGATCATAGCAACATTGATTTTGGCACGAACACAGCGGTTTGTAGGCTGAAAGAAAAGCGTTTTCCCTAAGTAAAAGTCAAAGGACCCTTGTCAGATAAAAAATAAAAAGAGTGTAGTTACAGGGGCATTGTCATGATCCACAGAGAAGTTACAGACAAGCCACGTGTCAGGGTCGTTCTCATTTGTCGCCAAGATTTTTCTTATGGCCGACAGGTAAAGGACATCTCGCTGAGAGGCAGGCCATACCCTCTGAAACACAACCAGTCACTCAGTCATCAATAGGCAGAGTAATGCAATTTGAATATTTTTAAAATTACATAAAGTCTCTACCTTGTGTGTCTGATACACAATAATGGCATTATCTGACAGTGTTTCCACAACATTAAAGTTTTCTATGGTGGCTTAAAATAAAGAGAGACAGGCAGGTTAAAATACAGTTGAAGCTTGTTGTTATAATAAATGGTAAGGTGTCTTACTCTCCCAGTCCATTCGGACAGCGGTATCCCAAAAGTAGTGGCAGACTTCATGTCCTGTTACACCTTTCACAGCATGCGTCGCTTTAAGTGGGTCCAAAACAATACCATTTTCCTCCACCTCTCTTCTGTAAACCTAAAACAAAAGAAAGGGAGAGAAATATAAATGTCTTATATATTCATTGTAAGATTAAGTCAAATGAATCATCCTCCTCACCTTCATCTCGCCTTCCTCTATTACCAGCTGCCAGTTGGCATCACCGCCCACATCCTGAAGGGAGTAGGTCATGTGATTCTGCACCATCTCCTCCACCTGAGCAAAGTCAAAATCAGTTTCATCAACTTTACTGAAAACATATGCTCTTCTGCTTCAGGAGCCAAACCACAGACTGATGATACAAAGCAAAAAAATAATCAGGCCTATAAAAGGTATAATGTATGGTGATACTTTTCCTTATTTTTGTTCATAAAAAATATTGTGATTTATGTGGAAACCCATTAACAAACATATGTTATATAATGCTTTTTTCTCAGAGCCTGCTTATTTTTTATAATTAGTCAGTCTGGGTTCACAACATGTATGTCCAAGTATTAAACCTGTTCTGTGGGTTTAAAACTCAGTAAGGTACATAACAAGCATAACACGTGAAGAATGACTTTAGAGAAATGGTTTCACATTCATGCGACTAGGTTAATGTAATGTTAATGTAATGTTAATGAAGCTTTAGTCACTCCAGGAATAACTGCATCCTATACCAATGAATAGACAATGAAAGCTTTAGCAAAAATCCTGGAGAAAACTGGTTAGTGGACATTGTCAAGCCTTTTGCTTGTACGCTGGTTAGAAAAGGTGGAAACGGTGGGCAGTTACATCTCACTGTGACTGAAGAGAGCTTCTCTAGCGACTGTACCTGTGCGCTGAATCTGTGAATGTCATCTGAAGCACTGAATAACTCAATGGAGGACAGGGAAGAGGAAAAGCTATGAGGCTGGACAGCAGAGAAAGACAAAGAAAGAAGGAAAAAAGCATTTATAATAAAGGACAGGATAAAAGAGAGTTGTGTTTTTGTAAACATGAACATCAATCAAATGAACTAACCAACTTTCAGGGATCAAATCATTATTAAGTTATTTGCCACAATTGAATATTGCATTCATCAACAATAAATATTTTAAATACATAAATAGATGTACTGAGAGTTAAAAGACTGAGCACCTTGGCAGATAACCGATGAGAGCCGATAGTGGAATACGGGTCAGTGGCAGGAACCGGAGTGATTCGTCTGACTTTCTCAGACTGGCTCTGTGAAAGAAACACAGTCACAATACTTTTAAAATAATTTACTGATATCTTTAACATTAATTCCTACTCTGATTGTACATGTGTACACCAAGTTATACTGGGTTTCTGAGTTTATTATATTCTACATGCCTCTTGCTGGATTGTGAGGCAAAACTTATAAAATGCTATAGTAATTTTACACTGAGTAAATGTGGCACCTACTGCAGTAATTTCAAAATTAAAATTGTTATTACATGTTTGAAATGTTGGAATATTCATCAAGGAAATATGAAAATGAATTACCTGCTCATCTATTTTGTCTTGTCTATCCAATTCTGCTTCTACTGCATCAAAAAACTCATCCTCATTAATGAGACTATTGGGACCCTCCTGTGGGAAAGCAAAAACATGCACATGTCAGCAGAAGTCCTCCATGCTTGAAGGGCAAAAAGTAAACACTTTGACACAAAGAGCTTTTAAAGTATATCTTGCCTCATAGTCTGGACCTCCATAATGTGACTTCTTCTTCAATTCATTCATAGCACACTTGTAGGCCTCTTCTAGTCGTCTTCTTTTCTCCAGCTCCTAAAAACAAAGATTGCTATTTTAGTCATTAGTTATTATCATAAAACACTTTGGAGACACTATGCTGCATTGAAATATCTAATTGTGTATTCCTTTTGAATGCAATCTCAGGTGACAGAGGTACTGCTATAAAAAGAAAAAAAAAACACACCACATTATTCACCTGTGGGTGGAATTCAACAGGTTTTACCTAACGCTGTTATTTGATGCTAGGGGCAGAAGGCACTCTTTAGAGAAAATGAGAGCAAAGAACAACACACTGCTTCTGAACATGTAATTTAGCATGTTTTAGTAGAAGGAAGGGATTTAGCAAATCGAGGCTGACACTGATACATGAATTAAAACATTAAAATGTAATATTAAAGATGACCCTTGCAGGTAGAACTGAACTCGGCGTCTAAATACCTGAAAACCAACCGAACTGAAGAAATCACAGGAACATCAAACTAAGCTACAAACAGCAAAAGGGTTGGACCAAAATAAATTTCCAGTAATAACTCTATATAACCTTATGCCCAATCTACAATACATAATACAACAACTGTCTGATCTATGATCTGTCTAATGATCTATGACCAGAGATCTACGACCAGAGACCTACTGTAAAGAAGCGGCTGCAGGTCTGAAGAGGGATCCAGTTCTGAGCCTGGCATTTGAGAGATTCTTTCCTCCATTTTACAGAGTTCGCCGATGGCTTCCATAGAGTGCGCCAAGAAGTCATTTTCAATATGTAAGTAGGCCTATCCACGTGAGCACCCAGACTTCAACCTACTAACTGATAAGGCCGAGGTAGTTTTACCCAGTCTTGAGTCTGTGTGTGTTTAGGGTTGGGCAGCACTCCTTCTTACAAAGACGAAAAAAAAACAAAACTGGTTTGACAACATCAGACTGGAGGCAAGTTTTGTGACGAAACATATGTGAAGACTGTGCATTACTCAAAAATGCAGCATACATAGTTGTAAATTGTCTATTGCACACTTAAAGATTCTTAGTAGAAAAAACTTGATTTCACAAAATGGTGTGAACATTATATTGCTTGAAATAGTGCATTATTGCTCCAATTGCAGACATTTTAGACATGGCATCACCAACTTTTAACTCAGAAATTGCTCTACAGTTGTGGCTGTGGGCACGCCCACTGTCAATCCAAACTAAGAATGAGTCACATGATTCATTGTTAATTCATTAGCAGTTCAAAATACCTTATCCAGTCTTTTCTGCCAGCTGTCCTCGCGCTTCACCATGAGCTCGATACAATGGGACAAAGTGGACAGGATGCCTGCAGTGGTGGCTTTGAAGGTAATGGCTTCTCCCTTAAAATCAATACCATTCATATCTTTGGGGCTGGCGGGAGGAAACACTAGAAAAACAAACAAAAACAACTATAACAAAAACAACAGCAGTGCATCTAAAAACTAGGGGACAGTTTATCACACACTCACATTTCTCTTTGCTGCCATTGTTGTTATGGTTACATTCGGCGTCGGTTCTTGATGTTGCAGGGAAATTCTCCTCATCTTCGTCCTCTTCAACTATTAAAATGAATAAGTTAAGTCAAAGCTAATTTCCTAACACCTGATGTGTCTCACAATTTTTGTTACCCGTATCTCTTTGAAATTCATCTCTAGAGATGCCATCAGCACAGGAATCAAAGTATTTCTGCAGAGTGTCCACTTGACGACAGAGGATATCCCGAAAAGTTTCCATTTCTGCCAATTTCTCACGCAACCTGTGTCCTTTCTGAGTCAATACAACACAAGCTGAACTTAGAAAACATCTGGTAAAGTAAAATATAAATGTAACATTTTAAACAGACTACGATCAATGTGTGCTAGGAGAGGTACCTTAAAGGAGGATGAGGAGGTGGCAGATAAGGCACTTGCTGCTGATGTAAGTGACAACATCGAACCATGACGTCTCAGACTGGTTTCAGAGCCATAACCAGACTCGGCCTGAAACAGAAGGAGACAGTGCAGTGTGGTAAATGTGATAATCCAATAACAAGAGCAGAATCACTGGACAACACAACAGATCCATGGCATTTTGGATCAGATTTTATAAAGCCATTATTACTATTCAAGGATTTGTTGTTACAAAATGCCCGGTGTACAGAAGGGTGGCATGTTGTTGATCAGAAGAAACCAATTCTAGAAAAATAAATAAACTCTCAGGTTACATGCTGAAAGAATAAATGTTGATGATTTTCATGCTGGTATAAGACTTTGAGTCATCTATGAGAACACACGAAGCTCACAACCTACTCATTAAAGGACTTTTAAAAGTATTGAACACCCATCTTGCACTTAATGACCATTTAGTCAACTCTAACAATTCTCTTAGTACAATGAGTACATGGATGTTTGTTTTGAAATTTTAACTGCTAAGCAACTGTGATCAGGAGGATTGATTATGCAATTCATGCAAACAGAACAATGATAAGAGGCTGCTTAAAAAGAGCAGTGTTAGAGATCTGTGCCACAGTCGAAGTTCTGGAGGGCAGCGTGCTCATGCTGATGCCCACCATTGGACTAACCCCACAGCCAAAGCAGAGCAGAGCGCTGCTGCAGTCCCGATGGATCACTGGCCCAAACATGGCCCAGATGCTCCCAACACACAACTGAGGGATTCACATCCAATGATGCCGTTTCCCAGGACACAGCTGATGGAGCACACAAAACACAGAGGCTTGGGCTTTCCCACAGGAGCAGGAATGGCTGGTATCCAAATGGTGAGACAGGCAGGGAAAAGAAGCTACTTGCTGAACGCTGAAGCACGTAAAAGCCACAAGAAAAAGTCCTGTACTCACATAGATGGAGTCAGATACAAACACACAGCATTTACAGTCCTGCTCCATACAAACATCCACAGACCACACACCCTGTTACATGAAACCTTCTCCTGACGCTCTTTAAGTCCAGCATCCATCACTGAGAGCTCTCCTCCTCCTCTTCCTCCCCGTGTGGACCTGCACATGTGCATTAGAGGCAGAGCTGTCTGGGCTCTGGCTGTAAGACTCAGTCAAGTGCTAAATGGGTGGGCGAATGAAGCAGCCAACTGTACCGCTTGATCAAGAAATACAACAGGGAGAGAGAGAGAGAATAATGAGGGGTAGGAGGACTGTCTACAGCTTAATCGTTTGTGTCATTAATCTAACTAAATTTAGAAAGTCCAACCAACCTGAAGCAGTATCAGTTACTCAAATGTCCTGATTTGAAAATACTGTTATTTAACAAGTTTATGAAATTTTCAGTTTGTATGTGAAATCATTGTAAACTAATCTGCTATTCACTGTGAGCAGCACTTAAAATCACAATGTTTAGCACCACAACCAACACACCAACACTCCCACACAACAAAACATAAAACAGACCAATTAATAAAGTACTAAAAGAAATGTGATGACACTGATGAGGTAAGTCAATATACACTTAGTTTGATCAGAATCAAATGTGAACCATCCACTATAATACATTATAAAGAAGCAAACAGTGACAAATCACTCATCTTTGATGTGCACTAACCATGGCAGAATGCATGTCCTCTTCTGCCCAGATGGGGGCAGTGCAAATCATCAGAGCCACTGCAGTACTGCACTACTGCTGCATTCTTCTAAGGTTACTACAGGTCAAACACATACAACCCCAAATATTCTCACAGCATTGTCAATGGAAACAGACCCAAAGTGCTCCTTAAATACACACTCATCAACCAATCCAGCCATAGTACTCCAACATAACATAATCTACAAACAACATAACATAATCTATGAAACATACACACAAAATTGCAAGATATTCATATCAGAGAGTAAATAATGTAACAAATTAGTTATCCATCAATTCATATTTCAATTTATTTTCATACCACTCAAGTAAGCTACAAAAGCTACCACTTATAAATAACAGGAAATACAATTTCCGTTTCCATGTCTTTCGTAAAAACACCTGATTTCAAAACAAATAAAAAAGGAAGGTGAGGCTAAAAAATGAACAGGCTGCTATTTTAGTATTCAAGGTTATAAAAACGCTTAAATAGATTTATACAGAACCAGGGAAAACAATCACTACTACACTGATATCCTAGTAACAGGCAGCTGTTCTGACCGGCTCTCTGACGGGGATACCCACCAAAACGGTTCACTATTCAGATTCCTCACATTCCCGGGGCAAGGGGTTCAAGAGTCCCCATCCCGCTGCCACACCTATCCCCCTCAACAACCCCTGCGCTAACTGTGTGTAGATGAGAGATAAATAAGGGTAATAGGCATTTGCAGCTTTGGGAAATTTTGCTAAATTATGAAATATTGAGTATTGAGTATATTGTCAATAATAAACACAAAATAAAAAAGAGCTGATTAAAAATAAAAAGAACAGAAACTTGTATGTAGCTCAAGTATGTATCTAGTATCTTCTCTGTGACAAATGTATTAAGTGATATTTCTGCAATTTTGTGGTTCATGTTTTGGGCAATACTTTAATCTCAACCATGATATCTGCAGGCATGTTTTAGCACATTTTTAATGTCTCAATGTAGTAATCAGCTAAAAAAAAAAAGAGAGAAGTTTTTGGCAGTATCACTCACCTCAATCTGTTATGAAACACGCTATTCACGGTTTTAGCTTCCCTTTTACTGGTGATATCTTAAAGACTTTTGCCCATACAAAAGAAATAGGTTTGTTTTGAATTGTCAATTGCTATGACAACCGTGTTAGACTTTCATCATTCTGAAACCCACAATTCAAATACTTGCACTACTCTGAGAAACTTGGTGATAAAAAAAAAAACAAAAAAAACTTCTACTCACTTTGTGTAGCTCTATGGACTCTATCCACTGCAGTCTGTGCTCGGGGTCTTCCGCTCGGAGATACCACACACTGTCATTCACACTGATGTCAAAACGGCACTCGTCAAATTCATGAGGCTGTGAAGGTGAGAGGGCAACAATTAGCAAGCACACATTAGACACTGGATGTAATTTAAACACACAGAAGCAAGAAGAATATATTTTATCTCCACAGAATATAGTTGTCAATTTCAACATGCAAGTGTGTATGTTTTTATACAGCACACAATAAGACATTTTAATTAAAAGATTATATGGTATAGGCTGAAGGCATAGTCCAAAATCTTCCAAAATAAAAAAGGCTTTTCCAGATCACCAAAGTCCAAATCTTTCAACTATTCACCTCCCCCGCTCCATAGTGCACCCCACCCAATCTCTAATCACTGACCGCCTTAGGCACCCTAACACGTGCGTTGAACTCCCCTTTCTCTGTGAGACAAGAATTTAAACAGAAGTCTGGCGTAGAAAAAGGTCTAATACTCTGAGCTGGAGAGAGTGCGATTCATTCGATTCTCCTCCCCAACATCAGCTGACATACCTCATGTTGTTTATCTTTATTAAATTTGGTGAATGATGCTCATGTGCCATTTTATTTGCTGCCACTGACATTGCCAGCACACAGCAGAAATACTTATGCAACATGTCTTGGTCTTTTGGCACTATGAACTGCACATTTCACATTAAAATATCTTGAGGTGGATCAAATGACTTGAAAGATAGTAGGTTTTCCCAAATCTCAACCGCCTTGTAATTGAAAGTACACTGAGAGATGTGTTTTGGAATATGGGAGTTTTTCCAGCCATATCATATCAGACAGTCGATAAAAGTACTTTACAATCCACTTAATGCATCTTGTACTTGATCTAAATCCCTGGTATCAGCACAAGATACAGGAGTGGACACTATTTCTTTCTATAAAGTCTTATACAGTGCAATACAGTTCAAATATAAAAATAGTTACACTGAATTTGTAAATTGGAGATTTTGCATATTCAAAAATAGTCCACCATATTTGTATTGTTTATTAGACGGTACATTTTATCCCTTTGTACAAAGTCTGCTTGGTATGTGCAGTGAGTGCATCCATCCACACATTGATAAACTGCAGAGAGTAGTAACACAGTTTGTTTCTGCATTCCTCAGCCTTCATACCAAACCGTGTCTTGGAAAGCACAGGCTGTAGATCTTTGGAATGAAATGCGAGCAAAAGCAAACAACTGGCTCTATGGCTCATAAAATTCCTACTATGACAGAGTTCAGATTGCAAAAAGACAAAGTAATAGATAGTGTTGACTGCTTATTAGCCTTGATTACGGACTAACTAAGTAGGGAACAAAAAAACAGTGCGCCTAATCTTGTGATTTGTTGTGGTTTGACTCAAATAATCCTCTTGCACAAATCACAGTAAAGTATTTGTTTTGAGTTACAGAGTGTACAGAGTGAGAGAACGGTGAATATTTAACCAGGTGTGAGATTTCTGTTATCTGTTAGCAACATGGACGGTACCATTATAAAATCCATTTGTAAGGTAAAATAAATAGTAATATAGTTGAAGAAGAAAGCATATAGGTGTCAGTAGTAAGCATGTGATTACTTGTTGTGTTCCAACTATAAATGAACAGTGTTTGAATAGTAGGTTTGTTACTAGTTAATAGTTAGCTAAATGTCTTTGATAAATATGATGTAAGGGTTAAACTGCTGATGGCATGAAGTTAGTAGACAGGATAGACAGGTAACAAAGACAGGAGTACTCAAGCACAACCACAAATGCACTCTTGGATGCATCATTCTGAGTTCAAATGGGTACACAGGTGTTTTTGTTTTCAAAGCCTAATAAAAGACCCTGATTGTTCCTTATAGTAGAACAGATACTTACTGTGATGACAGCCTTGCTGAGGCACAAAGATCCTCTGCACCCGTATTCCCTCTCATCCTCTGATTTGTAGTAGCTCAAAGTATTGTTTTTCAACACAACCCATCTGTCCTGCCATCCATGTATGTAATTTGTCCACTGAAACAAAACAAATGCTCGTCAGTATAGAGAAATAGGAGAAAATTGTGTTTGTATGCAAATCCCTTTAAACTAGCACTTACTTTGCTCAAAACACCACCCAGCTCCATGGGCTGCCCAGACTCGGGGTCCACATCCTCATCTGACCCGGACGATGAACTCTTTTCAGACATTTAAACGCAAGTGTACAAAGTCTATACGACGTGGACTGAGTGTTGTCAATTCAAACAGATCAGAGCTAAACCTGCTTACAGGTTGATCTTAGCATTCACGTAGCAAATTAAGCATGGCCATGGTGCAGTAAGCAGGATCGTAAAAGCAAATAATTGTCAGCAAGAGGCGAAATCGTAATGTACCAGCGCACTGCCCTACAATAACAAAGCAGATGTACAGGTCATTTTTCGATTTGCGGGCTTTGTTTTGAAGTTGGCGTCGAGTACCAATGAAACTAGCAAGTTAGCATTAGCGTTAGCTGTCAAACGACGCAACTAACGTAAGCTAGCGGTAACTTAAACAGCAACTTGGGAAGAAGGAAGGTGTCTGCCTCATTGGATGCAAGCGATGAAGCAATTAGCGAAGTGATCCATAAAAAGGCCTCGGCGTAGCTACGGAACGAACACCTATAACCAATAAAGTGGAGAAATTGAGGCCACCGATCTTGGTTCCGCAGTTTAGTGAGCTTTTGGCGAAGGCTTGAGTAGCTTGTCTTCATTCTGGTCAAGGGGGAGGAGTCGCAGCCACGCTTTACTGTGTACCAAAAGAGAGTGCGCCAAGTTCAACACATTACGACCGCATCGGAAGTACCAAAATAAAGTAGGCTAGTTATTTTAATACATCCATGGCTAGTTCTCACTCCTAAATATATATCCACAAATACATGAAATGGGTATTGTTGTTAAGTGTAATATTCTCCCCTTTATGCTCCCGTTTTCTCCAGCACTAGTAACAAGTTGTATTTTGGATGTTTTCTGTAGCTGTGAACATGATACGTTTAGCTGTATAAAAGTATAACGTTAATTAGAAATTTATTTGTCGATTGCCTAATTTCATGCACCATTAATCTTCACAAAATTTTAATTTTGTGGCCCCACCTTTTTGCGTACTCACCAAATCCCGGAAGTGCCGCCTAAACGTCATTATTTTGAAAACATGTCAGGGCATGAACATTGTGGAGCGAATTTCACTAAAGAATATAAGATTATTTGTTACAAATGGGAGTGATGCTAGTACATTAACTATTTTATGAACTGTCGCTACAGTTGGAGTGTAATTCGAGTAAAGATTTCCAAGTTTTCTTGTCAAAAATGGACAAGGACACTAATGCAAAGGGAGAAGGCATTCTTTCCAGAATGGCTCTCAATGACAATAAGGCAGGAATGGAGGGCCTTGACAGAGACAAGATCAACGCAATCATCATGGAGACATCTAAGGTAATAACCCTACATTCAGGCAAAATGAGCGTCTGTTTCCTTTTATGTGGACCAGTTCGTTTTCACCTCTAGTCCAAGTAACTTAAAATATGTTGTCGTCAACAGGGATCTAGGTTTTATGAAAATGAACTGAAGAGGGATCAGCAGGTCAACCAACGCATTGAGAAAATGATGCAGCAAAAGGCTTCTATTACAGGAGAGCAGTTACAGATGGCAAACCTCAAGGTATAATACTTTATTAGACACTGAACTTATACTTAACCTTCACCCACATCCCAAGAATGATATCGTGTAATTTCTTTGCTTCAACTTAGGTTGCAAAGATGGTCACAGAGATGGAGAAACATCGTGATCTCAGTCGGGTTATTGTACATGTGGACATGGATGCTTTCTATGCAGCTGTAGAGATGAGGGACTGCCCAGAGCTCAAGGATAAACCAATGGCTGTAGGCTCTATGAGCATGCTTGTAAGTAGATAATAAGTCAAATACTGTAGTAGTCGTTATTTGTTTTTCAAGTGGAGAATCTCATTTATGCTTCCAGTCAACATCAAACTATCATGCAAGAAAGTTTGGGGTACGAGCAGCCATGCCTGGATTTATTGCAAAGAAACTTTGCCCCAACTTGGTTATTGTTCCTACAAACTTTGACAAATATAGGGCCGTCAGTAAAGAGGTGAGTTTGATTACAAGTTACCAATATGGAATTCCAGTAAGCGTCTTGAGACTTATGTAATTTGTGTTATGCATATCATTCAGGTTCGGATAATATTTGCTGAGTATGATCCTGATTTCCAACCAGTCAGCCTGGACGAAGCCTATCTGGACTTCACAGAGCACCTGGAACAGAGAAAGAGCTGGCCAGAATCAGCACGCACACACTACTATAGTAACAGCACTAACAACAATGGCAAGCATAACATACTTTTTAATAAATCTACAAATGTTACATATTACTGGTTGCCTCTAATAACACTCTATTAAAGATGAGGCACAGATGGAACCAGTGGAAAAGACAGAAGTAAAGGATCTTTCCCCTGTTTTATTTGAGGACAGCCCCAGCTCCTCTCCTGTGCTTACCAGCTGTGGAAGTGGGGCTATTGTTGGCAAAATATTTGAAGTATTTGGGACATCTACTGAGGAGGCTGTAAGAGAGATGCGTTTCCGAATTGAGCAGAAAACAAAGTTAACAGCAAGCGCAGGTTAGTGTGAACACAAATGGTTACAGAAAGCAAAGTGTCATGTACTGTGCATATTTTTACATTGTAAAACAGTCACACATATTCACACATGCACACAAATAGAATAATTACATTTATAAATATTATAATTTAATAAAGAGAGAGATTAAAGAAGTGATGAGCAAAAATAAATCATAATACAATAATTATAATAAATTAAATAATTGTAATAAATAGGCTTCTATTTACTACTGTAAAGTAGTGGAATATAAAGACAAAGGTCCTACTGGTACATCTATAAGGTACCTACAACAAACACTGAGCCTAAAATTGCAAAATGTCATTAACTAAGTGTTATTACAGATATTCTATAATCTTCTAGGTATTGCTCCCAACATGATGTTGGCCAAGGTATGCAGTGATAAGAATAAACCCAATGGTCAATACAGACTTCCTCCCACAAGAGATGCAGTGATGGACTTCATTCACAATCTCCCAGTTCGCAAGGTACAGCATATTCCACTAATCTAATGTCCTCAAGTTTCAAGTAAGTAAATTTTCATTGTTTTTTAGGTGCCTGGCATTGGTAAAGTGAGTGAGAAGATGCTGAAAGCCCTAGGCATCTGTAACTGTTTTGATCTTAGACAGCAGATGGCACTGTTGTCCTTGTTGTTCTCCGAGACTGCTTGGCATCACTTCATAGAGTTATCCCTAGGTTTGAGCTCCACATTTATACCAAGGTGATGAAATAGTTTTAAACATACTATTGTTGTTGACATAACAGAATTATAATATATAGTTTATTTCAGGAATGAGGAGAGAAAAAGCATGAGCACTGAACGGTAAGTAATATAACAAAATTTTATGGTAAATACATTCTGAACACAATTATTTATTTATTTATTTTTACCTGACAGGACATTTAAAGAACTTAGTTACCCAGAGGAACAGTTTGCTTTGTGTAGAGAACTTTGTGATGATTTAGCAGAAGACATGAAGAAAGAAGGCCTAAAGGTACAGAACATCAGGTGCATTTAATAAAACATCACCCCAATAGAGTAGGATTGAAGTGCCGTTCATGCACCTTAAACCATTAGGCCCACTTTGAACTGCCCTTGTTTGTTCTGTGAGTTGTATAAAGACGATAACTTTGATATATTTGTCTTAAAGGGTAAAACGGTTACAGTGAAGCTAAAGAACGTCAATTTTGAAGTGAAAACCAGAGCGATGACTGTACAATGTGCAGTGGCTACAGCTGAGGAGATTTATGCTATTGCTAAGGACCTGCTGAAAACTGAAATAGAAAATGTAGCTCCTCACCTGCTCAGACTGAGACTCATGGGTGAGTGACATATCAGTTAAAATATATATAGGGAGAGCCACCAAAAATAACATGTTTTGACTATTTTATCTCTGTGATTAGGTGTTAGAGTTTCTGCATTTGTCAACTTGGAAGACAAAAGGCTGCTGCAAAAAAGCATCGTGGGATTTTTTCAGCAGGGCAAAAAGGACTGCAGTACCCCTGGTGGTTCTCTACAAGAACCTTCTCAGAAATTGGAGAGACCTCAATTTTTAAGGCAGAATAAGCAAGAAGGGCTGGAGGAACATAAGATGTTTGATAAACCAAAACTGTCTTTTTTTCAAATGGCTCAGGTCAAAAGACTTCAAGTTGAAGCTGAAAAAGCAGCCTCACAAAACATAGTTACAATGGAAAATCCCTGCACTTCTGTTGATAATGACCAACGCAACAATGAGATTTTAACAGAAAAGCTGGCACCACAGAATGCTTCCCTTTTAACTGCACAGAACCTCTCCCCATCACCAGAGCCTCAACCATCCACTTCAGACTGTGGTATTCCATCGTCTGAAGGCCTCACCTGCCCCGTGTGCTTCTGTCAAGTCAATACAACCAACTTAAATATTTTTAATAACCACATAGACCTGTGTCTCAAAGGGGCTACAACAAGGAGTGACCAGAACACTGACCCTGAATCAGATTTGAGGTCACAAAATACAGATACCCAATGTCACATATCAGACAAATACAGTTTAGAAGAAAATAAGAAGACTGAAGTCTCCAAACAAGATTTTGGCAAAATGAATCCACAGGAGGGTTATAAAAATGGAGGCAGTGCTTTGAACAGCGATGACCGTATAGGTTCAGAGCACCCAAAATCATGTGATGATAAATGCCCTGTCCTCATCTGTCCGGTGTGCCACAAAACCCAGGACACGAATGACCTTACTGCTTTTAACCATCATGTTGACCTTTGCCTGAACCAGGAAGTGCTACACAAGCTCGAGGGACAAACAATAATGCCAGCAAAGCCAGCATTAGTTACAGTCACAAACAATAAAGGAACAGGTGAGTAATCGTAATCATAAAAAAAAACAATAGTGTATGCATATAATCCTAAACTTGTGTTAACCGTTGTTTACAGTCAGCAATCCACTTATGCATAAGTCAACCAAAGGCAAAACCAAAAGGCGAGACTCTCCTTCCTCTCCTCCCTCGAAAAAGGCTAAAGGGCATGGATCCCACAACACCATTGACCGATTCTTCAGGTGATTTCTGCTCAAGCAACATACTTCTCTATACATGCAATGAAGAATTTCTGTGTAATGTAATGCAATTTTATTACTGCTTCACATGATCATGTAAATATAAAACAGCAATTGCACTAGCCACATTTTAGACCATATAATAAAGTAAATAAGAATAATAATTCAATAATTCAATGTATAAGCATTTAAGAAATTATTTATTCTCAAATGGTAATATTTATTACCTGCTTATGTGAAGGTTTTAGAAATTGTTATTTATTGTATTTTATAATTAAAAAATATAATAATAATAATAAATTGCCATTGCTTGCAATAATTTACTGTTCAACATATTTATTACATTTTTGCTTGCAATAATTTAGGTTTTGGTACGAACTTTCTTGTTTCTAAATAAAATAGTCTTGTTTATTCATAGCATTTTATGTTTGCTGATTTAAGTGATATTACACCCTTAAACTCTCTAGTCAATAGTGTCTCTGTAAGAACTGAAATTGAAGCCTGGAACAAAGCGTGAATAAGAATAAGAATAAGAAACTTTGACTTTATGTTCTTATTAAGATTGTATACTTAGTAGATAGAAACAGAAGTTATAGAATTTACTGAAACCATTAACTTCAATGTTATATTTTCTCTTGAGCATTACTCTCAAGGGTGTGTGCTATAAAGTAAACATGAATCAGCCTTGCAGCTATCAAGAAAATACAAGAAGCACAAGTCAATATGCTCTGCTCAGAAACAACACAGACATTGGATGGAGTTTTTAGGGTTTTGTTCAAGGTTTTATTCTATAGATTTGTTCATGGCAGTGTGCATGTAGAAAAAAACAAACACCACTAGACTCACCTTAGTTACACAATGGAGAGATTATCAACTTGGAAAGCAGCAAAGAAAACCTTGGATTCTCAAAAATGGGTAGGACAGGACAGTGTGAAGGCATTTACAGACTTTGTCCTGAACAAGAACTCTGACAAGGAGCCAGATCAGAGTTTTGATAATAAGGAGATGTGTAAGTATACATTTTATTATATTAGTAGTTTTACATAAATTTGTTAAAGGTACGTACATTTGCATTTTTAAAAATCTGTTTTTGTCAAGTGCTTCTTACAGAAAAGCAGTTCATAGACGCAGCTAAGAGGAATGACATAGAAACAATGAAAGTGGCTGGAAAGGGACTGAATGCAAATGCAAAAAATGTGGTAAGTCTTTTAACAATCTTCTCAGAAAATAAACTTGTAAAAGTAGTAAAAGTTGTTTCATTTCATTTTTTAAATATTCCCTTCTGTGTTCAGTTTTCAGTGTTACTGAATGCTTGTTATTTTTCTCACTGTTTCTCTCAGGGTACAGTTAAGTCTAAATAAATTAAATGTTCTAAAATAAATGACAATGATTGTGTGCCACAGGATCAACGGACTGCTCTGCACTTTGCTGTTGCTCGAAAGAATAAGGAGGCAGTGCAATTTCTCCTTCAGCGTAGGGTCAAAGTGGATCAGAAGGACAAAGTGAGAGCCATCTGCAGTGATGTGCAAACAGTACAAGCTAACTTAAATAAAACCTCAACTGGGTTTCTAATTAACAGCATGGGGTCACGCCAATTCATTTAGCAGCCTGGTTTGGAAGTTTGGACATTCTGAAGTTGCTAGTGAAGGCCGGGGCTGAGCAGAAATCAGAAAATGAGGTAGACTTGTCTCACCATTAATTTGTAAAATTGAAATGTAAGTTTTGCTGTTATGTTAATTTTTACTTCAGGAGGGACTGAACATCTTGCATTGTGCTACTATCAACAACCACACAGAAATAGTCGAGTACATTATCAATGACCTCATTATGAAGGAACTAGACAAAGGGGACAGAGTATGTTTAAAGATAACTCATTCTATCCCATTTTCTATTTGTTGATTTTTATGTATTATGTATTTTGCAGTCTGGGCAGCGCCCCTTCTCCCTGGCGGCAAAGCATGGCTGTGTTGAAATGCTTGAGATGCTGATGGATTCTTCTTACAATATGGGCACCATGGAGCCCAACCAGGTTTAAGCTTAAACTTTACTGTTGTGTATTTTGCAGTACTAACCTTGGTTTCTGGTTGTTTTCACTGTGCACCTATCATCCAGTTCAAAGTCAAACATTCACTACTGTGCGCTGTTTCCCTCCCGTCTGCCAGAGAGGGGACACGCCTCTGCACTTAGCTGCCAGGAATGGCCATGGGCAGACAGTCCAACTGCTACTGCTGTGCTTTGATACTCGAGATGAAGTCAATCAGGTAGACAATCTGTATAAATATTCCATAATTCAGGATTTCTGAATACAGCTATCACTAACATTTATTTTACTGTAGGTGAAAGTAGTTAGGTTATCATTGTTAACTAAAAGACACCTTAGGCTGTTATTATCTCACTTAGTTCTCTCTCTCATAGTGAATTTTGAGCAAATAACCAAAGGCTACCATTGAAAAAAATAAACTTGATAATGATATTTATTCCGAGGCCAGTTTATGGTAAAAAAAAGAGGGACTAAAATGTTTTGGGAATAATTCACTATCTAAATTTAATCAACATTGTATTTTATAACTATCTGAATATGTTGATGAATTTAAATTTTAGGATGGTGAAACAGCCCTGTACCAGGCAGCAGACAATGGACATGAAGAATGTGTCCAAACATTGCTGGAGTCTGACTGTGACCCCAACATCATCACAAATGTATAGCAACTTAAATCTTACTAACCTATTGTGTCTGCTTCAAGAAACACAGAAGGATTCATACAAGTCAGTGGCATTTTGTTCCAACATTTCTATTATAGGACAAACGTAGTGCACTACATAGAGCTGCAGAAAGAGGAGACACATCTTTGGTACAACTTCTTTTGGAGTACGAAGCCCAAATTGAATGTTCTGACCAGGTATTTACTATATTCACTATTGGTTCATTCAGACAAATAGAAAACTGTGTTTCTATTTTGGTGCAGGAGTGGTTCAGTGTTAAAAGATGATTGATCCCAACTCTGACAAGTGCATATTGTTGTGTCCTGGTGCAAGACACTTCATCCACCTTGTCTGTAACTGTAGCTAGTTTTTGGTGGTTATCAAAAAGGCTGTAGGCGCAGATTGGCAGCCACATGTTTGCCACCTGTCAAATGGCTTACTGTCTCAAAGAGGCATGAATAAATAGTACATGAAATTGTAACATTTACAATCATCTGGGAGTTTAATGCATGATTATTTACTTCACAGAACTTACAGACTCCCCTTCATTTAGCAGTGAAAAATGGTCACCTCCCTGTCATCCATTGTCTACTTGAGGCTGGCTGCAATTGTGACACTACAGATAAGGTACAATCATCACAATGAATGGTTCAACTAACAAACTAAGTAATATACTCGTTTACATCTGTAGAGGTCCCAAACAGCCATGCACATTGCCGCTGAGATGGGTAAAGTAGAAGTTACAGAAATGCTTCTTAAGGCAGGAGTAAATCTTTCATTGAAAGACAAGGTACTTTCTAAACTGAATAAATAAATGCTTAAAATCTAGTTACTATCTTTAGTAAATGTTTGTTTTCCACATAGCAAGGTAAAACTGCTCTTGATGTAGCGGCACGAGCGGGTGAGGTGGTCATTGTTGACATGATCATTAAAGCAGAGAGGTACAATATTTGGAAACAGGTAAGATTTTTCCTATCATTTTCCAACAGTGACATATCCAATTCTTAACACTTTTATCAGGCATAGGGAACGTGGCTGTGAACCTTAACATTTTTGACAGCTAAGAGACCACTAAAAATGTAATCCAATTTCTAAAATGTTACTGGCACTAACAAGACTAACTGTGTGATATTTCATCCAGTTTTTCATTTCTATGTAGCACGTGACTTTCTCTGAAATTGAAATAATTCAATTGCCCTTTCAGACCAACCCTGAAGTTAATCAAAGTGTCCGAAGCGAGTTTCCTCTGACGTTTAAACTGGACCATCGTTATGAGACAAAGCAGCTGCGTTCAACAGCCTGGCGTTTAGCATATAAGCTTTTGAAACCAGGGCAATGGAAGAAATTGGCTGAACACTGGGGATTTACCACACAACAAGTGGAGGCTATTGAGAAGCAGTGGACAGGTACAGCACATATCTGAATTTTTTCCTCCCTGAAGTCCAAAGACCAAGTAAGACAGTTTATTTTAGTTATTTGTTAAACCTGCCACTAATGTCTGTACATTTAAAATACATAATGCAGTATAATTATAAAGCTGTTCCTATTGTTTGATGGCACAGGGCCGAACAGTTATCAGGAGCATGGAAACCGGATGTTGCTGATCTGGCTCCATGGGGTTGAGATGGCAAATAAAAGTCCAATCCGAGAACTTTACCAAAGCCTTGTACTCACAGACAACCGAAAAGCTGCAGGTATCTGTAAAATATAAATATTTAATCTATATACCATGTTTTGTTGGTAATATACAATAACATCATGTTTGTTTCAGATAAAATACGAATGGAATCTGAAAGTGTCAAAAAGAGTTGTAGAATTTCTTAAGACAAATAAAACCATTAAAAAAATTTATTCAAAATTCAAGTGTCAGATGTATCATTACCAAAAATTAGCACAAATGTTTATCACAGTAGATTCTTATTTGGACATAATTTAAATCATTACATATGTCAGCAGCAATCTAGATACAGAATTTGATTAAAAGCTAAATAACTAATCATTATAAATAAATTAATGACAATGAAACATGTAAAATTTTGACAGTTGTACGTTTCAATCCACTACTTTGATGGAGTGTATATGGCAGGTGCCAGAGTGTGTGCGGGAAGAGCTCCTTCCTGTCGTGGGCCGCCGACTTTGCTGGGACGAGCGAGGAAACTTGGCAGCTGTGGCCTGACCAACAGTGAGCTACATGGAATAAGAGACAACAATTCTTTTTGGATTATGTGTTTATGTAAACTGTAGACTATATAAAATGAATGAAGATTGCTATTGTACCTGTGTAACTGGATGGTGTCTCTCCACTATGACAGAGCTCATGGGAGGAGACACACCCATCACCTGGAGACTACTGCGAGCAGCTTTACTGACATCACTACGAGCTGTAATTCGAGCAGTCACAGTTTTGGAGGATTTTTGTTGACCATCATTAACTACCCACCCACTGGCCTGAAAACAAACAGAAAATACATACAGTGTAGGTTATTTAGCGAGAGACTTCAGATAGACAATAAATAATTACCTGCTGTTTGAAGGGTGCAGTGGTCTCCAGAGAGCTGTGGCCAATTGTGGAGGAAGGAAGAACATCTGCTCTTGATGCTGGACGCAAACTCATCTACAATAATAATTAAATATAAAAAAAAAATAATGTTGGAGACTCCTGTACTGAACAAATGAATGATTTCCCTACCAAGTCTTCTGATTCACTGTTTAACGGAGGCTCTGTGTGATCAAAATGGACAGGATTGAATCGTGTTGAGGGACCAGTATGTGGGCCCATGCTAGAAGAGCCAGGCTCATCAGGGCGAGGGGGTTCTACAAGCAGAAAATTTGGAAATACATCAATCCAAGACTGTAGATATGTTAGCTTAAAACAATATAACTTTGATCTTTTTTCAAAATATTATTTTTTTGTTCTGTAGTAAAACATGTATTTAGCATAGACCTTGTTGATCCTGTGATGGAAGTGGCTCCGACCACCCCTCTGTGGTTTGGAACATGTTGAGAGCCTCCATGTTGAGGGCACATACGCCCCTCATGAAGGCTTTCTTCATAGATTCCTCATAACGTTCCCGTTCCAGCCGCAGTCTCTGGATCTCAGCAAGAGCTTTGTCTAACACCCCACGTTGCTGAAGGAAAAAATAATAAATCAATAACAGTCATTCCACAGTATTATTGGCAGCAGTTCTTAAATCATAAATGACAGGAATATGTGAAGCTAATATGAATGTTTTTGTTTACCTCTGTCAGTTTGGCTTCATACTCTGCAGACAGGCGCTCACAGACCTCCTCGGCCTTTGCACGACATGCACGCTCCACATTGACCTTCCAGTGTTTCTGGATCAGAGAGTGCCAACTTAACCACACCTTCCTCTTCAGCTGCAGTTCATAGTGCCGCTTTGCCGCTTGAGCAGCGTGAGCCTGGAAAGAACAAAATTACACTTATTAAATCCATGAGCAGATGGGCAACAGAAAACATAGAATTATTGTTGTTGATGATTAAGTTGATTTGTTTATGAATCCGATACACTGCTTTATTACCTCCTCCTTAACTTCAATGTGCTGAAGTCTCCAGTGAGTGAAGGCTCTCATTTTTTCAACTTTCTCTTTTTGTCGTTCTAATACCTGGCTCAAGTTCCCAATGACCTGAGAAAAGTTAAAATGTTTCAAGTTTGAGTAAACCATGATAAAACAAACGTGTCCTTACCTCATCCTTTCTTTGGTTTGAAATTTCATATGTTTGTAGCAGCTCCTTTAAGTGGTCTATCTCAGACTGTAGGCCTGCTGTCTGTGCTCTACATTTTTCTTTCTCTTTTTTCATTTCCAACTTGTGTTTCTCCATAAACACTAGTTTCCATTTCCTGAGTTCAGTCAGCACATTTGACTAAAGAAAAAAAGAGTTCACATGTATGTATATAAATTATTATTATTTTGACATTTGAAATGCATTTCACCAGACCTAACTAAAATAATAGTTTTAAATTACGCAGCTTTATATTGACTGACTCAAGGCTCTAGTAGAAAACACATGCTATACAAATAAAACTACAATATTTATGGTGGCTAATAATCTGCATGCATTTCGGTAGATGATGTCATTAATCTGACTGATTGGATACATAGTGCATAGAAAGTTAACCTTGAGGTTGTTGCTCCACACATCTAGGATGTTCTCCATTCTGCTCATGTTTTCCTTGGAGATAAACATCTCAGCCACAACAGCCTCAAAAGCATCAGGGCTGGTTGATCTGGATCTCTCAGGCGGAGTCTGTAACCGCTCTGAACCAACCTCTGACACCAGTGACCCCATACTTGTTGACTGACCTACTGTTTCTCCCACTAGAAAAGAAAGTGAAGACTAAAATTCACAACAGAATTTGTTACCTCGTGAACCTGTTTTTTAAACCAAAATATTACCATGAGCGGGTCTTGAGGATGCAGCATGCTTATTCAGAGAGCCCTGTAACGTAGAGGATGCTCTTGATGATCTTCCACTCAAAGGTCTTACATTTTCAGTTTCGGCTTCAAGTGTATATCAATAAGTGGCAAGAAGACAAAACAAGACAAGACAGAATTAGTGTGTTCTTGAAACTGTTCAAATACAATACAAACTGATACAATCTGGTCATGACATACACTAAAAAGTAAAGATTTAAAACGAGTTGAAAAAGAAATACTGTTAAACGTGACTGAACACAATACCACGAAGCCTGGGATGACTGGCCATGACTCCTCCAGAAGTCCAGGAATGCATGATTAATCTCAATATCTTAATTAAATACTCCTCGTAGAAGCCTTACTCTTGAGAGCCTTTTGGGCAGAGTGCCAGGAGATCATTACCAATCATCCTGTCTGCTTGCTACATCCCTGTGCACTACTAAACTGCAGCTGCAAGCTCAAAGAGAGTCACGTCTAGTAGAGGGAGGATGATGGACTATAAGATGTGGATAAAACTCAATGATAAAAACCTGATGGAGATGTACATGATGATGGCTTCAGCTTAACCTGATCAAGTATGTCAACCCTTTAAACAACCTCACACAGTCCTTCACGACAATTAAGTCATCCAGTGAAGATATATTTGTAAAGGCTACATGACTTAATAAGAAGAAAATATGAATACCTGCTGGGTGGTGTGGTTGGGTCTCATTCTTTGGCTGTTTACTTGGCACTTCAACTGACAGCTGGGATGTTCTCAGCTGCTGCAGTGTGTCTAGTTTTGGGGTCACTACTGCATAACGGATTAACTCCTCATACTCATCCTGTTGATTGATGAATGTTATTACTTCAGATATTACATTATAAATTAAATCCAAACCAATGAATATGTAGTGTTACATATTAATCATTAAATATATCTAATAAATCTAGCTATCTATAAACTTTGGTGCTGGGATTTAATATAATAACCACACTATCACACGTGTTTGATTTGAATTTTGAAATATATTGAACATTTTACCTGAAGTTCTGAAGAGACTGAGCTGCCCCTATCTGAATCTTTGGGCAGAACTGGAGTGGCTCGTTCTTCCTCGTCTGAAGACATCTGATTACAGCAGAGAGATTAACACGCATCAATGAAGGCACGGGGGAATATTTAGCCTAGTGCTACCAGCATACAAGCAGCTGAAAAGGTCAATACTCAACACTGATGAATAAGCACACTGAAATTAGAAATATAAAGTCTAAGGGTTTATGTCTATCCAATAAGCAGCGACGACTTTGTGCACACGGATTGCCCCAAAAACAAATGTGAGGATTAATTAGATATGGCGTCCTGTACCAGATCTACGTGTTGCTTCTTCGCCGTCTGTTAGGTTTAACATGGCCTCTAATATGACACAAAACCGCGTCTTATTGAGACAGAACTTTAAATTATACTTACCAGCTTTTATTGTAGTTAAGTTTTCAGAAATCAGTTGAACGCTTGATTCGCTGTTTCAAACAGACGGACTTCGGAACAACGCGTGCTCTGATTGGTCATATTCTCCAGTCCATACTGATTAGCAAATGTGATTGGTCAAAGGGTTTCCATAGTAACAGTATACGGAAATTGATTTTTATTTATTTATTTTTTTCCTGTAGGCTATATATTTTTATTTTTGTTATTTAATTATTTATTTATTCACTTACATCTCAGCAGGAAACTATGTGAATAAAAAATGTGCAACAAGGTTTGGGGTGAGGGGATGGAGATCGGTACTGCCCATGTAAATATGTCACTATACTGATGATGAAGACTTGCACATCAACAGGTTGAGAGATAGAGCACTTTCCTCCAAATATTGCTATTTCTTTGAATCCAAATCATGCTGAAGATTATCCCATGCTACTCTGCGGGTAATAGACGTTTGTGCTAAATGACAGGATGCTGTGGCTCAAACAGATACTGATTTGCATTTCAGAGCAGATGAGTCACATGTTTTAAAAGGCTTTTTAGTATGTGTTCACTGCTTTTTTCTTTTATAGTTTGTGTAAACTGAAATCTTGTCTTAGTATTTTATCTCAATTTTGAATGGCAAGTAACAGCCTTCGAACAAAACAAGAATATGGGCTGGTAGGTTGGTTACTGAGATATTATAAAGTCATAGCGTTATGTTTATATTTTTCATACTTTTTTGAAAGAAGCTTGAAGCTTGGATTGTTGTCATCTTGTAAACTGGGATTGGGAATGTTATTATTAACACACATGATCATCAATGATGATTATCAAGCATATTAATCTTACATCTTATTGATCAATGAATGATTTCCCTTTCAGTCCCACAAATGCATCACACCAGCTGATAGTTTAGATATAGCGAAGATATAGTGGTAACCGCCTGGAGCTATTCTTCATATTCAGTCTGTAAATTTAACATTCTCTTCAACAGAGTAACTGCACCTGTGTGTTCAAATAGGATTTAGCTCATATTCTTCCCTTGTAGCCTGTTCAATCTGTTCCAGAACAATAGTCACAATTCATTTGAGTCTCGTCCCCTGTGGTATTTTAGCACAGTCGTGAAACAAATATTCAGCATGCCAAACAGTATGGGATAGTTTTATTAGTGCTGCAGTCTCCATTTTTTATTAATTAACCATTGGATTTTATGTAGTGCCTTTCAAGATACCCAAAATGCTTCACATTACATTATTCATTCACTACTACTAAGCTACTATTGTAGCCACAGCTGCCCTCAGGTAGACTGATGGAAGTGAGGCTGCCAAGTTGCGCCATCAGCACCTCCGACCACTACCAACACACACACGCATGCACACACACACACACACACACACACACACACACACACACAGGCACACGCGCACGCACACACACACACACACACACGTGGGGGAAGTGTCTCGCTTACAGACACAATAACAGTTTTTGTCACTGGTGCCCTACTATGGCACCTGGTATTCCCAGCCATCTCCCATCCATGTAATGACCAGGTCCAGCCTGCTTAGTTTCTGAGCTCTGACAAAATCAAACTTTTACAAGTCAGTATAGCCACAAATATGGCCACATTTATATTACTAATCATACTTCTCCTCACATATTGGAGCGATGACCTCTCACTGAACAAAAACACATTTTGAAGCTATTCATGACTGCCCACTGAGTTCAAATTAGTTTTCATTACATTCTGATGTAGCAGGACTTCCCCTTCAGGCCAGACTAATCCATCAAGTTGCATTCAATGACAAGTGTGTCCTTTGGTTTGTACTAAAATCAAACGCACTTAAAATTGAAATGGGCTATAATATCCGTCTTTACTAAAGGCTTTTCATTTAAGTTGTGACACACCGGAGATGGAATAAGCAATAATGAACAAAGCCACCTCTTACAAATATGATGATAGAAATCAAACCATAAACCCAGCACTTAACACAGTCCTAATGCACATCAAGATTTTGTAGATTACAATTTTGCAGTGTAATCACATCAGAAGAGAAGCCAGAAAAACTTGAGCAATAGATTCACTTAAAAGTTTGCCAAACAGAATGATATTTGAAATTCTCCAAGGAGGCAACTGTTGTGTAGTGAAGTGAAAGGAAGATAATGGAATTTCAATTGAAAAACTGGGACAAAGCACATCATGTCATAAAATGGTGGTTTTGACTAATGAGAACCACTCAGATTCATGTGAGTGATATCAGAGCATTGGGGCTACTCTTATTTGTTTATTTTATAGGAGATTATGATATATTTTTGATGAAGGTTAAATTCAGAGTTTTGCAGATTCTTACAGGAATTCTTATGGGAAGTTTTTCGGAGTCTTATGGGAGAAATAACACATAAATGTTAACCTAATATTTTTTTTTCACTTTATTTTCATGTAGTCTAATCTGCATATTACTTTTTAGACCTTTTGTGGAGCTCAAATACAAATATGAGCCAAGTAACTTGTTTTCCATCCTTTGTAATAGAAAAGCGTAAGACAAGTTTTATAATCATTACTTTTTTTTCCCCTTAAAACCATTAACATTTAGATCTGATGTCAGTTAAAAAAAATGTATGTATTGTGGTCTACTTCTTTTTGCCTGTAGTTGCCTCAAGTCAGGATTTTTCAAATAGCATTGCATTTTAAAGGGTCTATCGGGACTAATGCATAATTTGGACCCAAACTGGTCCAAATGGTAACTATATGATCTTTGAAAGTGAGTCACAGAAGCACTCAGAGAGAAATCCACACTCGCTCAGAGTGACACATTTAAAGCCAGCATTTAAAACTGACCATTGTAGCATGTATTGTAGTTCATCAGATGTACTGTAAATGCTATGAAAGGCTGCTGAGGTCTCACACTCATAAGCAGCCGGTTACAGTACTGACCCCTTGTGGTAAGTCTGCAGTTTGTGGCATTTTTTTTGTCCTTTTAATAGTTAAGAATGGACATATGTTTAACATTCATAGATCATTATTTTACATTGTGTTCATTGTAAACCGCTAATTTGATTTAAAAGAGCTTATGTCGTCTTTAATATATCTTTTACTAACTAATCCTAAATTTATAGCTATTGACCAAACTACTTAATATAACTACAGCTATGTACAAATCTCCTGATCAGATATTTTGTAAATTGCATTTCTCCCTGTGTGTATGCCAAGACTTGTACATGCGCAGTTGCTTGCATGTGTAAGATGGAGGGTCATTTTACTGTCCCTTACATTAAGTTAAGTGCTTCTCGGCTCTTCAGCTGTAGTAAATGGCTTCTTATTGCCGGAAGGGGGGTTTGACTGCAGACTCTGAATTAAAAGCAGAATGTCCCTTGCCCTAGGTCAGTGCTTCAGTGAATTGTCAAAATGTGGACACAAGGATTCTCTTCATAGTCACGGTTTGCTAGTGTATTCATTTATAGTGCCTATTGTGGATAAAATAGCAAAGACCTATTCAATATCCTCTATCCTGATTTGATTCATGGCCATTGTCTCAGCCTTGGTGGAAACATAAACAGTCTCTTCACCTTATAAATTGCTTCTATCTAGTGTGGTTTAGATTTAGTGAAAAATAAAGAAGGGGAACTTGGGTAACACGCTCAAAGGTTATTTCTGTTGCATCAGTCGTATTGCCTTGTAGTTCTTTGTTCTTGCACCACATCAGGCATACAGGCAATCACTGTCAACCACTTCATTAAAGAGCAGCTTACAGAATCTCTTATAGTGACGTGTCAAGAGTATAGTTTTATTCTGTCTGTTAATTTAGCTAGTGCTACAAAATATACCACAACACATAAACTGCACTTGTCATGATGGATTTATTTTCAGATATTCAGTGAAATGGGACCACTATTGCATACTGTGGTCATGGTATGTCTAACATCAATTTCCTTGATATTGCATCCACAGGCAAATCTGAATGAATAATCATTTGACTAGCCCATCTTCCAGATAAAACCTCAATATATTTATGAAAGCAAAAACATATGACTCAAATGTGACAGTTATTTAAAATGTCAGTAAAGAATTGTGTACCTAGATATTGTTGAATAACAGGGTTTCTAAAAAAGAAAAGTGTCTTTCCTCATGCAGGAGTGAGTGAAACAGGCAACCCCTCCTCTGTTCCTCTGCCATCCCCCATCCACTGTGGAGTCACGAGCCACGCGCACTCAGCACCACGGAGAGCGGCGCTCCTCTGGGCTCAGCCGTCATCACCATTCAAGAGCAGTGGAGCTGTGGAAAAAAGGATACACCTGTTTGGAAAAGTGTAAAAAATAAAGTTACACAAGTATTGCGCAAGTGACACTGTTTTAAATGCACCGACCTTTGTTTTAAGCTAAACGAGTCCCTCTTATTTGAATGCATGCATTGCAGTGATTCACGTCATTCGGTCACCTAACAAGATTGTACCATCAGACGGAATTGGCCGCATCACTCAGTGAAATACAATTATTGATCCTCTCCCTGCTTCCCCGTGTTCCCCCTCCCTCCCCCGGCCGTCACAGCGCACCATCACTCTCTTTCCTCCCTGTCGCTTCCTAAAGTAGCCCACTGCAGAGAGAGAAGGCTGCATCGGGAAAAGCCCTGCTGACTCGGAGCGCGCACTCGCCTCTGGTCCTGTCCGCACTTCCAAACACTTCATAAAGCTGCGGTGATGGCTACACACACATGCAGTCCACTTTCTTCGCCGTAAATAACGGTAAGATTCACTTTTTTTCTCTGGTAAACTTTTTTCCCCATCGTCTTTGTACACTATGTCGCGTTAAATCAATCCCGGTTGTTAACAGCATCGCAGTGACAAGTAGCCTTTTTGTATGGGAAACATAAATTGGATCATGTGTCATTTGAACACGGGAAGAAAATGGCGTCAATGTAAAGACAAATTTAACTTTTTTAAAACGCTGTTTTTTTTTTTTTTTTTTTGTTGGTTCAAAAGTTGTCAGAATGTCAAAAGTGAGAAGCCTGTAGGCAATATACGTACTTTAGCTGTATTTAAAGTTTAGGATCTCTTTGTTTGAGTTTTTATTCTTTGCTCGTGTGTAGCACAGGCAGGCACTCTCCCCAAGGCAGTTAAAGCAGTCTGCATTGCCACCAAAATGTAAAAGAGAGCGAGATGCAGGAAAAGGCAACTGACTCAGCTTTGCACCTTTGAGAAAGTCTGGCCCCTGACAAGACTCACAGAAGCAGCTGGCTAGAAATCTGTGAAAGTGCTTTGTTTGCAGTGCACTGCCCCGTTGTTCCAATGTTCTGTTACACTGGCAATTTGTGCATGAAAGACACGCATCTAATAGAAAAAGGCTAGTGGTCCTACTATTCTACATGGCTGGTAATTATGAATAAATTAGTAATTAAAACAGCCAAACCTTAACGGAATCAGAACACACGCATAAACATGCTATTTGAACTGGTTTGTAGATACATAAAGATGATGATTCCTTAGTCCATAAATCAGGATTTGTATAGACTCAAGTCAGAGCTCATACATACATAATACCATTTAATATAACTAAACATTTGATTAAAAACAAAGCACAGCATCTCTTATCTGCAGTATAACTCTCTATTGAGCCAGTAATGGCATCCAGGACTGTTGAAATCTAACAGAAGACGTCCCGTGCATCTGTGAGGCCCAGCCCTCCACATGAGGTTAGAGGGTCTCCATTTTGATGGGATTACACATGGCTCTGCCCACTTAGAGATTGGATTGGCTCTCCGTGATGCTAATAGAACGGACCAGCCATCAGCCAGGGGTCCAGTGCATGTCTTTGAAAAGGGCAAGACTTTGATAAGTCAAACCTTCCTCAGATAAAAAGGATTAATGCTTCCCTCAGGCCATAGGATGTCAAGTTGGCTGCAGTGCAGTTTGGTTTAGATAAAAAGACAAGAATCCCATTATATATTTATGAAACAGAGACACTGTTTAGACAAGATACTTGATTGCCATCTCCCATGGTATTCATTCAGAGTCTTGAATTATCACTGATGATCTTTTGATCTTTTAATTAATGGAATTGAACAACAAAACAAACAAACAAAAACAGATTTGATTTAGTTTTTTTTTTATTTTTTATGTGGCCTATATTCTTCTCCGTACAGAGAATTACCATAAACTATCACTGCACTTGAGAGATGAGATGGGGCTGTGTTCGCTGTGATCTAAAATAAACCCAGAACTAAGCCAGCACTAGGACAGAACAATAGGATACTGATCAAACCAGGATCAAACCAGTACCAATGTGTCCCAATCCATAGAGAGGAAAGGGCCAGTAGCAGTGTTGTGTAGCTCTTTGCGCAGTTTGATTGCGCTCTGTCGGGGTCTTGTCAGCTGTGGTCAGATGAGGTGGGTCACGAGTCATTCCACTTCATCAGAACTGACTCTCTGAATGACAAAGGTGGCTCCATGTAACCTCATTGTACGTATGCAGAAACCAAATAAACAGTGTGACAGTTAAAGTGACCTACATTAGAAATTGGCCTATGATGTCAAGTTTTCTATTGTGTTGAAAAAAATATATTTGCATGGATTGGGGCAAAAGAACCAACACATTTTTGCATGGTAATTATTTAAAGCTGTTAAGTTAAATAAATAATGTTAATGTTAATGTTTTATACAATGTAACTAACAACTAACAATCCAAATGGATTTATAGATTCACCTTGAATCAGACCAGTAAAATTACATTATGGGAGCTTGGTGCTGGCCTGTGATTTGTATCTTCTTGACAAGGCTTCAATGTTCATTAGAGGCTTTACTGAAGAGCCTTGACACACAGGACCATACACCGACTGACCGCACACACGCATACACACACACACACCAGCAGCTATATTAGCTATATTAGATTAAATGGCAACTACCACTATTTCTCTCTCTAAGGTAAGGCTATTCAGCACTGTGCATGTTGTTTTTGATGAGAGTCACATAAACAACATGAGAAAAAGCGTGAGACACAGCATATGTCAATAACCTCGGTGGGATCTCCATCACAGATGTCCTCCAAAGAAAGGGCTTTCCCATTCATGTGGATCGTCAGGCCTGAATGACTGCAGCCGTTTTACCTTCTGGACTATCAAAGTAGACGCATTGTTGACCACTACTAACCATTGCCCCTTTTCTCCTTTCTTTGCCCAGATTAAATATGACAGTGGCGTTACGGTCTGATCGTCTTTCCTATTATAATAAAGCAAGTCTTTATTGGGGGCAAATTGATTTCAGACAGAGCCTTGTTTATTAACCTCTGTTCCTCAGAGCTTACCATGAGCCAGCAGATTCAGTATCTCTGGCAATAACGGTCACTTCTTAACAGAATAGGGACAAGTCATAAAAAGATTAATATATTTTGTATTATTGGTAACACTTTCTGACATCAATTCCAAATGAATAATTAATTATCAAAAGATTAAATTACACTGCTAAGAAGAGGCAATCTGTTCCACTGTACTGGGTTCACATGATTTAGGAGAAGTGAGTTACAACCTCCGATTGATGACCATCTTTTTTGTCTCTGACCCTTCCCCCTGTTCTTCAGACTGGCCCATGATTAGCCCTGCCATTGTGGTGTATCTCCTGTGGTGACCGCACACTCACCAGTCTTCATCTGAGCTGTACCTGGAGCAACACTGATCCAGCACAGTCCCTGCACTTTGAAACTTCATAAACAACATGGAGGACACTTATGATAACAGGACTTCTTTAGTAAAGGGTGCCAAGGACATGGTCAAAGAGGCAAAGCGGCATGCAGCCAAGAAAGTCAACAAAGCAGTAGACCGGGCAACAGATGAATACTCAGCCCACCGCAATTACAGCAGGTTCCAGGATGAGGAAGAGGAAGATGAGGATTTCTACAGGAATCCACCAAGGCAGCGTGATGCAGAGAGCTATCCTGACAACGAGGAAGGGGGGTCCAGTGATGCCACAGAGGGTCACGACGATGAGGACGAGATCTACGAGGGGGAATACCAGGGCATCCCAAAGCAGAAAGAGGGCCAGGTGGCACTGGGGCAGCCGACCTCAGATGCCAGCAGGGATCGTAGGGAGTTAGAGCGGGAGAGAGAGGCCGATGAAGAGGAGTTGGCACAACAGTATGAGCTGATCATACAGGAGTGCGGTCATGGCAGGTTCCAGTGGCAGCTGTTCCTAGTTCTGGGTCTGGCGCTCATGTCTGACGGGGTGGAGGTCTTCGTGGTGGGCTTTGTGTTACCCAGTGCAGAGACGGACATGTGTGTACCCGACTCCAGCTCGGGATGGTTAGGTAAGCAACAAAACTATATTTACAGTGCACAAAGATTATGTTCCAGCAAGAGTCAATTTAGCACAATGAGCACATTTGACTTTCCAATATAATCTTTAGTGAACTAAATCTGTTGGCCAGATTATCCCTAACTCAATTCAATACTGAATCCTTTTACTCATAAACTGAACTACTTGACAAGGATAAACGTGTAAACCAGGAATGCAAGACAACCAGAGACATGCAGTGTATACACACTAAGGTTCAAGCTTAAAATGAAAACTAAACAGGAAACAAAATAGTATATGGTTTATTCACACCCATATTTCAATATGCACTAACATCAATGTGACCTCTCGGAAGATGAATGTCGACATCATTCATTATGGTTGAAGAAGGGAGCAGGTGAAAAAAACATTCATATCCCCTTTCCAATAATTGACTTGCAGAACTCAGATTAACAAAGATCTTGCTGTAAATTTAGTGTTAACTGTACCATTAATAATATACGAACCAGAAATAGAACGTCCCTCCTCAATCAGTGTTTTGGCAAGGAAAAATGAACATCTAATCTAATTAGGGTTTATTCAATAATGCAAAGCATGCATCTTTGTGAACACTCACTGCATTTTAATTACATTTTTAATATTATATTTTATAATTTCTAACATTGTGTTGGCACAATGTTAAAATTTCAAACTGTGTTCTAAAGAAAATCGAATCAGTCATAAGAACAATATATTTTAGACATTAATACAATCACAGTATAATAAACATACTTTCATTATTATTACTACATGGTTTAAATGATTTACAATTAGATCAACACCATGTTTTAATGTCTGTGAAAGCGCTATATAAATAAAGACTTACTTACTTACTTTAAAACAGGAAAGTTCTGAGTTTTGTCCAATTAGATTGTACTTGATGAGTATGGCAAGTTTCAATACTATTACTAGTTTTAGTATAGATTTTTTTGAGAACCCTATTTCAAACCTATATTTCATTTATTACTCTGAGGAAAGTGCAAAGCTGAGATATTTAATGTGTGCATGTTGTAGTGACAGTGGTAGGTGGTAGTACATTACACAGATGAGGTGTTCTGCTCCATTGGCCTCTGTGTCAGGATTAAAGGGCTGCCCGTATTCCCTGGCCGCTCTATGGTGAGCAATAGTCCCTATGGCTGCAGGTGTGTAATCCATCACCCAGGGCCGACCACTGCAGCTGACTCACTGTGTTAGTGGTGCACTACCACCACATTCAATCAGACATGCAGCCTTTAGATACTACATCTGCTCCCAGTCATGACCATTCATCAACATGGAGATAGATGCAAAAACAGTGCAAGGATCAAATGCAGTGTTTGTTGTCTCATAAAAGTCAGTCAGTATGCTCTTTCTGGTACATTAAAGTATTTGATATGGCTGTTTGGAAATGCAGCCATAGCTAAAAAAAACCCCATAACCATCTGGATAATAATTGAAATCACAATTATAATACTATTTATGTGAAACATTTATTTTTATTTGTCAAATAAAGAAGTGTTTTTTATTAGAAGAATTTGATTTAATTAATATTTTTGCATTACACCAAGTATATGCAGCAATAATAAAAAATCAATTAACTGCACACTGCACAACCCTAATATTGCATAAAGTGCTTCAGTATTTCAGTATCATAAATGGAAAAGCTGATGTGACAGAAGTACTGATTGCATAATTAGTGGCATTTAAATATACATGCATTAGTATAACAGAATAAATGTTGTGATCTATGTATATACTGTTATATGTAGAATTCTCTGTATATGACAAGTCAAACGTAACCCCTTTATATCCCATTTTAGTGGGGTCATAAAACTGGATTGTGTGTCTCCAATGCAATCTCCAGCTGGGTTTCTCCTTCATTAGCATTTCACAGAATAGTAAGTCTGCTTTAGCTACTGTATCGCCACATCATATTTAAGGAGCAAATCTTAATTTTATATCTCGTTCCAAGTATTCATACAAACTACTTTCATTCTCTCCAGCCGGGCTAGTTCCTGCAGGCATCACGCTGTACGCTCTGCTTGTCCGTGTTCGTGACTATAACTATCCCCCTCCCCTCTCTCTCTCACCCCCTCCTCTATGTTGCTCTTACCCTCCATTGTCTGTGCAGCTCTCCTCTTTCTTTTCAGATCCTCCCCCTGTCCTCCTCTCCTTTCTCCCACTGATTGCCCCCAGGTTTCTTCCCATTAAGGTGAACTGCATGGTTATATGTGTGTGGCCTACAAGATTATTATGACCTTGTTGGTAGTTGTTTGAGGTTTTAGTGTAATTATGCTTAATTGCAGCATTAATGAAAGGGGTCGATGTTTAACAGGTGCCTCTACTGTGTTAAGGCAGGTCTTAAATTAATTGTAAGTTTACAATTCATTTTCTTTGTATGTTATGTGTACATTAAATGTAAGTGAAATATTATAAGAGATTTCACACAATCTATATAGTCCTGCACAGAATCCTGCAGTACCATATAAGTTTAAGGTGTACTGTGTAAGTTTTGTCTAAAGATATTATTGGTTTGCCTAGAAAGTTCCACACATAGTTGGGCATTAAACTTCGCCATGGAGATAAACAGGTAACACCACCAGGCTAAGTCACCGGTCAGATATACAGAGGCGACCACACTCACAGAAAAAATACATGTTTTTCAAAGTATTTTGGAGAAATAAAAACATGTGCAACTGAATATAGCAAAATTGCATGAAGTGTAAATGCCATGCAGTGGAACATACCAGGCAAAACAGACACACCACCATGGAGACAAGCAGGTGGGATGCGGATCCCCTCACCAGAAGATATACGCAATGCACCTTTAAAATCCTATGGTGAGACTAGCGCAAAAGTAAAAGCTATTGTGTTTATACCTCTCTGTATAATAAACATTTGAGTGGATTGTAGTTTCTGCTGCAGGATCCAAGTAAACTTCTTTGAGGAATAATCAATGGTTAGAGCCACCTGAGGCCGACTCCATCACAGTGGCATTGTGCGGCTCCATTAGGCACATAACAGGCAGAGGCAGAGGAAGACTACAAGGACAGTGTAATGGGATAATGCTGTATGAAAACGTCCATGGCCTGAATGCAATGGATGAGGAAAATGCTGATTAGATTACAGAATCCAATTTACTTCCTCCAGTCCCACGATCTTACAGGAATCTCCGACACTTCAAAGACAGATTTGGGTGCAAAATCTTGATTAATTAAAGTTTGGGAAGAACAGTGAAGGAGAGTTCAGCATGTGCGTTGTGTCTGACATGACGCGTGGGCGAGAGGTGGTTCAGTGACAATGTGAGCCTATATTTCAGCGATCAGCAAAGACACAATGAAAACACACCCTATCATTACTTATTTGTTCTCTACAGTTCATCGTTCTTCGTGCTTTTCTATTGTTGTGTAAAGCTTTATTTGTATCTATAACAAAGAGAGATGTTTATTGGTTGGTGTGGGCAATATTCAAAATAACGAGTAGGCTTGTGTCAATATATTTTGGGGTTCTCACAATAATAATCATTCAAAAGTGGATTGACTGTCAAATTAACCAGAAAAGTGCAGAAACATCACATATATGCTCTTGTTTGAAAAGGTTTAGTCTTTTTTTCAGTTTTCTTATTTTTGTGATATAATCCTAGACAGTACTGCCATTAGTGCTTATTTTGGTTGACCTGTCAATAAAACAAAAAAGTGGTGGCCAGTTTTTATGGATGGAATCTTCTGTAGTGATTTTTCATTATTAGTGGTTTAATGATAAGTTTAATGATTTTATGATTTATCACAGGGTAATCAAAGAAACTATAAGAAGAGTAAACTAGAATAGTAAACTGTTGTCTGAACTGCTGTGCTACATAGGGATAAAGTCTTTTCCTTCCAAACTTAAACCAAAGAAATGCTGCTGTGGGACTCTTAAAAAGACACCTGCCAGTTGGGCTGAAAGTGCTGGTAAAATATCCAATTGCAATCAAGTATTGTGATAGTGAATAGATTCACAACTTATGTTTTTAAGATGGATTCAGTAGTGCACATTTTTTACTACTTAACTAATATCAGAATCTCATGCATTTCAGAAAATTTTTGTAGAGGTCTAAACAACAGTATTCATACTGTACATAGTTATACATGATATGTAGTTGTTTGCAAAGGGCATTATATTTCTTAAAATATTGCAGTGTTTGTAAGTAGTAGTAATGATTTAAATTGCAATTTCCATTCAATTATTATATCTTGCAGCACTAGCTACAAGGATAAGTAAAAAGAACAAAATACTTAACTTCTAAGATGGAGCAAATGCCCTGGTAGATTTGTGCAGTCTGAGTAATTCTGGTCTGAAGTTATTGTATTCATAAAAGCACACATCCTTCTTTGTTCTTTCTATAACTCCCTGCACCTCATCCCTCTTTGTCTTCCACTGTCTCTACTTTAGATTTCTATTCATCCTTTTAAATGCTTCTTGGCTTGATCCTCAGTTCCATTACTTAGTGTTTCCCCCTCTCCTCTCCCTTTGTGCGAGTATGCGCCAGCTGGCAGTGCTTTTTGAGAATGCGTGGTCTGGGGCAGTTGAGCATGGCTAAACTGCAGCAGGATCGCAGCACTGCAGAGATTAGGCTGTACTTGAGAGTACGGTGCAGCACCACATTGTGTGCAACAGACAGTGCAGTGCATTTGTATGAGCAGATGGAGCCGGGCTCGTGGCCGCAAGTCGCAAAACACTCTTATCATGTGTCCAGATATCACACGCTTATTATGCATGGCATTTTAAATGCAGAACTAAAATTAATTAAATAAATAAAGCGTGCACAAACTGTACAGTGCCTTATCTTCAAAAGGGTTAAAACATAAAAAAATTAATCTCTATAAGGTTTTCATAATGATGAAATTTAAGTATTTATCTTCAAAATTCCATATTTAATTTTGATTATGTTAATATACCATATTATCATTTATATTGCCAATGTTTCTATTCAACCTCATAGCTTAAATTCAATGTAACAGTTGGATGTAGCTTTAAGAAAAGCTGAAAATACATTCAGATATTTGTTATTGTTTGTTATTTTATTTAGCTTTTTACAATTAAGATATCATACTGCTAATTAAAATTTCTACTGCTATCAACTATAGTGTTATAACTATTACTACTGTTACTACTAGGCTACTACTACTATTATTGCTACTACTACTATAACCATTCACAAGAAGGAAGTAGGTTTGTGCAGAGTGAGTGCTCATATTAGCTTGCTTTTGTGAGGCATTCCCAGCAGCCCCCACTGATAATGACTTAAATCATAACAAAACCCTTTAATCTGTATTTTGCGGAGGTGGCAGAAGGTGGAGGCTTGAATCCCATCAAAGTGACATCATGTAGTACAAACATGATTACACGCTCCTGCATGTGAGGAGGCTGGTTAGTGTGAAACGAAGAGAAAATAAGGGAAATTGGTGCAGGAAATTGAAAAACAAACTAAAGAAAATCAATAGTAAAATGGATAAAGGAAGTAGTAACAGCACAGAGGAGTGGGGAAGCACTGGCACTCGAAGCAGGCTGTTGTGTCATCATTACAAATCATAGGAGGCGGGTGTGTGGCATTAAAGAGCATCAAAGCATGAACAGTGGTGATGCAGATCAGAGCACGTGACTTAACCGGGGAGCTCCTCGGGATGTGACAGTAGCACACAAAACAGTGCACCCAGGGCCGCCCTCCCTTTCCCCTCTCCCGCCTCACGCTTGTATATCTCACCCATCTGACACTCACACTCCAACATCACATTACACTTCTGCCGCTAACTTTGTCTCCACAGATCGTGATAATTTCAAGCCACCAAAAATGTGTTACAGTAGTTTTGGTTGTGTTAAAGAGATTTAATTTTCTCACTCTGTTTGATCAATATTGATAAAAGAATGAAGTAACTGAAAATGTAAAATGTTAACTCTTTTTTTCAAATGTATACACACATTTTGTAGGGCACTCACTTTAAGACTCATTTCAGCATCACCATTTGATTTACATATTTTGATTGTGTTTATTCAACTACATGCATTTTTCTGTTCAAAAATTCCTGAAAAATCATGCGTTCTTCCTAAGCTGAGTTGCCTGTCTGCAGATTTCACCTGCAACTTTGGCCTGATGATGTCGCATGCTTGCCTCCATTGGGAAAGATCCCTCTAATGACTGTGGATCATTTCAGGCAGTCCAATAACATCTCCATGAAAGCGAGCCCTTCCCCAGAAAAAGTTACATTAAAATAAAAAAAAATAAAATTAAAGAACAGTCAAAAATTAACTGATCTAAGTTTCTAATTCTAGCAAATGTAACTTATTTAAGATTGCGGTCTGTGTATTTCTCTTGTACCAGGATGAACTATCGCTGGGGGCTATCATTAGATCCCATGCGGCAGAGCAAAACGTCAATAAATTCATTACGTAATTGTCTGTTCCAGGAAGAGTTCGTTCATTAGTTTTATGGCTGTTACTATTTCTCTTTGAAGCATTAATGTGAGATGAATCACACGGCACCATTTGGATCAGGCTCAAAAAAGATGAAAGCAGTTTTATTTTATGGAGATCTACAAATGCCTCTAGAAATAAGTTCACATGGGATTCTAATGGCAGGCCAATGGGTGTTTCTCTGCACTGTATATGTTTAGTGTTTAGTCTTAATGAAGCAATCAAAAGCTGTCCATAGATAGGAAATGTGTTAAAATTAGAAGTTAATTTATGGTCGCTTCTAGGGAGTTTGTGGATGGCCGTCAAATGTGACAGATTGCTGTGCTTTGACCCCTGGAGCTCTGAAGTTAAACAGATATGTACTCAGAGCAGAAGGCGAGGGACCCATTGCACACGCTTCGAAATGAAAACATAAGAACTACAACATGTCGGCAACTGTTTCAAATCAGTGTAAAAATCACCATTTAATCAAGTCAAAATAAAAACTAGATTGTGGCTGTCAGATTCCCAGTATGTTAGACAATATAGCTTAGTGTACTAGAATAAATTATTAGAATATTATTAGCATAGTAATGGACATGCCTAACCTGGTAGCTGCCGCAATCCAAATAGGAAGTGTTCCTAGGGGTGCTTTTCGGCTCCATCGGCTATTTCCAGTTGACTATACATTCACCCCTCTCTCTGTAATTGCTGCATTGAGCCTCACCATTTTCTTCTTAAAATATTTGTATAAAGCTGATCTACATGATTCTGGTGTTTTTGTTTAGATATTTTGCATGTAAATAAATTCCTATTCATAATATGGGCCTGGCTCCAAAGTCACCCCTATAACTGCTGGAATCATGATCTTCATTTGACTGGAACCAAACAGCTATGGGTGACGGTACACTGCCTTAGTCTACTTCTCTATACAGTTTATGATTATTAGTACAAAGATGAGTTTATTGAAAGAAATATATCTTGTTTGGAATTCTGGATTTGTCATTTGTTTTAAATTACGATAACTTATTTGAATATCCAGTGTTCATAGTCCTGACGGTACTTTGTTTCCAAATGCTTTCTAAATGTATTTAATGAGGTGCACTTAATTTTCTGCTCAGTGACAACTGATTTGCTTTTATCTTAAAATATGCTTTGGACAGTCTGGCTTATTAGGTCTGAAGCAAAATTGCTCTTATTTATGCCCATGAAGGTTATAGTCAAGTCTGGCCTTTCAGATGGAGAAATGGGCAATCAATATATATTTCAAAACTTAGACTTAGACTTAGACAAACTTGATCCACAAGGGAAATTATCTGGACACAGTAGCTCAAACATCACAATAACAAAGAGCAACACTATATATGAGGACCCCCTTGAAAACGAGATGGTGACACATCTCAAGGGGCTTATCCTCCAAACAAATAAATTCAAATTCAAATATGGTAATAACAAATTCAAATAAGTAGCAAAAATTACTGGTATCAAATAAGGCATCATTATATAAATGCATATGTGCAATAAAACATAAAAAATACAGAAATATAGTAATACAAATATATTTCTCAGCTTTATACAAGAGGTCATAAGGAGAAATAGTGCTAAGTTTAGTTGTATGGAGTATGGTAGGAATACTGTAACATGTGGGGAAAATAGCACTATCAATGTTGAAAATACAATAGGTTTAACTTTATGGAAAAATCATATCTGTTATTAGCTTTGTACATTTTGCAAACTTAGTCTTTATTCTTTGCTATGACAACTCTTATCATCATATCCAGTGCAGTACAGTGTCTCTATGAGAAGCCCACATAACGCTGTAATAATAGGCTTCTTTCTCCGGGGCACCATCACGATGATCAGTGAGTGAAATCAATGCCATTTTGTTGGAACATTGATCCCATTTGTGACTGGGGAGAGGAACATAGCTGCGCAGAGTGGCTTTTGTAAAGTCAGCCTGCATTACAGTTCGCATTCGTCTCCTCATTGATCGCAGCCTGTTTTAGTCTTACACTCAGTATTTACTAATGTGTCACTGGGGCTCACTGCCCGACTACATTTGGACTTCATTATCTTCAGCTTGTGAAGTCACTACTCAATGCTAAAATAAAAATAAAAAATAAAAAGTGAGCGCACATTAACATAAGTTGTTCAGTATTTCTTTCTTTTTATTTGATACATTTATTTATTTTATTACATAAAATAATAAATAAAAATAAATAAATAAAAACAGTAAATATATCAAATAGTGTTGTCACAGTAAAAGGGAAATGCATTCTTTCTTTTTATTTCTTTTTCTAAAGATAAACCACGTAACGTTTCTGGTGGGTATGTGTACGCCACCTCATTATCCTTGTATAGATGTTCTCGCTGTGTCTAGGACATTAAACTAAACTTTATTGATCCACAAAGGAAACTACATACACAATATAATAACAAATAATTTAAACATCTTTCAGAGGATGTCATTAAACATAGCTATCAAGCATTTTTATTAAGTGTGTTTTCATTGCTCAAAATACCTGGATAAACATACTTAGTGTGAGCGTGGTCGCCTCTCCACAGATCTGATGTATAACTTGGACTGGTCGTGCTACCTGCTTGTCTCCAGGCTGATATAGATACTTTTAATGTGAAACCTTCTAGACAAAGCAGTAGGGCTTCTGCAGGTGGGGGACCCTCCACTAGAAGGACAAAGCCATGACTGAACAAATGTTTACTACTTTAATAACTGTTAATGTATCACATAGATAATATTACATCTATTTCTACAATCATTATCTCATTCTTGTCTTTTTAAAATTGTTTTCCAGGCAGCGTGGTGTACTTGGGGATGATGGTTGGAGCATTTTTCTGGGGTGGGATGTCGGACAAAGTGGGCCGCAGACAGTGCCTCCTCATCTGTATGTCCACCAATGGTTTCTTCGCATTCCTGTCATCTTTTGTGCAGGGATATGGCCTGTTCCTCCTGTGTCGCCTCATTGCTGGCTTCGGGTAAGTCACTGTGATGGCCTGACTCCAGCTATCCAAACGTAAGAGTCAATATCCTAACCTAAAAATAGCAGCCCATAGCACTGAAGGTCTCTGTGAATTTTGTTTGTAATAATACAGCATAGTAAGGTAGTAAATGTGTGTATGATGTATTGCATTCTCCATTTTGTTCATGATGTAACTGTTGCTTTAAGAGCTAATTTAGTAATTGCTTCCGCTATCATCCTCCCCAGAGACCTGCAGAGTAATTGAAAAAGCTGCCCAAGCTGCCAATGAGACCTGTGCTCCTGAATCATGAGCACACTGACACAACACGTTTTATGTGCTGTTAGCAGAAAAATATGCTTTGTTGGACAAATTTTAGTGAAAAATATAGTAAATGCTCTATAGCTACAATAAGTCACCTTATGGTCCCCAATGCTATTGTAACCTCTAGAATCCAACAGCAAAACTTTTGTTTTTGTATTTCAGAATTGGAGGGGCTGTTCCCATCGTATTCTCCTTTTTTGCTGAGGTCTTGTCCAGGGAGAAGAGGGGTGAACATCTCAGCTGGCTGTGCATGTTCTGGATGATTGGAGAAATCTATGCTTCAGCCATGGCATGGGCCATTATTCCCCACTACGGTGAGTCCAAGAATATATTTAGTTTGACTAAAGGCATTTTGTTAAACAGCAGTAATATTCCACAGTTTGTTCTTCTGGGAAATGTCATAGTTATTGAGCCCCTGACGTCACTTGGAGATGTGGTTCAGTGGTCACTGTTCCTTACTATCAGGCTTGATCACTGATATAAGCTGAGAGAGGCAGAGATTAAAGAGATAAAAGAGCATTTTAAGGTAAAGGTGGAGGAGCCAGACTGCTGTGTAGCAGGGAGATAGTTTATAGTTGTGTGTTTGTGTGTTTGGACCTGCTGTCCCTCCTGGAGGAGCCGCCCCTCTGTTTTGTACTCTCCTCATCTCTCGTCTGACTCTGTCCTTCCTTTTATTACCTCCTCTCTCCATTCTCTGTCTCTGCAGAGTGTTCTTCTTGATCAAGCATAATTAGGTTTTTCTCCTTGCTCTAATAGGACAAAGCTACAGCTAGAGGTGATTTATGGCCAGGCCATGCTTTAGCCAAGCTGTGACGTCAGTAAAGAGGGCACTGTGTGCTGCTGTTTTACTGAGCTGAGTCTGTACAGGTCTTCTTCAGAGGAGATTGAAGGCAATGCTATCTGACACTGAGAGGTCAAATGAGTGAACACAAATGAGCCCATGCATAAAGGCAGAATGTCATGTCATGTGCTCTTTTCAAAGGAAGCTACACTATGTAACTGTGGTCAGATCTTTGTAAAACTGGGTCTTCAGGCTGAATTGCTGTTCTTTTCTTTGCACTGGTCTATTGCTATTTAGTAATGGAAAACACCAAGTGGCCCAGACTTAATGGTCATTACATTTTAATTAATTTTTTAAATATAAAACATTATCTCTCTCTCTGCACTGGGACAGTTGTCATGTGGCATTTACACTATGTGCTTGTTGTGCAAAGCTATCCATACTGTGTGTTGTGTGAAGTTTTCTCATAGCAGAAGGACATGCACTTTCTTTCTTGAACATTGATTTTATAGTGCCTCATCTATCAGGCCTCTAGAGGCTTGTTCGTGCCACTGACGCCCACCTCCGTTTTGAATTTGTTTTGATACAGTACATAATACCATAAAGTATGGATTTGAATATTCAATTAATCTTACAGCATGTGAGCTATAAGGTTACCCCGAGCACCCTATTTTCTGTCATAACTATTAACCCCCTCCTAACCTCCTCTGTAGCATGACTCCCACTGCTAGTGATGGATTATGGCACTATTCCCTTCCCAGTGAGATACACAATCTGTCTTGACGACACCACGCCCTTTTATTCACTTCCTATAAAATGTGTTCACAGCGTTCAATGATTCCGAATGTTTCACTAAACAATAACTTTGTAATGCTCATTTATTCTCATTCTTAACATTTCAGGTACATTTTGTTGCGTATTCTTGTCATCAGTATTTCATCCATTTGATATATTTTTCATTGACAATGCAATTTTCCCCTCTTGTTTGGACGTGTGACTTTTCCCTTGTTATTTAGTGTATAACTCGCAATATTGGTACCAGGTGTGTATGTGTGTGTGTGGGTGTGTGTGTGTGCGTGTTACAATGATTAATGAGTCTGGTAGAGAGCCTTCGGGCTGAGATCAGGTGCAGCAAGATTTAACTTAGCAGAAAACACTCAATTCCTTTCCTACACATTCAATTAACCCGTCCCTATGCTCCACTCTACACAGCCATTCATCTCATGCATCAGTCTGTAGGGCTGGGACTGCTCCTTTTCAAACGCTGCCTTTTATTTGTTGATAGGTTTTTGATAGTGTTTGAAATGCAGTATTTAAGTGAATCGTTGCAGTCTTTGTCACTGTATCTTTCTGTAAATATTTAAGCAAAATCAATTAAAGGGGTCAATGCAGAAACTCCCCAAACAAACTCAAGTGTATCACGCACAAATCTGCAAAAGAGAATTTACAGCTGAAGTCATTGTACTGTAAAATTAATATCTCAATATTTTAGTGTTATGTTTATCTAACAGAAATCTATTGATCATGGTTTAAATATCAGGGAATTGTGAAAATAACTGTAAGATTTACCATAAAAGTGCAGAAACATAACTTTATTTCCTTATTTGATGGATTATGACATACATTTTTTCCATTTTTATTTTTGAATAGTTCTTTTTGCAGCTTTCTTTATATTAATAATATATAATATAACACACAAGCATCCCAAATGCTTTATATTTTGTGCAAATACTGCACAGAAGTCTGATTTAGTCACATAGTTTTGCTTTTACATTATATGTGGGAAGACCCACGTATCTTATACATTTGCCAGAGTTTACGTTTACAAACTGCTGTACTATCATTTTGTGTTATTCTATTTATCTCACACAGCCTCCAGTTTCACTTACATACAGTAGTGTATTGTGTATGTTGTATTTGCAGGCTGGAGCTTCAGTATGGGCTCTGCGTACCAGTTTCACAGTTGGAGAGTGTTTGTGGTGGTGTGTGCTCTGCCCTGTGTGTGTGCTGTGGTGGCTCTTACCTTCATGCCTGAGAGCCCCAGGTTTTACCTCGAGGTGAGCTGCTCCCTCACATCACATCACTGTTAACGCACACATACGCACACACAGATGCACACACGCACACACACTCACACACTCACACACGCACAGACATACAGTACACACACACACACACACACACACACAGATGCACATATATGCACACACAGACATACACAAAAAACACGTTTTGTTTTTCCTGTATCATAATATGGCATTCAACTTACCAATGTTGCTTTATTTCAATTATAGGTATTTTTTATTGCTAATAAAAATACCTTCCTCTTCACAGATCTGACCTGTAACTTTATCTGTAACTTTGTCTCCATGGTGATAGATTAGTTTAATGCTAGACTGTCAGACAGGCAAAATGTCCACGGAGTAGGTAGTGGACATAGAAAAGTTAGATAAGCCCCACAAAATAATATATTAAAAACAGTTAACTGACAATATGAGGCTTTTAAGAAATTAGGTTGACAGTTTTAAAAATTACAAAGCCTACTTTTATATATCAAATGTCTGTTTTTCACTATTTTTTTTTTTTTTATATGTGTCTAAAATGTAAGCCAGAATTGTGACAGTAGGTTTGCTGTTGAAGATTATTATCCTTTGAAGTGTGTGGTTGGTGTTTTAACCCATCAAGACAAATGGGAGTTATGTATTAAGAGTCTGGTTTCATTTGTGTAAGGTGGGGAAGCACGATGAGGCCTGGATGATCCTCAAACAGATCCACGACACAAACATGAGAGCGCGTGGGCAGCCGGAGAAAGTCTTCACCGTGAGTGTACCCCCCCTCCTTGTCCACACTTTAGCTGCTGCTTAAATAAGAGGCTTACATTCTGCTACCACGGCGACAGGTTTGAGCCACGTCGTCTCTATGCAGGATCACATCTCAAACACATTTTGAAAGCAGTTTGATGTCATTCAGGCTTATTTGCTGCATGAGCTGAACTTTGGGAAAGCCTCTTAACCAACACACACTTTACTACATACCATTTCCACTAGTCTTTATACACAAGTCCATTAGAAGTAGCAGTGGACATGTTATGCAATAATTTCAATGGTCAAATGTTTCCGTTACATCATTACTAAAAGGCCTTAGTGTAACATCATTTTTTCTTCTTGTGATATACAGGTAAACAGGATTAAGATTCCCAAACAACTGGATGAACTGGTGGAGATGGAGTCAGAGTCAGGCAATCCGGTTTCCAAAGCATTCTTCAGGATCAAAGCTGAAATCCAAGGGGTAAAATACCATTTTCAATCACCAGCTGTTACAGTAGTTACACCTGCTGTAATGATAGTGGTACTGGTAACTGATCAACTAAGTATATTGTATTTTAACAAGAGACAACCATAATTTCTTTCTATTGCCTAATTTATTTCTCATGTGGATTTCAAGAATTGCTGTTGCGTCTAGAAAAATCCCAGTAAACTACTCACAGAAAATATTAGTTTTGATGCCCGATTTGAACTTCAGACATTTACCTGTAAAAGCATTAAATTACTGCAATGTGATATTTTAACTATATATTCAGATTCGAGGTGGCTGCACTTTCAGTTCAGTTCAGTTTGTATGATACTTCAACCACATTTGTGAGCACATTTGAGCACATTTTAGATGGATAACTAAAATTCTATCTAATGATACATCTATATTTTTGGTCAATTCCCATTCAGAAGGATAATTTTAACAGATATACCGTTATATGTGATAAGTCATAGTTATATCTACAATAATTACTATATCTATGTTCTTATGTTGTCTTATTTAGATCTACGTAAATCTTCTGAAGTGCTTCAACTACCCCATGCGAGAGAACATGATGAGGCTGACCATTGTGTGGCTCACTCTGTCTTTTGGGTGAGCTTTCATCTGTGTTACAAAAAACTATTTATACTGATAATAGCACTCGGCAGCCATGTTTGCTTTTTTATCCTTTGATCTGCACAGTGAAGATTTTACATGCTTTAAACCAGTCCTGTGCTTTGTAGATCAATATTGCTCCACCATTCAGCAACACAATTTTAAGTGCTTTATTGTACTGTCTTTTTCAGATATTATGGTTTGTCGGTGTGGTTCCCGGATGTGATCAAACATCTCCAAGCAGACGAATATGCCTCCAAAGTAAAAATCCACACCAATGAACGCATTGAAGACTTCACCTTTAACTTTACACTGGAGAATCAGATTCACAAAAATGGAGTCTTCATCAGTGACAGGTAGAACAATGTAGCATAGCAAAGATACCTAATTATGTATAATATTGTGTAAGACTAATTGTTTTGCTTCTTTTAGATTTATCAACATGAAGCTGAAGTCTGTAACTTTTGTGGATTCAACATTTCGTAACTGCTTTTTTGAGGATGTTTCAACCGTGGGGTCCTATTTTCGCAACTGTACCTTTATTGATGCATTTTTCTACAACACAGGTAAAGCTAGGATTTTAAAGATGTTATTGTTTTGCCCAGAATGTTCCACAGTATGGCATTAATTTTATGTCCATGGATTTCACATGCAGTAAGAATTTATGTTTAGCTATTTATGTAGCAAACAAAACAAACAAATTTTCAATTGCTGGCGAATTAAGGGGCCCATATTACGTTATTTTAAAAAATCTGTTATAATGTTATTTCCTCATTACAAATATCCCTGAAGTTGTGTTTTTATTTCATTCACACATGTTCAACACACAGACCCTGTATATTTAAGAGTTCGTCTCTCAAACAGAAAACAATGTGTTCCACCGTCTGACGTCATCTGGTAGTACAGGAAGTGCTCCAATGTGTTTCAAACTCCATACACCTTCACTAAAATAATTTGCATGATTTGAACCCTTGGATTGAGAATATTTACTACATCACAAAGTGAAACAAAACATTTTCAGATTTGGAGATGTAAACAGCCTAATAATAAAGGATCAGTCAAACACATGTGAATGAAACAAAACACAGCTCCAAGTATGTTTTTAATGAGGTAACCATACCAGCTTGTCAAAGCCTGATCCCGTCAGATCTCTGAAGCTAAGCAGGGCCGGGTCTGGTTAGTACTTGGATGGGAGAACGCTGGGAAAATCAAATGCCACTGGGGGTTGCCAGTTGTAAAAAAAACCAAAAAACTGTTGTTGTATCCTTAGGCAAGACACTTCACCCACATTGCCTAGTATGAAAGTGGTGCATGCATGAGTGTTGGTGGTGGTTGGAGGGACCGATGGCGCTGATTGGCCGCTGTGGCGACAATAGTAGCTTACCATCATCCGGTATGGAGTGAATGAATAATGCTCTGTAAAGCGTCTTTGTGACATGTGTCTGTGAAAAGCAATATATAAATGAAAAACGTACTTACTTACTTAAATGCTGTACTGTGGAACATTCCAAACAAAGCAGAAAAGTTACATAATTTATTTGAAAAAAAAAAAATCTTTGTGACAATTTCAAATCAAAACTGCTGACGCTTGGCTTGTTTTGTTATTAACTGGACTGTGCTCTGACAAATGATTTATAATTCCTTCCTTGGGCCAGATATCGATGAGTCCAAGTTGATAGATGGGACAGAGGTAATCAACAGCACATTCGCTCACAACAAAACCGGCTGCCAGATGACATTCGATGACGACTACAGCGCATACTGGGTTTATTTCATTAACTTCCTGGGTACGCTCGCTGTTCTGCCCGGCAACATCGTCTCTGCCCTTCTCATGGACAAAATTGGCCGTCTGTCTATGCTAGGTAAAATATGCCCATCACACTCAGCACTTAAGTAATTGGTTCCCTCATTGACTTGCTTAGGATGTGCATTGTGCAAATCATAGGTGTAAAAGGGGCTGGGTTATTAACAATTCCATTTTCATGACAGCAGTTCTTATATATTTCACTTATTGCTGCTGGAATTCCCCTTTAGGTGGATCTATGGTCCTCTCAGGAATAAGCTGTTTCTTCCTGTGGTTTGGCACCAGTGAATCCATGATGATCTTCATGTTGTGCCTTTACAACGGTCTCAGTATCTCTGCTTGGAACTCCCTGGATGTGGTGACAACAGAGTCTTTCCCAACTGTCAGAAGGTAAATCCAATAATGAATTGAAATATACCTTATCCTTAACTTTAGCTTTTTATTTTCACACATAACAAAACATTTACTGAAACTTATTCATAGAAGGGGTAGTGTTCACTTATTGATCTGACATTACTTAAGCTTTTTTTGTTTTGTTTAATGAAATGGCAGGTCTTAGAGTCAATGCATTAACTTTTTTTTTTTTTTTACTCTTCCTAGTGTGGAAAAGACAGACAAAAGTTTTATGTTGACAGTTAAATTTTACTTAGACTTTACTTGCCCTAAGATATGATACTCTTAAAAATTAAAATCTTTGCATTATTTAAACAGTACGTTAATTTATATACTTATATTATAGGGTAATCATTCAGCCATAACTATTTGGTTCTGCATGGGTATTATGATTTGTAAATTACATGCTACTACTAGCTTTCCTACCCTCTTCTACTTTTTTCATAATATTGACTTTAATGCTTGAATGTGATTTCATGAGAATGCTGTTTTGTTCTTGTCTTGTACAGAGGAACAGGTTTTGGCTTCTGCAATGCCCTGTGTAAGTTTGCAGCAGTGATGGGAAACCTCATATTTGGATCTCTGGTTGGCATCACTAAGGCCATCCCGATACTCATGGCCTCCACGGTTTTGGTTGGGGGTGGCCTGGTTGCTCTGAGGTTGCCAGATACCAGGGCCAATGTACTCATGTAACATCTGGAAAAATACTCATTAAATCATAGAGGGAATACAAAAATCTTCATGGGTGGATTGCAAATGTCTTGGAACTACACTGTAATTGTCAACACATGCACCTTCTAAAAACACGTGCATTTTACATTATCATTCAAGCTAAGAGAAACTAAAATATTTGATAGATGTTAGATTCAACCATTTATATACACTTCAATCGGAAAGATGTTAATATTGATTGAGTCTTATTTGGATTAGCCAGATGGAGAGGAAATGTCAAAACAAGCTGTAATGAGCAGTGCCAGTCTGGTGTGCTATAACATTGGGAATAGAGGATCAGACAGAGAAGATCGCTACACAGATGTTGACAGCTGGCTACAAAACCACACAGGACTCCAGTAAGACATGGTACAGTCACTTTTTAGGCATTTACCCAATCCATACATCCATACACCATTGTGAATTTTGACTATGCATGTAATTGCTAAAGGTGTATTTTGCCACCCAAAACTTTTCCAAAGCAAAGTTACCAAGTCCTTTGCAATCCTCGGTAGTCTAAACAACAGTTTCAAAAGCCATATGGCAATAGAGATAATAGAAATATTTTATTTATTGACATGCTACTTTTGTTGTCTAATTGTTCTTGCCATGCGTTGTAATGAACTTTCAGTGTCCATGGCGAGCTCTTCCTCGGGTTTGGCTTTGTGTTGTCTTGCTTGAGGCAGTGATGATTACATGCCATGCTGCGTTCTTTCAGAAATACTGAATGGCCTTTCTTAAATGTGCCTCTACTCAAGTGGAGCAACCTGGTCGTGTGGACTAAACAGGACACACCACATAGAGATAAAATAGTGTTATGTGTCTACATGTAAAATATGGGGCCAGTACAGTCATGTTTGGGTGGGTTTATTCTTCATTATCTGTTAAACATAGCCATATTTTGATAAATTTAATATATTTTTAATGTAAAGACGGGTGCCAAATGTTTTTGACTGTTTACCCCTGTGAGGTTTAACAACAATGCAATAGAAAACAGTGTCTAGTCCTATAGATATATGATAAAAAATGAATTATGTCAGCGACAAATACCTCACAAAAGTGTTTATTCATTATTTTCTTATTTATTTACATGTTGTATTCCTATTATAGATTTATTTGTATTTATGGTCAGTAATATTAAACGTGGCTTCAGCAAAGCAGCTAACTACTCTAACATCACAGGCTACAAGGTGGTACTGTATGTCCATAAAATACATTTTCAGTATAATTTTAAAATGCTCTGAATTTATTTCAAAACACATTAAGTGAAAAGTGTGTGCAACTGCAAATATAAGATATTTTTGATGACACAGGTAAATATTTTTGACATGCAAAATAAGTAAGTAATTACAGCATTAATTATTCTCATATATTGGCTAGTCGTCTATAATTTGTCAGACAGATTATTAATTTGTATGGGTTGGAGAGTTGACATGTTTTACTTATTTCTTTCAATCCATATTTCAAAATTTAGTGTGCGCCTGAGTGTGAGTGTTCCTAAAATATAGAAGACTATGTAAATCATATTGTGACGCAAGTATTGGCTTGTGTATTCATTCATGGTGTAAATAATGTCCATATCAAATCTGACACTGGTGGACTTAAACTAAACGTCATCTGTTTGTCCAGGCAGTTATCTGTATGTATCCATGTTGTACGTCTGTGTGTGTCCTTGGCTCTAAGCCTGATTTCACCTGCTTTTCTGTGTGTGAGTGTGAGCTCAATCTTGCATGTGTGTAAGAAAAATACCCTGTTCTTTTGTGCTCAGCTTTGTGTTTTTGATGTGAATTCAAATGGCAATATTTTTATTTTGTTGACAAAAAATGTGAATGTACCATTCTTGTTTCTGACCAGTCATTATATAAAGTCAATACAGTCTATGTGGAGAATAATGTGATCTGTGAAGGGCCTGTCAGTGAAGACCATGTTGTATGTTGGAAGGCTGAGTGAGTGAATTGCCAAAAAGATGCCCTGTGAACTGTAACTGAAAAGCCAGGGAGTTTCAGACTGTGCTGCTGAACATCTAAATAAAGTTCTCTAACAAATTACACAATGCAATGATGAATGTTTTCTAAAATTTTTAATAACGAGCAATAGCACAAAAATAAAAGCGTAGTCTATGCTGCCATCTAGTGGCAGTCAGCAAGAACACGAACCCAAATGAGTGCTGCCAAACAACAGGACCATAACTAAAGGAATAGGCCCCACTCAAGCATGCGTAACCTAGTAATAGTCTACACATAGGCTTTAACACGTTAGGTCTATTTCTTAATCATTTTACATGTCGTAGCCATAGCCTTTAACATTTTGTGCATTTTATTTTGTTTAGTCCCAGTGCGGCAGCCAAAGATGCAGTGTAATACTGTCTATTGGACGGCAGATGGCGCTGTCTACCAACTCTACCATTGTCTGTCAACTTGCGCCCAGCGCGTGTGTGGGCAAGGTAAAGCCAAAGCCAAAGGGACGGCTTCTGAAGTTCACAAGTCAGGCCAGCAAGCCGCGCACCATGGGGCTGGCACGCAGCGAGTGATCGTGCTCTATCTGAGAGACGTCTGTGCCATTTTAAGCTAAAACGCTACATCTGTCCGGAACGGGTAGAGCCTGGTCTGGTCTGCCGCGTAAAGTTTGGAGGAGTTCAACTGAGCAGGAGCGGTGGAAAGAACAGCAGCAGCCACGATGTACCATGAAGAAACAACCGCGTTACAAAAACCACGTTATGGAAGTAAGTGACAAAGGTTTTTTCAAAACAATTAGCCAAACAAAGGATCTTATGCAAGCTAAGAAAATATCTTCCTCTTTTTATACGTGCAAAATAAAGCCACAGTGAGCGAGCTGTGCTGATATGTGATGAGTAACAGGTGGGATCTCCATTGAACGTAATGTGACAGCCACTGATGTTGATGGAGGCATTTAGAAAGAAATTAAACACTGTATTTCCCATAGGCGTACATCAGTTTAAGGCCTATTTTCTCATGGGCCAAGAAACCACCCGGATCATAATTTATTCAAACAACTAAGCCAGTTTAGTCTATCTACCCAGTACATTTGCCTATCTGCACTTTGCCACAGGTTAACCATTAACGTGTGGTGGGTTGCTATTATTATAGCTTCAGAATGGCCCAGCTAAACATGACATGAGTGCTAACAAATATGAAGTTTACAGCAGACTGTCACATTTTTGCAGAGGCATCCCATGAGTAACTGGGGGCAAAGTTCACTTTAAAAGATAAGCCCAATCAATTGTGTCATCACTGTAAACCTTTTAACTGTGTCTAACAGTTGCACTGGAGCAGTCTAATGATAATGTTAAAACACTCTGATGATCATGCAATTTAACCAGTAAGCATGTGTGTGATAATATTTTGACATAAAAATGTTATGTAATCTATAAGTAGCCATATTTTGAGTGATATTCCTATACTTTTTGTCAAATGATAAAACATGACTCCCTTTGTTTTTGGCACTGAAACAGTCATAGTTATACAAGTTTCCTTTGATATGGTTTGAACAACAAAAGCACTAGTCATTCAGCCATAATATGGGTCTATAGGTCCACCCAGAAACAAACTCATCCTCAGGGTAAATATAGAGCTATGGTTGAAGAGTGCAGACTCCAGGAAGTGTGCTTGTTTTTTATGAGTAATGCACAACGAGGGTTTCCTCTCTTTGGGAAAAAATGTCAAAAAGTTGTATGAGACCATTCATTTGACAGTTGACCAGTTATAGCAAGAGTATGATGTTATTATTTTTTACATAATTTACAGTATTCAGTATATGCCTAACTGTAGTCATATAAAAGATATTTGGAAAATGCATCTTATATTATCTGCATACTGGATTATCATAATGTTAATCTGACTTTTGCCTTTATTTTATATTCTTATATTTTGCCCTGTGCACCCCTATGCATTACCTTGAATGGTGTTTAATCATTGCTTTGATTAGGAAAACCTTGTCATTTCTTTGGTGAATTGTGGTCTAGGTTAATATTGTGTGCATGATGGGATTTGTTAATTGCATTCCTTGGTGCAATTGATCATAATTTGTTCTAAGGTCGATTCAATCATTGGGAGGACCAGAGCCAAACATATGAGAGAAAAAGCAGTGGCATGGAGAAGAGTTCAGACTTCTATGGTACTGACTGCCTTGTTTATACTCATGAAATCAATATAGAAGGAAAAGGAAAATTTTGAAAAAAACTTTAATAAAAATAAGCCTCACATTGCCATATTGCCTTTGTCTAACTTAGTCCCATCTATTTGAATGTGAGATTCATTCAAATACAGGGCGTTAAAAATGATGCGGTTATGTAAAAACTGGCATGTGTGTCTTTGAGGATCTTATCTACTTATCCTCCTCTTCCAATGCAAAAGATACTCCATCACATACTTTGCTACACTAACCTGGCCATAAACCAATAAGGAAAAGTATCAACTTACACTTTTGAGTGAAGGATTTCAGTTGACTGATTTCTTTTAACTTGGGCAAATATTCTGTTGTTACTGAGGGAGCCTTCAGTCAGCCAGAAATAAAGAGATTTGATTGGATTAGAGTGGCACAGTGCACACGGGTGGGAGGAGATCTCATTAAAGTGCAGGTAAAGGTCACTTGAAGTCACTTGTCACTGGACTCCTGTTAACACATGGACTCTTCTTCTGTGGTCTGTAATGTAAAGAGTAAAGAGGGGTGCAGAGGAATCAATGCGTTTGTTTTGGTTCATGTTAGTTCCATGTACTTATTTATTATTGCTTGCACACTTTTTCATATAAGGCTGGCTCAGTGAAACGTGATGTGTCAGGTTTTTACACTGGATGCCCTTCATGCTGTTCATTCTCCAAACCAGCCACAAACTGTGCTTGGATTTAGTAATGTGGGTGTCTTGCCCAAATACAAAATGACTCCTCGGGCAAGGTTCAAGCTACCATCCTCCAGTTTATGAACCAACACTTAACCTACTGTCACTCATTTTATCTCTAAATAAACAATATAAAGGCAGCGATATAAAGCATGGCAAACTTATTTCAATTAAAAGGTCGATATTACACTACTTTTGTCTGTTTTGTAATTTTGTTTCCTCATCAAAAACATACCTGGATTGTTTTGTTTTATTTGTACATGTTTAACTCACAAACCCTGCATATTTGTGTTCTTCTCAGAAATAGATGTTCCACCTTGTGCTGTCATGTCGTAGTACATGAAGTGCTCTACTGTGTTTTTAAACTCAATACACCTTCACTACACTCATTTTGATAATTCTCCATCACTACTGAACAACTGGCAAACAATATGACAAAAAATACTTCCCAGTTCAAAAACTAGTTAACTGTTGATTTAGAAATGATCTTAATTTTGAATCGGTTATGATGAATGATGCTATTGTTCTTTATTGGGAAATACTTTGAGTGCCCAGTGGGGGAGGATAGGCATAGTAAATTAAAGAACAGTGCTTAGCCCATAGTTTTTACTCGTGTGCTTTTTTTTTTCTTGTAGCCATTCAGGATGACGAGAGGCTGTCGGCGGAGGAAATGGATGAGCGGCGCAGGCAAAACATCGCCTATGAATACCTGTGTCACCTGGAGGAAGCCAAACGGTAATAAAGGAGCAGAGAGGGAGAGAAAGAGAGGGAGAGGATATTTGCTTTGTTAATTCTGCTCTGTGAGGGCGTGCTGTTTGATTAGGTTAAAGAAACTCCTGTTATTATGGGCAGAATAATGTTTGCATGTAATTATGCACATTAGAAGGACCAGGGAGCAGCGAAGTGAAAGTAAAAGGAGAGTGGCACTGAGCTGAAATAACTGGTGATGATGCTGCACTTGAGGCTCTGAGCAGTGAGCAATGACTACAGGATAAAGAGAAGTGCTGACATTGAGGAAAACCTGTTTGGATTTAGACTTTGTTTCTAATTACACTGCCAATAGAATAGAGATTAAACCTAAAATGCAACACTTTTAGTTTAAAGGAATATTATGACTTTCAACTAACTGGAAACTTCCCACTTCCTGTTGAGATTGGCAGCGTGGTTGTAAAACGTGTGTGTAAAATGATGTTTTGTGATGGCTCGCCCAACCACATACTTCCGAAGCATTGATCTTCAACCTCAAACAGAGCTTTATTGTAGTTACAGCGGCATTCATGTTTCAATAGTTGTAATTTAACTTTAACTGTATTATATTTAATTTTAATTTATATCATATTTTATAAGGTCAACACAGTACATGTTCAGATTTTAAACCCTTAAGTCTTGAACTGTATCCTGGAAGTAAACAGGCTCCAATGAAGTGTACTCTGACTCACCTGCTGCTGATGTGTGCACACTTCTCTGGCTCTATTCTGAGCAGTGTGCCCAGTGGGATTATTTAGGCTTAAGATATAGTTCCAATGAAGCTGTTAACAGAGTGTTGGATTAAGTTGTGCTGGCAGTCAGCAGCACTGAGTCAAGGCACCTGGCCAGTACTACATCTGGGAAAAGATGCCAAACCACTCGATCAGTCTTGAACTTCACCTACTCAATGTGTTTTAATTGTGGTAAGACTGTCAAAAACAATGTCTACGCCACAAGAAAGCACTGAAATATGGCCCTTTTGAAACTGGCTGTTAATGAAAAGATTACATTATAAATAACAATCTCAACTTCAGTTTGGAGACAGCAGTAGGTATACATTGCTGGTTATGTTGTGAGTTTCTGAACACACCTCTCAACATGAATACACACACACACATTCACACACAGCAGTTTCCAAAGAGACTTTGTCCCCAACAGTTGATGTTTACCATTATATTTTCAGACAGAGCTATCACTGGTTACATTCTGTTGACCTAGTATTTTAACTTTGAGACAGGGCCTTCCCCACATTTGCTTTAGATTATTGATGTCCCAATGCTCACTGTAACTCATGACCAGCATGACTAAGCTACATGACGCAAGCCCTGTGAGGACGCTGTGTGTCTGCCTCACTGCTAAGACGTTTACTTTAATAGTGTTTGGATTGTTTGGTGTCAGAAAAGCCCTAAGTCCTGGTGGGTCTCCGTGGACAAAGGCAGGAAGAGCTGCTTTAGAGGGCTGTAAACAGGGAGACACTCACCTCACATTGTCCTACGCTCAGGAAGTAACATTTTAACAGTGCACCAGTGCTCCCAAGGCAGGATGTTTCTACATGTTTACCTCATTATTATTTCACTTTTGTTAAAGCTGAATGTCAGCTCTTTGTGATACAAACACGTACACATTATCACAACAACTCTTTAATTAAACTAAACATGCTGACGATACAGAAACAAAGGGGAGGGTGCTATTACGTGCAGCACCAAAGAAAGCAGTGACCCGCAGATATGAGTATGTATAAACAGAACATAAGACAAGTTTAAATATACACAATATACAAAACAACTGAACATTACTCACTTATAACACAAACACAAGACCCAAATACTTGTTTAGCCCACATCAGGACAGATACAAACTCAGTGTGAGTCCCATGTGTAGAAATAATGTGTAACAGATTGTCAGCTGGGCCGATTCACTGAGCTCACAAATGATTCACTAATTCTTTGGCTAAGATTTCCCAATATCTCTGACCATAGCAGCCTGGAATGTACATGGTGGCAATTGTGTTAATATTCTTTTCACCAGTTCATAATCTTTCCATTCATTAATAATTATTACCGGATCCCTTCCACAGTGTAATGCCATTACTATCATGTGTTTTCTAAATATTAATATGAATTTCTAGGCTACATGCTTGATTTATATATGATAAAACATGAAGGCAATAAGGGTAATTTTCTAAACAGATTGTGTATTTTCAGATGGATGGAAGCCTGCCTTGATGAACACCTTCCACCAACCACAGAACTGGAAGAGGGATTAAGAAATGGTGTTTACTTGGGCAAACTTGCAAAATTCTTTGCTCCCAAAATGGTATCAGAGAAGAGAATCTATGACAGAGACCAGTCCCGATATAAGGTGCAGCTTTATTTAATTATACATATGTTTTTTTCTATTTATTATTTTTGTTGGCCTGGGTCCCTGCAGCTGGGAGTAGCATGCAGATTTAGTGTGTTACAGTTTTGAACAGCTTGCATCATGGCTCACAGGAAGTCTGGACCCAGATATTTGACAGCAGGGAGGCGTGGGGGCTTCACTGTGTCAAGCAGCTGTGCGTTAGTGGAGTAAACAACCCCAAACCCTGAGCTTTGATTTAGGATTGCACCGTGTATTGCAATTGAAATGAAAACACAGTTTGAATGGGCACAATTGTTAAATTGCTCAGCAATTTGCAGTCTATTATTTTATTTTACTTTATTTTACAGGACTCAGATTTTCTGAAGTTTATAGGATTTCTGTTCTGGTTCATTTGTAATCTCAAATGTTAATGCCCCATGTGTACAGCATGCACTCTGAACAGAATCATACTTTAGAACATATTGTAAATGTAATGTAATGTGTTTAGAAAATGCCTTAAATCTATCATAACAATGCATTGGTTTATTATGTAGAGCAAAGGCCTTCACTTCCGACACACAGACAACACAGTGCAGTGGTTAAGGGCCATGGAGTCGGTGGGTCTCCCGAAGGTAAGGACCTCCCCAGCCCCTCTCTCCACAGACACTCAGCCTCTGTTTCACAAACACACTCCTATTATGTGCACCCAGCTCAGGCCACTGTGGCAGCTCTCACACCTTATTAACTGGTAGTTTTTCTTACGGCCACTGCCCAAACATGAAAAGCACTATTACTCTGGGCTCCGGCAGTTATTGTTATTTAGGTTAGACTAAAAATAGCATCAACTTTAGCATGTAAAAATGTCAATAGTAGTAGGTTTCTTATCAACGTATACAATACAGTTAGATAGACCTCTGTTGTCCCCAAGGAGAAATATAGTAGGGTTGATAAAAATGTATAACCAGATACTATACTAATACTAGACTAATAGTAAAAGGTATTGCTACTGAAAAAAATAACAAAATTGCACCTTAATGATCTTCATTTATATCAGAAGTAGTATAAGACAACATGGCAACATTATAACAACTATTAATTTGTATTGAAAATTACATTTTCTTTTTTTAAAAAAAACAGCGCCATTTCAGGATTGTGGGATCTGTATAGAGTATTCAACCCAAGTTTGAAATCATAGTATTAAAAACACAGACAGTACATGTGCTCTGGTGGTTTCTAAAATGAATATATATAGATATACTTTTGTTGCATGAAATAAATGTTGTGTGGTTCATTTTCAGATTTTCTATCCTGAAACTACAGATGTTTATGATCGCAAAAACATGCCCAAAGTGGTGTACTGCATACATGCACTCAGGTAAGAATCAGTATTATTTGGCATTAGAAGACTGGATCAACTAGCTAAATCACCTAACTATATTTATGTTTAAAAAATAATTATTGTTTGTAAGAAACCAAAAGGAGATTAATCTTTGTTCATAATACAATGGGCCATCATATTTAAACATAATTGTATGAGTTATATGTCAGCACTTTCTAAATACCTCTAAATTCCCTGCACCTGCCTCTGCAGAACACAGAATCGTTTTACTGGCATTTGGGATAATGATGTAGACTTTTGCAACTGCTTCTGTATTTGCTGACTTTTCAAAATGTTCCCATGGCAGATTTTGAAAGAGGGAGTTTTTAGCCTTTTTATTTACAGTGCAGCGCCCGCTTTATCTCCAACAGAAATGATAAAGATACTCTGTAACCTTGATATGTTTTCTTTTTCCAAAATTATTTTCATGATTGTTGAAGACTTTAGGACACCCAGAGATTGTATTAACAATAGAGGACTGCCACAATGCTGCCATACCACATGGGACGTTTGTTACATCATCCCTTTTGCTTTGTTGCTTTCAGTTGATAGGACTGAATGAACTGTGAAGTCACTTTTATTAGACCCATTCAAATGCACACAGATTCAGGGGGAGGACATTTGAGCTGCTACAATTGTTTTCTTTTAAGTGGTGTTTTGCGCAGGTCCTAAGAGAGCTGGCTTCCTTCCCCTCATGTACACACGTGCTCTTCCTTCCTGCCCGTGTAGCATGAGTCCCATCATGCACTGCTTTATTCTCTGTGCAGAAGAAGCAGATGTTGTTCTCACAATTTGTCACTGGTGTTGTATTGCTCAAACTGCTGTCAGGGATGCTTTTGGAAGAGGAAGCCAGAAATTTGGTGCAGGGGAATTCACATATAAGGACACTAGCTGCTCGGGGCAGTCATCTGATGCAGCCTGGGCCATATTCATGATCTCAGTCACCAGTTGATGTGTTTAAATGCTGTTTTTGTAGAACTATTATGAGTCTTGAGGTCTGATCCATATTATAGGTTACATTTGTCCCATTCAGGGTTGCACCCTCACCATCTCAAAACATGTATAATTTATTATGGCTTATCAGGCACCGGTGGGTATATGAAAGTTTTATGAAGTTTCCAGCCAACCACTTGTTGAATTGCTCAGTGGTTGAATTGCTCACTGGTGGAATGAACCTATCAGCTTTTGTTACACATGGAAAGCACTGCCCCCTGGTGGCAAGTTGACAAGCATAAACATAGTAGTATGCAAATATAATTGTTTTATTTGTGTGTGTTTTCAGTTTATACTTGTACAAACTTGGCATTGCACCTCAAATCCAAGACCTTTTGGGTAAAGTTGCTTTCACAGGTAATATTATTATATTTACTTAACCAATAAAGGGTTCAAACCTGTTGAAAACATAATGTTTCTCATTGTATGTTTGTTGTCAATAGAGGAAGAAATCAGTAACATGAGGAGTGAGTTAGAGAAGTATGGCATTCAGATGCCAGCCTTCAGTAAGATTGGAGGCCTCTTGGCTGACGAGCTATCTGTGGATGAGGCTGCTTGTGAGTCTAAAACTACATATAAATAACACGTTCACAATGTGTATGTACATGATATTGTACATGTGTCCTCTGCTGCCCTCAGTGCATGCTGCGGTTATTGCCATCAACGAGGCAATCGACAGAGGACAAGCATCTGCAACACTGGGAGCTTTGAATAATCCTAATGCCATGTTGAGGAACATTGATGAAGCTTTGGGCCAGGACTACCAGGACGAACTGAGCCGGGCTAAAGCACTCAAACAGGAGCAGTCTGCTGGACGGGTTGGTTTCATTCACCATTATTTGGTTCAATTTAACGCAAATAAATGTGGCTGCCAATCTTAATTTCAAGAAAAAAAGTCTCTGCTCTGAACAACATTGTTTAAATGTCAAGAAATTGGTTGTAGATATCTCCTTAACAAAAAGAATTCATAAGGATTCATTAATATTTGTTTTACTGCACAGCCCTACTGCTTTGTGCTAAAACGTCTGGTGTATTTATCTTCTTACCATAAACAGTAGATACTAATTAACACTAACATGTGCTTTTCTTTAGCGCTTGTCTGTTTCAACTGAAGAGAGAGATGTTTATGAAGAACTGCTCACTCAGCAGGAGATTCAGGGCTGCATTGATCTTGTTAATAGTAAGTAATAATAAATGGTAAATAGTAAGTGTAAACAGTAATAGATTTGTCAAATCCTGAACAATCAGTACAAAACCATGTCCTTCTCTCTCCAGCCCAAACTGCCATAGTAAAGGTGAATGAAGCGGTGATGGCACAGGACATGGCTGCCCTCTTAATTGCACTTAAACTGGAAGCATTAGCCTTGTTAGGTGTTCAGGAAGCTAACAGCCACTGGTACCTTGAGCAGTTCACCACATACTGCCAACATAAAGCCCAGGTATCGTGTGATTAGTCCAAAGCAATTACAACCACTGTACTTCCTTTTTTTTATTAAAATGTATTTAAATGTATCACTTGATTATTTTTCATGCTTTAGGAAGGAGGGAAGGCCATTATGACTGACAAAAGTGAAATTCAGAGAGTTGTCACTTCATGTAATGATTTTGCAGAAGCAGAGAAACGAAGTATGTTCAGTTGTTCCAATGTTTTAATGTTTCTAATTTTTTAAATAATAGTTGCCTGATAATTAACTGCTTGTTGAACATGTCTTTGCCAGAACTAGATGCAGTTGCTGCCATTAACACGGCCATAAGACTCGGCAATGCATCAAACACTGTAGAGGAGCTAATGAACCCTGAGGCCCAGCTGCCCTTAGTTTACCAAAGTGCTGCCAAACTTTATCAAACTGAGCTGTTCAGCCTCCAACTGCAGACAGGGGGACGGGTAACTCTCATGTTATATTTGTTATGATTTTTGCACTGTATTTTTAAATATGGCGTGATGACACTGTTGTTGATGTTTCAGACTGGCCTGGGGCATGAGGAGCTGAGTGTAGCTGTGGAGATGCTGTCCGCTGTAGCTGTTCTGAACGAGGTGCTGGACACAAAAGACCCCCACGCTGTGATTGAACAACTCACTGATTCCCCCCTTGGCTTCACCAACATAGACCCAGAAAACCTCCACCGGTCAGCTGCTTGTTCTGACAATGTACTAGTAGTAATTGGCCCTTTTATTGTTTTTATTGTTTTTGTTTTTTTTTTGTTTTCTCTGTCCTCTGGTAGGTATGCTGACACTCTGATCAAGGAGCGAGCTGAGGCCCTTTCAATTGGACAGGAGTTTCTCACATGGAATGATGTTCAGAAGTGCATTGATGTCGTCAACATTCAAGTAATTGAAGAACATGAACGTAAGATGCTTTTGTTGGATAATTAGAAAATGTCCAGTGTTGATTTACATGAAGTCTAATTCTGTGACCTGTTTTTCTAATTTGACAGGTGTTATTGCTATAGCTGAGATCAATGAGGCTCTTAACTCTGGTGATTATCAGCAGACACTGGCAGCACTTATGTTGCCCACAGCAAAGTTAACAGGGGTGAACCCAGACACAGCCAAACACTACCACGATGTCCTTCTGTACACAAAGCAGCTGCTCTGCCAGGTATTGCCATATTTGAAACTATTTACCCTATTTATTAATTACCTTTAATCACACTTTATGTTAATCCATAGATTCCACACACAGGTAAATGTAGACTTACACCTGTTTATTTTGTTAATACTCAAAAGATGTTGGACAATATTTATTGAGTGCTTAGTCTCACATCACTGCAGAGGTAGTCAGAGGTGTCCCACGCAGGGATGTGAAGTGTAGCTCAGACGAGGCAGTCCTAGACAGAAGCAAACACAGAAGAGGATCCAGACAGCTGTGGAAGCAGCAGAGGCACACTGCCGCTCGGTAGTACGTGTACATGTGGTCATCCCCGTTCACAATCAGACAGATGTAATGAATTATATGGAGGATGCCACTGGGTAAGAAGCACACTACAAATATGACAAAGACCAGGCTGCTGATCTTTATATAAGGTTTCCAATCACAACCAGATTGCCCCAAGTGGTACACCACTGACACATGGACATAAATACAAACAAAGAAAGGCACTATGAACCCCAGGCAGACCAGGCCCAATCGAAACGGGACCAGCAGAGAGTGTGGTTCCACATCTAGAGGCAGGATATCATGACATGTGACGACTCCCAGCTCAGAAATGAAGTAGCTCTGCCTAACCAGCAGTTCGGGCACTATAGCTGCCCCAAACAGGAGCCACACAATGAGACAGGCCCATAGGGATAGAGAGGTCGTAGCCATTCGCCGGTACAGAAAAGGCTTGACCACAGCCAAGTAACGCTTCATACTGATGCATGCAATGGTCTGAGATGAGCAGTACACATTCCCATAAAACAAAGCTGTGACAAGTCTGCAGGAAACCTCCCCAAAAATCCAGTGGTTTTTATTAATGTGATAATGAATGCGCAAGGCTAGGGACAGCAGAAGCAACAGGTCCGACAGAGCCAAGTTCAAATACAGAATTATTGTTGCCCGCGACTTGTCCTTGATCTTAACCCTTAAAAAAGCCAAAATATAAGCGTTAGACGGGATGCCCAGCAGCATAGACAGGACGTAGGCTGATGGTATGATCCAGTTACTCAGGATTCCTGTGGTGAAGGCTGTGGCTGGTTCCTCAGGTCCCACATGAAGAAAGGGGTCCATCCCAGGCCAGCTCTGGTTTATGTGGGTCAGTGTATAGTTACGAGGTTTAAACGTTCTTTGTCCCTTATTAGAGGAGTTTCCTATGCTTGCCTTGGTGTCACCTGTAAGTTTCAATTAAAGAAGTTAAACTTAACAAACAAGTAAAGAAAATAATAATACATTGGTTCATATACAATTAGTTTTATCATCTTACCTGTATGTTGAAGGCTCTGTGCTGCCATTAGACAGAGTACTAATCCCTGCATAAGGTTAGCCATGTTTACCTTTCATCAGATGGTCCTCAGCCCACAGATGCTAAATCTTGTTCGTTTAATGAACATCCTCAATTCTAAAGTTGTCCGTCCAAAGCTCTCTTTTGGCCATGTCTGCTGTGGTGCGAGGCCGCTCTGTTTGTGCTATAGTGGGTCTTCCTGCTCACACACAGGATGCCTGGGGTTTGTGTGCTGTATGGAGCACGTTTCCTGTCCAGGCTAAAACTGAATTCCCCTTTGACTGCGTCATAATCCGAGTAGGTGGGACCCCACTGTGAAATCACTCAAAACAAATGGTTTTCAGTCTGACCCTTTGTTCATTTCTTTCCTCTTGTTTCATTCTCTTCTCTTTGTTCAGTGGATGAGTGTGGCTAATAATGCCATCATAGACTTTCAGGAGGCAAGTGCTTAATGAAATATATATTGTGGCTTAAATTGTATTCCGTTTTTTTACAGTAAAAATACATACTTTATGTGGTTCATGTGGAGTCACTGCTTTTTTCAGAGTTGTATAATACAAACTCATTTTCCAATGCTTTCTTAAAAGGACCTTTAGAGCCGTATGTCTAATGCTGAATAAAACATGTTATTTTTAATGGTAAGGAGGGATGTTTACACAGGGATGGCTACTGTTACTATGCATTTCCTTCCTCCCATTTTTTAGAGACTTGGTTGCACTCTAATAGCATGTTTGTTTGTGTTGATCAGCAATAATAATCTTTGAGAAATGTTTGTTTTGAAAGAAAATGCTATACAATTCATTCACTTTGAATAGAGAAAAACTTACATAAACATCTTCATCTTTCAGAGCTCGGGAGATGAGTCACTGGTTTTGTGGCTGGACCAAATTCAAGAAGCTATTGACACAGCCAATCAAAATGAAGAGGATGCTCTCTCAAGTTTGTACATTTTCTTTACTCAAAATGTAATTTTTGGAACCTGTGCCTTTATCAGATTTTTTTTTGGCAGTGGCTGGAGCAATAGCTCATGTGAACAAAATGATTTCTGAGGGAAACGCTCAGAACACACTAGAGGCCTTACAGGCGCCCCCTGCTGGATTGAGGGGTGTACTACCTGAATGTGCTGACAATTACCAGTCAGAACTGGCACAAAAACAAGCCAGCAGTTGTAATGAAGGTAGGGTACAGCATGAAAAACTACTACTACTACTACTACAGCCATGACCACTATTAAACAAACCTTTTATTCTCTCTTTCTGTTTTTCCAGCCACTACAGATGGTGTGTGGGTTAAACATTGCATTAAAGAGCGTTATAACTATTACTACAACTTACAGGCTGGACAGGGCACATGGGTGGAACCAGTGGACTTTGAACACAACAGTAAACATTTGAGTAGAGAAGGAATTCAGGTATATGGCCTTTAGAAGTGTAGAAGTGTCACAATTTTATGCTAAGCAAAATTATATCAATAAAGTATCTCTTATGTTTCATCTCTAGGTTGTTGTTAACTCAGTTACTTCAGATTATAACAGAGAGCAGTTATGGTTAGCCAATGAGTCGATGGTAACAGTGCTTCAGGCTCAGATCAGAGGCTATTTGGTTAGAAAGAAACATGCTGAAAGAATGCAATATCTGCGCCAACATGAGGATCAGGTGGTAAAACTGCAGGTAAGTTTTCATTTACAATATAACACTATACTTATGTGCTAGTGGTTTAAACAGTTTCTCTTCTACAGGCTTGTTGGAAAGGGTACAAACAAAGAAAGCTGTACAAGGAGAGAATGAATTTACTGAAAAAAAATGTGGATTCTGTTGTCAAGGTACAGGATGTTTGAAAAGGTCCTTTTGTCTCATTTTCAGTATTGTTGATAACATGAATGTCAACTCTGAACTGTTGTAGATACAGTCCCTTGTGAAAATGTGGAAAGCCAAACGAAAATACAATGAAAGGTTACAGTTTTTCAAAGACCATGTGAGTGTCCTAAACCAGTTCTAATCGTTGCCTATTTTAATTCTTTGACTGACATGCACTTACATACTATGTGCGTGTGTGTACAGGAAAAAGAGATTGTAAAAATCCAGGCTTTTCTAAAGGCCAACAAAGCTCGAGATGACTACCGAACACTAAGTGAGACATACACATGAATACAAATTATATATATTTAAAAAATAAAATGTGTGGATGGATTATTGACAGGATGCCTTGTGTGTTTTTTTCAGCTGGAGCAAAGGACCCCCCTCTGTCAGTTGTGCGTAAGTTTGTCCATTTGTTGGAGCAAAGCCCCTTGGATCTACAGGAGGAGCAGGAGGTCACCAGGCTCAGAGAGGAAGTTGTGACAAAGATTCGTTCAAACCAACAGATGGAAAAAGATCTGAATTTAATGGATATAAAGATTGGTTTACTAGTGAAGAACAGAATTACTCTACAGGTAGTCTAAATATATTTAATTTATAGTACAGTACATCTTTACATTTTTAATCATATTGTCATGATTTTGAGTTAAATTGTACTGAATGAACTTCAATTATTTATTTGATATTTTCTTCTAAAGGATGTGGTAACCCATAATAAGAAAATGAAGGACCTAAAGAAATCCAATTCAGAGGATTTCATCAGTGGAGCGAGGCTGGGGATAAAGGGTCTCAGCAAAGGCAAAAGGAGGAAGCTCGAGGCCTATCAGCATCTCTTTTACCTACTGCAGGTCCATGGATATTTAATCTGAATATGTGGATTTTTTTTTATGATAAACAAATACTTACTTTAATCTTCTGTTTTGTAGACTAATCCATCTTATTTGGCCAAGCTCATTTTCCAAATGCCCCAAAACAAGTCAACAAAATTTATGGACACTGTTATTTTTACTTTGTACAACTATGCGTCCAACCAGAGAGAGGAATATCTGCTACTCAAGCTCTTTAAGACTGCACTAGAAGAGGAAATCAAGTGAGAGAGTAAATATACAATAATATAAAATATACATATTCTTAAATTGATGTCGTCCATTTGTGAATCAGGTCTAAGGTAGATCAGATCCAGGACATAGTGACTGGAAACCCGACGGTCATCAAGATGGTGGTGAGTTTCAACAGAGGAGCACGAGGCCACAACACTCTGCGACAGCTGCTAGCACCTGTGGTGAGGGACATCATCGAGGACAAGAGTCTGGACATCAACACCAACCCTGTGAGTGTGTATAAAGCTTGGGTCAACCAACTGGAGACCGTCACAGGAGAGGCCAGGTAGGAGAGCCGAAGGACTGTCTGTGAATACTAACAAACTTAAATAATAACACTCATATGTCTCTGCAGCAAACTGCCTTATGACGTCACTCCAGAGCAAGCCATGTCTCATGAGGAGGTGCGCAACAGACTGGAGGCCTCCAGTCAGGCTCTGCGCTCTGCCACTGATAAAGTCTTAAACTCTATTGTGTCCTCGCTGGACAATATCCCGTAAGTACATGCAGTGTATATGCAGGCTACTTTCAAATTGAAAATAAACATAATTTATTCAGTAATATAAAAATACAAATAATATTAATTCACTACGTAAGGAATTACAGTAATTATGTAAATTTTGTTAGCAATATAATGATAATTGTATCCATACTACACCTGTCCAGGCTTTTTGACCACAAGGTGGTGGTAATGGTGATTCTTAACATTAGATACTTATGTAATATGATTTATAGTAAAATCCATTTTCCATATTTAATTGTCTTTATAGTTATGGCATGAGGTACATAGCAAAGGTTTTGAAGAACAGCCTCCATGAGAAGTTTCCTGATGCCTCTGAAGATGAGCTGCTGAAGGTAGATTTCACAGATTTTCTGTAATGCAATATACAGCTGTGTGTGCACTGTTTGCACTGGGCCTCTGAATTTATTTATTTATTGTTTTAAAGATTGTAGCAAATTTGCTCTATTATCGCTTCATGAATCCGGCCATTGTGGCTCCTGACGGCTTTGACATCATCGATATGTCAGCCGGAGGTCAGTTGCACGTGGACCAGAGGAGAAACCTTGGCTCTGTGGCAAAGATGCTCCAACATGCAGCCGCAAATAAACTGTTTGAGGGGGAGAACGCACACATGACCCCAATGAACAACTACATCTCTCAGACTTATGAGAAGTTCAGGTCAGAACTTTAGAAATACCATAATAATTGATGCAAATTACAAGTTCTGTTGTGACCGAATTTAGCTTTTGATTTCAGGGCATTTTTCCAAGCAGCTTGTGACGTGCCTGAACCAGAGGAGAAATTTAATATTGATGAATATACAGACATGGTGACTTTGAGTAAACCTATTATTTATATCTCGATAGAAGAAGTTATCAATACACATTCGGTAAACACCACAACATCACAACCAGTCCATTTCTGTAACTAATTTGTAACTAATCTATATCAATAATGTGTTTAGCTGCTTTTGGAGCATTTGGAGGCTCTCTCTCCAGATAAGAACGATCTTTTGCATGAGTTGCTCCAGGACCTGGGAGAGGTGCCAGATGTAGAAGCATTGTTGGGTATGTTTCTGAATTGTTATATTACTGCATGTTTTTGCTCTTTCTTATTATTGGATTGCTTTAATTTTTTTTTTTTTTTACTGTGTCAAAATCAGGTGAAGGTGCAATTGATCCTAATGATCCAAACAGAGAGGGCGCACTAAGCCAGCTCGCCAAGACTGAGATCTCACTCACTTTAACCAGTAAATGTGAGCTGCTGGAGGGAGAAGATAAGGATGTCAAGACCCTCATTACCAAGTGTGTAAATTCACTATTTAGTTTTGTTTTATTCTACTTTAAAATGTGTCCTAAAGTTTGCCAAACTAAAGTATTAAGAAAATACTTATTTCTACATTTGATTGAATTCCATGTAACGTTTTGGGTACAGTGTGTTCATTATTCATGCACTATCACTTCATGGCAGTCTTCTCTTTCCTGCTCTTTTATCATTTCCTGTCCAAACAGGAAGTAGTCTGTCAGTTTTATCTTTCTTTCAATTCTAAAGAAGTATGCTTTCTTTGTCTGTCCCTTGGAGACAAACTATCCTTTAAAATTTTACAGTATACATTTGAATAATTCATGATACAAAACTAAACCCTTTATGTGTCAGAGAAAACAATGAGAATAATGTATTAACTAATCTTTACATGATTATTACTTCTTGCGGCTTTCAGGAATTAGTTGCTTACTTAAAGTATGAGGATGAGTTTCACTAAGCTGCCTACTATTTGTTTGCTTGCCAGCTAAACACAATCATAGATAAAGTGTACAATATTTGAAACAACTAATTTACCTTTTTGTATATTGTGTATTGGACTCCTATATAATACTTTTTTCCTCATTACTTTTATTAACATGTGTATTGTTTGTACAGGACTAAAAAGCTCATAGTGGATGTGGTACGGATTCAACCTGGAGAGTCATTACTAGAAATTCTGGAGACAGCAGCAACTCCCACTCAGGTGATGCCACAGTGTGACCCTGTTTTCGTTTACCAGTGTATTGCTGTTAGTGTTAGTAGTGTATTGTTTGTTAGAACTGTAAATGTAACTACTGTTTAACTGATGTGTGCTCTGTACTGAACTGTGAAGGAGCTGGAGCACACAAAGGTTATTGAACGACGAGCGATGCAGGACGCACAAACCCCAGAGGGTCTGAAGATTAGCGCCACACTGCTGGAGGATGGGCAACTACCGCTCGAACAGAAGAAGAGGAAAATCCTGAGAAACCTGCGCAACCTGGAGCAGGCAGGCGCGGTCACTGCTGCCAACAAATATCAAGACCTCATCAATGACATTGCCAAGGTAGTGCACAGCATTGATCAGAGGCTCTATGGATGGTCCGGTTGTAAACTAAAGTCTTGCATTTCAGGACATTCGCTATCAAAGGCGCTACAGACAGAGGCGAAAGGCTGAGCTTGTGAAACTGCAGCAAACACTAAGAGCCTTGAATTCCAAAGCAGCATTTTACCAAGACCAGATGAACTATTATGACACATACATCAAGACCTGCCTAGATAACCTCAATCGCAAGTAAGCATTTTTAATTACATTCATCTTTGTGCTAATGTATAAAAGTGAATAGAGAATCAGCCTTTTTCTATTTTAAGAAATTCCCGTAGATCAATAAAACTGGACAACAAAGGAGAGGACAAAGGCAGTAAAAAGTGGAAGCCCCATTCACTGAAGTACACAGCAGCACGTCTGCACGAGAAGGGAGTCATTCTAGAGATTGAGGGTCTTCAGACAAACCAGTAAGTAGAAAATTACCCAATTAGTATTACAGGTGGTTACCATGGGTTTTGTCTAGTAGTTAACATTCCTTTTTTAAAATCCAACTGAACAAAATTACAACTGAGTAAGTAAGTAACAACACATGTAATTGAGATCAAGATTCAGCCATTTCTAAAGGTCACTGATCAGCTTGGGTTCTTTGTTATGGAGAGGTTTACAACTAATTGTCTCATTAGTAAAAGGATGTGGTTTGTAGTAGAATGCAGACATTACAGGAAGAATTTTTTTATGTTTTTGTGTTAAATAGAAACAATATAAATGTCTTGTTTATGTTAAGGAAAGTAATATTACAGGACAAATTTGTTAATTTTAATAACTGGGAAAAATGTGATTGATCAATATCCAGATATCCAGAAAAGGGAAAAAATTATAAATAGAAAACTAGGGCCGGGCACGTTAACGCGTTAACTTTGCATTAACTAATTAAGTCATTAACGCCAACAATTATTTTAACGCCGTTAACGCAGTTTTTATTATTTATTTATTTATTTTATTGTAAACGTCTGTTTCTCACTGGCTTTTATTTTGAAAAAGTCCACCGTGAGCGTTTCTTTAAGTTTGACGTCTTTTCTTTACACTTTTTTAACTTTTTTCTGACCACGTGAGATGCAACGTGCCTGAGCCTCCGCGAGCCGCGGGTTCAGCCGCGGGCGCCGGCTCCGGCTCTGACCTGAGCTTATTTCTTTAGTTCAGTGCTGGAGTAACTGATTTACCCAGATACCATTGGAAGAAAAAATGTGATTGGTCCATTTCCATTCCATTATATTAACCCTTTGTTTCCTAAGAAATATCAGTCCAAGTTTATAACACTTATCTAGAAATTATTACTAGTGTAGTGTTCATTACTCACAGCATAAAAAATATTCAATAAATATATTAGTAGTACAAATGTCCATTCAGTATTTTTTCTTGAGCCTTCCCTGAATACCTTGAAGGCTCTGAGGGTTCCCCTGTGAAAGAAATGCTGTTTGCACAACAAATGTATGGCTCTTTCATTTACATTTCCAATAAAAGAGCGCTATACTCTACTTTTTAATTCATTAATTGGTTTTGCGTGTAACATGCGATTATTCGTGATTAATCGCTCGAACTCATGTGATTAATCGTGATTAAATTTTTTTATTTTTGCTCAGCCCTATAAAAAACGTAATACATGTTTTGTCAAATAGCCAAGACTTGAGTATACGTGTACAATCTAGATGAATGAAAACATGAAAACATGTTTTACTTTTTCTAGGTTTAAAAATGTTATGTTTGACATTTCACCAACTGAAGAAGTCGGAGATTTTGAGGTCAAAGCCAAATTTCTGGGAGTGGAGATGGAGAAAGTGCAGCTACATTTCCAGGTGAAACATGTAGCCCAGTTGGGTACAGTACTGATGTCTGTATTTCACTAAAATGATCTAAATTAAGATCATTCTCCTGTTTCATGTATAGGACCTCCTTCAGCTGCAGTACGAAGGTGTATCTGTCATGAAGATGTTCGACAAAGCCAAAGTCAACGTCAATCTTCTCATATTCCTCCTAAACAAAAAGTTCTACGGGAAATGAACAGGAAACCAGATAAATGTAACTTGAAGGGTGCCTTACGCTTTGTAACCATTATTTTATGTCCTATCAAAAAGAAACTTATTGTTATTGTGTGTTATGTGGTAAATGTAATGTATTCTGTTTTAAAATAATTTGTAATTCTTTTTGTATGTATAAGACGCTAAAGAAAATTTGTTTATAATTTAGTTAAGGAATTTTGATTTAACTTCATGCATTTATGTAAGTGCCTTTTAAATTATCTTTAAACCAAAATATTTTAATTAATAAAATAAAAAAGAAGAAAAATGTACATTGCAATATTATTCTTGTTCATCATTCTTTTATGCAAATTATGAAGCAACAGTTAAATATTGCAACAACTTAAAAAAAAAAAAATTAACACCCCTAGAAAAATTATTTATGTTTCAGTGGGAGGAGTCAATCTGATATTATGAACAGCAGTTCTCTTTACAGCCCACAGTCTGAGCTGAAAACAAACCATGCTTATTTACACTGTATTTGGACCTTTGCTGTCACTAACTCTTCACAACACTGCTTGTTCATCCCCAAATGGTAAGTCTTTTCTCAAAATTCATTTTTTAAATTACAATATTGTCTTGATTCATCGTTCAGATGTTTTAATTTGTAGCACTTTATCTGACAGCACAGTAATGGCATGGCCATGGCATAGAAATGGCATTTTAAATAAAACTGTAATTGCAGTGGTGAAAGAAGTACTACATTTTGTTACTTGAGTAAAAGTACAAAAGTGCAACAGATTACTCAAGTAAATATATCAGATGAGAAATGTTCTAAAAGAGTGAAACATTTTTGAACATATTTTGAGATCTTATGAAGCTTCAGATGTACTGGTTTTGATTGAAGATTTGGTCTAAATTTTGTTCAGTAGAAACAATTGCATCTTTTTTTTTCTAGCTGTTTTTCTGGTTGTTTGCTCACATTATGAAAGTATTTAAATAAATAAATAAACCCTCAGCCTTTTCAGCAGATCTCAATAAGCAGGTGACAGACCCCCAACCATTATATAAGTACAATACTTTGACTTCATTGCATTTCACCACTAGTAATTGCTCATCAAAACTCTGTCACTATACTAAATTAATCATTATTGTTAAATAAACTTGTTAACCTTACCCAGTACAAACCATATTTGTAAACATATTTAGTATATTCTTGGTTATTAAGGAAATGGGCTACAAAATAAATTTTCCCCCTCATTATCTCTGCCACCATGCTGTATCCACTGAATTTTAACACTGTTACTGTGATTTAAAATTCTGTGATGTACTATATAGTTCTGATTTTGAAATACATCTCCAACTATTAGAATGATTGCCAATATCCTTTCTCCCTCCCTCAGGCTCAATATTTGACCCCAGAACCTTCTCTGGTCAGTTTGTGTCTGTCCACGATGACCCTGTGGACTACCTGGACCTGTCTGAGTTCAACACTGAAGAGTCCGGCTCTGGTTTGGGCCTAGAGCAGCACCCAGTGAAAAAACAAGTCCACCATCCCCAAAAAAAGGGGCACTACATAGTCTCAGAGCAGGCCAAAGAATTCCTCCAGGGTCGTCTGGCAACCCTGTTTGTCCCCACTTTTTACATTTTGGTCTTTTTTGTCAGTGTCCCCCTCAACCTTGTCGCCGTAGTGATGTTTGTGCGTTACATCCGACCCAGGAAACCAGCCGTGATCTACATGCTCAACTTATCCTGTGCTGACTTGTTCTATGGCCTGCTTCTTCCCTTTAAGGTCTCCTATCATTACCATGGCAACAACTGGATCTATGGTGATTGGATTTGCCGTATGGTGACGGCAGCTTTCTATTGCAACATGTACTGCTCTGTTTTGCTCATCTCTTGCATTGGCATCGACCGTTTCTTAGCTGTTGTGTATCCTATAAACTCACTAACATGGAGAACTCCCAGAACTGCCATCTCTGTCTGCATTTCAATATGGCTGCTTGCATTGGTGGGAGTGGCACCTCTGTTGTTCTCTACACAAACTGTCCACTTACCACAAATGGACATCACGACTTGCCATGACGTTCAAGATACACAAAAGCTCCAATCTTACTATCTTTATTTCTTCCCTATTTATGCCACCATCTTTTTTTTCATTCCCTTGGTGCTCACTGTGGTCTGCTATGTGCGGATAGTCCAAGCCCTCACAGCAGCTAATGTGGAGATCAAGTCCAAGAAGACACGGGCAGTCGTCATGACGATCCTGGTGCTAGTAATGTTTGTAGTATGTTTCACCCCAACTAATATTATCTTGATGGTCCACTATGTGCAGCTGTCCCACATTTCTTCTGACTCTACCTACCAAGCCTATCTACTGTCTTTGTGCATAGGGAGTCTTAGCTGCTGCCTGGACCCCCTTCTTTACTATTTTGGATCATCCCAATGTCAAAGGCAAGTCTTATTCATGTTCAGGAGGAGGAGATTTTCAGTACTGAGTAGCTACAAAACACAAAGTACAAGAAGTAGTGGATACAACAGTAGCATCCACAAAGTGGAAACACTGGGAAGCCAATACACTTGAGCCTGTTTTCCGCTGGCATGGTTTGTCCCTCCAGCCGAGTTTCCTTTTCATCCCCCGAGCAGGACTCCGGGTCAAGGTTTTCCCTCACAATTACTCATAAGTTATCTATTAATATTTCATGCATGTTAAACAATGTAAAATATTGATCTATGTATTTGATACCATAAGCAGTTGCATGTACAGCATCTGTATACTGTCAGCACAATCACTGAGGCTGGATCCAGGTGCATCAATTCATTACATAAGAAAGAAAAAAGACTGTCCAAGTTTTACTTGTATTTTTTTATTGCTTTACTTTTTCTCATACATTTCATTTTAATTTTGTCAATTGCAAAAGAACATAAAATCAATGAAACAATAATGATCACAGTGTTTGTGGTTAGTTGAATTGATTGTTGGAGTGGTTCTTTTACTCTGTACTTTCTTTGTCATCTGGGCACAGCTCTGGAATATAAAAAGTTTATATAAATTACACTTTACAGTTGCATAGTCTTATAACTCAGTTTTTAGTTGCATAGTATACAGATCCCTCTGTCAATTAAACACTGACGTTACTGACCTATTTTACCATCATAGCTGTGAAAGTTCTGTGGGAAATTCAGACACTGGAGCTGTTTCTTGAATATTTCAACATCTTTAGGATCTATTTTTCCACTCCTTGCTGCAAAGGAACTAAAGTTACACCAGTAACTTTTGAGTTTTTGGTACTTGTAAGTCTAGGCAGAGCTGGACTCACTGAACAGTAGGAGGTTTCTCCCAGTCAAATCCATGTTGCGAAACGTGTCTGCCCACAGCAGGCAGTCGGAGCATGTCTGCAGCAGGTGTCCTTTGTGGTTGCACAGATTCTCTACAAAAACACTCAAAGTTATTGTCTTACTCTGTGTTTGTCCCAGTACAGACATAATGTGCAGAATTTCCATGAGAATACACTAAAAGTTGTAGTCTCTGAAAACACCCATTTCATTACATGCTTCTCTCTTTACAAGTTTTGTTCCAAAAATTGTGATTTTCCAAACAAATGTGACCATAAGGACTTATTAATGCCTCTCTGGATGAGACTTATGTAGAGGTAACATACTGTAAAGAAGGATTAAAGATGGCCTACACACTAGATATGTGAGTGACAAAAATATATAATGTTAAAACAACGTAATACATGTTTAAATTGTCAAAAATTATTCCTGCATTTTTTATGGAATTGTGTGTAATGATGACGTTTTCAACTTTTTTCATTACTTAACTTCCCAAACTGCAACTGAACTAAAATTTTTGCTGCAGGTACTATCCCATTAAACAAAGTAACAATTTTACAAGCATAAAAACCTGACATATGAACTCTAATAGAATGTTTTTATGTTACTCACTGCGAAATGTGACAGAAAGTCCTGAGACTGTTGCATTGACCTCTCCGTTGATGCAGCGACCACTGATGGGCATAAACAAGTGAAATCACAAAACAAATTTCAGTCAACTCAATATTAACTCACAAGCAGTAGTCTCCCCATCGCAGAGTCACTGTCTGGCTGTCAGAGGTGAGGGCCACATCGATCCAGGAACTTTTCAAGGAGTCCAATGCTTTGTGATATGAAATAGGATCACCAGCACCCATCACATAAATCCACTTACCCAGTACCTGTGAAAATGTGCATAAAATGTAAGTGGATTTTGAAATTTTGGGTAACTAATAGACTTACCACTTGAGTATTTTCAAATACAAATGGTTTTAAAACTTCTTCACAACCCGGCGATAATGCAGCACCAAGTGCAGTGACCACCAAAAGCACAACAGCGACAGAAAAGGGTCCCATGTTTCGAAGAGAATGAAAATAACTAAACAGAACTGGATACTTGGTCAATATACGGGTGGTCAAGAGGCGGGGGATCAACAGATGAAAGCCTATTAAAGTGGTACTCCAGTTCTGTTTAATATTAGACATTTTGGATCACAGACAAAAATTTGTTTAAATTGATTAACCAGACGAGATGAGTTTGGGTTGTTTTTACTTACTTGTTTGTATTTGGCTACTATCCAACTCTTCAGGTGCGGTGTCGATGTTCTGCGTGTCATCAAAGACATCGTTGCTTTGCCTGGAATTTTCCACAGTATGGCATTACACTTTCCTCTCTTGCATCTTTTCAGTTTCAAATGTTAGTACTTTTAAAACAATCAATTAATACTGTGAGTGGGGTCACCACCACAGATCTGGTAGCTTGGGGGCAACACCTACCATGGTGATAGATATGATTAATACAAAATTCTGTAACATTTTAGGCAAACTAAAAACATTTTCATGGAGACAAATAGACGGTAGATTCTCCATTCAAAAATGAATCAAAATGACTTTGTGTTACTTTGTAATTACAGTTCTCATTTTAATGAAAAACATTGTTAACTTGTGATGTTAAAAGCTATAGAGTAATTGCATTTCAAATGGAGTTTAGACTTTTTGTTGTGATCGTGTGTGTGTGTGTGTGTGTGTAGGTAGAGATAATATATTTTCACTTCATTTTTTTTAACAACTATTACATCACATTTCCTTTGCTTAAGCTCATAGACTGTGATACACTATGTAGGTACTATGTAGGTACTTTTCTGGTAAAGCGGCCATGTGCTTGTCTCTGTGGAGGTAGAGGTTGCCACCAACCTAAATTATAGGTCAGATCTGTGGAGAAGCAACCACACTCACAATAAGAATGCATGCTTTCTCAATGCATTTCTTTAGCTACAAAAATACTTAACTTGAATAGATGCAACATTGTTTGCCATACAGTGAAACATTCCAGTGGAAGCAATAACATCTGCAGGAGGACAAGAGGGTGGTGGACCCCCCTGAAAAGTTACACAGAGCACCAATCCATCTAAACACATCAGTCTTAACTAAGCCCTTGCTTTTAGTTTTTCATGCTTGTGTGGTTCATTGTCTCCTTGCGACAAACAGGGCTTTTGTCCTGTCTCTGGGAACAGCGCTGAGTTAAACCGACATGAAAAGAGTTGGGCAAGATTTGTTGCTCTGTTTTAAAGCATCTGGCATCATGTGAAGTTCCCAAGGAAAAAAAAAAAAAAAACAAACTCTTTTGAACAAGGACAAAGTACTTTATTTACCAACACAAGGTTGCTAACATGTGACTAGAATGTAACAGTTCAAATGTGAAACTTATTCATTCTTATGTAAAGAAAGTGACAGATTATCCACATACATTGCATATTGGACAATGAAAGAAATAAAACTACATTGTTCTAATTGGCTCACTCAGAAGGTGCCTGTGTGGGTGCTGGTTTGCCCTGTGCTGCAGAAGTCTCTGCTTCCCTCTGATCTGGGCAAAGCTCTAAAATGTTGAACAGAGAAGACATAAGCAAGGTGCACATTCTGAGGTCCAAACATAATGGGACTTTTGCCTTACCATCTGTTCCAAAAAAGTACTCAGGGAAGAATTTCAGGCACTCTGCCTGCTTCTTAAACGTCTCCAACTCAGAGGGCTCCAGTTTGCCAGTGCGTGCTTTGAAATAATGTGCATATGCTTAATACAGTATTAAAGGACATTGTATTTTATGTAGGCTATTTAGTGACATTAAAGATTGACTTACTGAAGAGGAACAGATAGCGTCCCTTGGAGTTTCCATCAGGCAGAAGAGTGGTGTCCTCAGACAAGAGACAGTCAGTACAGGTCTCATAGTACTTCCCCTCATGGTACGAAGTGTGACCATTAATATTAACTGCAACAAATACATTTTAAGTCAATTAAGCTAAAAGATCACCTCTAATTTTGTGTAAGAATTGTGTATGTTTTTCTTTTTAAATTTCATATCTAATACTTTATATTGATCAAACTTTAATGCTATTAAATTATTAATGTATTTATTTATTTACATCAGTCTATCCCACTTTATTTTTTTTCTTCCTTAATGTCTTGTTATCTATTGCAAAATTAATCTCAATAATTATGAGTTAAAGGCACACTCTATGTGGCCTTATTTTTGTTGTCTAAAATGTTTCACAGCATGTCTTTAAGTGGCACCAAGCCAAGTTACTGGTCAGATCTGTGGAGAGGTAATTTCAGATGCCCACAGTAAGAATGCATGTCTTTTTAACTTTATTTATACAGCTATTAAACACTCCTAATTGAAAAATGCAAATTAGATATGATTACTGTGGAACATTGCAGATAAAAATAACACTTCCATTGGCTAACACTTCACCAGAAAGAGTGATATAGTACATCTTTAATGCATAGATATTGAACAGCAAAGATCTAAGAAGAAGCTCCTGGATGCTTACATGTAGTGTGAGTTGTCATTCCAGATATGGTAGCGTTGGTCAGACCCTGGAGGCAGGTGTCATCCTTTCTCCTGTAGAGTAATGTAATGAATATCTGAAAAAAAGTGAGGAGCTTATATGTAAGCTTGTGCACTTACATGCGATCAGCCCAGTAAACTGTCATGTGCTCATTGTCGGGATGAGCTGAAAGTTCCACCAAAGATGTTTTTACAGAGAACAGGTCCTCTTTGAGCTCTTCTTTGTCCCACGATGCAACATGTAACACCCACTTTCCATAGATCTATCAACCCAAAACAGCACAAACATTAAAAAACATAGCATTCATTTCAGGTGTGCCTCATGATACTCACAGGACTGTGGCTGTCCAGGACCAATGGCTTAACCAGGTTCTTACATTCTGGTTCAGCTGTAGCTCGCAGAAAGATCAAGGCCAGAAGAGAAATTAAGAATTGTGGAGCCATGGTCACAACAGCGGGATGCCCCACACCACACTGTTCTTACTGCTTCGGGCGCTCCAAAACTCTGGAGCATTGGGTAACGGTGGGATGGTCCAACAGCACATGCACCTCCTCTGGCCTTTCATATCCACAGGCTTATTGTGTCCAAAATGTCTCCTTACGCAACAGCCATCTGTCCCTGTAAGAGAGGGGAGCATGGGCCTTCCCCCAAAATTGATCTTTTTAATGGTCCAAAAACAAATAAATAAATAAACAAAAAGGGAATCATTGTGCAATTTGAAATAAAAGCATATTGTCATGTGCAAATGAAAGGAATTTGCCATCATGTTAAAGTGACCCAAAAATTTGCTAATGCCAATTGGGCTATTCCTTTTCACTCCTTTTCACATAGATTACAACTGCTGATACAGCGCTGGCTAAAAAAAAAAAAAAAAAGTTCTACTTGTATGATGGGGTCAAAGTTGGATTGGTTACTTCTTCTTCTTCTTCTAGTGGTGTTTTATGGCAGCTGGCATCTGGCATGGCATAACTGGTGCATCTGCTGCCATTTACTGGTTTTATAGTTCTCAGTGCGCATTATACACAATGATAAGTGTGAAGTAAAATCATGTCCATTTAGTGCCCTCCTTATTTTCTCAAAAAAGTTATAAAACACCCACACCCAGTGTTAAGTCACAGCCATCAACTTTCTACCCTAGCTTCTCCTTCAGTGTAGCTTCCAAATCATCCCTTATGATATTTTCCACATCCAGAATCCTCTGTGCTGCATCTAGGATCATGAACAAAACAAAACAAAACAAAACAAAAAAACATACAACCATACAGTCAGACCTCTGATGCGCAATTGACAATAAAAGCCATGAAAGTCAGAAAACAAATTTTATCCATACACAAAAATCTACTGCGTCAGCATTTTTAACAGGCACATCTTCTTTCCCTTTCTTTACTTGTTTCACTGCTTCTGCATATGAAAGCCTTCATTCCTCTCTCAAACAGTTTACTTTAACTTCCACATTTTTCTGTGTACATTCATTAGATCCAGCATGATGTGTTCCAGAACAATGTACACACAAAGGTTCCTTGTTGATGATATCACATTATTCCACATGTCTATCATTTCCAATTCTTGCACATCTTTTAACACCCAACATGGCCATGCTCCTAACAGGAGAAACACAGGGTCTGACTCAAAGGGCCTCACTCTGTAGGACATATTATCTGGGCATCACAAACACCAGGAACATCTTCAAAATCGCTTGAGTCTATATTGGTAGGGACACCACTAATCACTCCCTTCGTTCTTTTGTTCCCACAAAGAGGAAAACAGCGGACCAATATTTTAATATCTATTTATCTCTACAGTTATTTATCTCTTTGCCTCTTTGAAGTCCATTCTATAATGAACATTCCACCTCTAGTCACTCAAACTGAACCAACTTGTCCAAGCTTCTCAGCAACAAATTTTCCTATGTTGTGAGGACTGATAAAATCGCACCTTAACAACAAGGAATGATTCTCCGATTGACTAGATTCACTTGATAAATCTTTCTTTTCCCCTCTTCTTTTTATTTTCCATTTGTTTACTAAACTCAACTTCATTTTCAGATTCCTGTGCAGGATGCGTGGCCCTCATCATTGTTTCGGCTCTCCCGTCAATCCAATGTTTACTTTTAGTTTGCCATCCAGCTAGTGATCACAGACACATGAATCCTGGCCAGTCACAAATGAAGGCTAATCGGCACACCTGGGACATGGCACCAGAGTGAGGATAAAAGGGGAAATTTGAAGCACAGCTGGGGCATGACCCTAGCAGTTGGCTAGTGGGATGTGGGCTATGGAGTAAGACAGACACAAGATGATGAATGGGCGAAAAGTTCAGAGAGTGTGTGAGGCTGATGTCCTGTTGATTTGAGTTACCTAGCACTACTGTGCATGCACACAACCCCCAAACGCTGTTAAAGAGTTTAAATGCTGTTGATTTGAGCTCCCAAGGCAGAAATGGAGTCTTAAGTCACAATTTCAAGGTGTATTGGTTTTATTGTGTGTTTTGACCATTAAGCACACAAGTAAGGACATGTGTGTGTTAGATTTGCAGCATAATACCTACGTTAGAGGATTGAATATTTTGAGTTTAATATTTGATTTTATCATTATCATTACATTGTATTTTATTTTGTTTCCATGTGTAGAAAACGTTGTAACTTTGTTTAGAAAGGCGTTGTATAAATAAACTATCACTATATAGGAAGTTCACACTGCCACACAGCCTATGGTATTTATTTAATATAAATAAATATAAATAAATAAATATATAAATATATTTTACTGTTTCCAGTAATGTCTTTCTCTTATAGAATGGGAGCCTTATTTGATAGAAAATATAGGTCTGTCGAAATGAATAATGGTGATTCTACAGTGGGAGCATTATTCGATGGTTAAATTGGCCTATTGATATGTACTACCTTTAGTCAGTGCCCTATTTGAGCAGAATACGACTGTCCAAATGAACTACCTACACATATTTATATAAATGAGATGAAATTGTACAGTTGTATATTGTAAGGTATAAAGTGTGACCATTGTGTGCAAACAGCATCAAACTAAACTAATCCATCCATCCATTTTCTTCCGCTTGTCCGGGGCCGAGTTGTGGGGGCATCAGTCTAAGCAGGGACTCTCAGACTTCCTTCACCCCAGACATGTCCTCCAGCTCCTCCGGGGGGGACCTTGAGGCGTTCCCAGGCCAGCCGAGCGACATAGTCCCTCCAGCGTGTCCTGGGTCTTCTCCGGGCCTCCTCCCGGTGGGACATGCCCAGAATACCTCCCGAGGGAGGCACCCAGGAGACATCCGGAACAGATGCCCGAGCCACCTCAGCTGACTCCTTTCGAAGTGGAGGAGCAGTAGCTCTACTCCGAGCTCCTCCATTGGGACTGACCTCCTTACCCTATCTCAAAGGGTGTGCCCAGCCACCCTACGGAGGAAACTCATTTCGACCGATTGTATCTGCCCTGGAAGGAATACATTGAGGGTCTCCTCAATCCGTCACGTCTTCCGAGGAGAAAGCCGAGGCTGGGGACTCGGAGGCGGACTCGTCCATCACCCTGGCTGAAGTCACTGAGGTGGTTGGCAAGCTCCTTGGTGGCAAGGCTCCGGGGGTGGATGAGATCTGTCCCGAGTATCTTAAGTCTCTGGATCTTGTGGGACTGTCTTGGCTGACACGCCTCTTCAACATCGTTGCGGTTGGGGACATTGCCTCTGGACTGGCAAACCGGAGTGGTGGTCCCTCTGTATAAGAATGGGGACCGGAGGGTGTGTTCCAACTACAGGGGAATCACACTCCTCAGCCTCCCGGTAAGGTCTATGCCAGGGTACTGCAGAGGAGAATCCGGCCGATAGTCGAACCTCGGATCCAGGAGGAGCAGTGTGGTTTTCGTCCTGGCCGTGGAACACTGGACCAGCTCTACACTCTCCATCGGGTGCTCGAGGGTTCATGGGAGTTTGCCCAACAAGTCCACAAGTGCTTTGTGGATCTGGAGAGACGCATTCGACCATGTGCTTTGTGGTGTCCTGTGGGGGGTGCTCTGGGAGTATGGGGTCAGGGGCCCTTTGCTAAGGGCTGTCCGGTCCCTGTACGACCGGAGCAGGAGCTGTGTTCGCATTGCCGGCAGTAAGTCAAACCTGTTCCCAGTGCATGTTGGACTCTGCCAGGGCTGCCCTTTGTCACAGGTTCTGTTCATTGTATTTATGGACAGAATTTCTAGGCGCAGTCCGGAGCTAGAGGATCTCATCTCTGCTATTTGCAGATGATGTTGTCCTGATGGCTTCATGGATGGTTCTCGACTGGAAAAAAGTGGCTTGCCCCCTCCGGGTGGGTGGAGGGTCCTTGCCTCATGTGGAAGAGTATAAACTAATCCAAAGAAATATATTGTAAAACTGGGGAGGTTAGTTTTTTTGGATCTATTCAACTGTACATGGAAAAACGTAGACGTCACTGTCGATTTAGGCTGCGAGTAGCTCATTTCAACAGGGCAACCCATTTTGACAGAACACCAAATTGAGGACGAGCCACCGGACGGATCACAGTGGAGGGCGTTACAATGACCTAGCTGGAGTCTGTCCCGCTGCTCTCCTGCTTACACTTATTGATCCACAAGGGAAATTATTTGGAAACAGTAGCTCATACATCACAATATAATATAATAACAAAGAGTAAAAAATATAAATGGTAATAATAGATTCTGAATAAGTAGCAAAAAGATAGCAAGAGTCAAATACTTATATAATTGTGTATGTACAAGACAAAATAAAATTTAAAAATAAGTAATAAAATATAAAATCTCAGCTATATACAAGGGGTCATTGGAAGACAGTGCGACAATATGATGATTGACAAGACATAGGATTATTCGTTACATAATGAATGAGTGTTATGTCCTCTATATCAAACAAGGGACACAACTGTTATAAAACAATCAGGGAGACAAAGTAGGTTTGGCGAGTTTTATTTTTAAAGCCAAACATTCAAACAAAAGGTTGGTGGGAGAAGGCGTGTGCCAGTTGTGCCAAATTAAATATAACAAAACAGGGCTAGGCTACAAAAGTAAAGAAACCAAAAAGCCTAGTCTACCTGGTCTAAAAAAGAGAACTTGGATACTTCAAAACAACAAGGGTGGCAACAACTGATAAACTAGTGTGTCTAACAAAGAAAAACTACATGGTGCAAGGTGTATAGGGATCCCTAGCTTACCTAACCAACCTCCCAACCAAACAATACCTGGCTAGAAGAGGTAGCAGCATTACACACAGAGAGAAAGAACAGCAGCACACTGCTCTTTTTAAATGGTCCTCTCCAACCTGATTGGCTGCTAGCTGGCCAATCATCTCCAGTCAGGTCCCGCTCACAGCACCTGAACAGACAGGGCAGAGGAGACAGCAGTACACAATACGCACACATGCTTGCATGTAACAATGAGTACAGTGGTAGTATATTGGTGCTCTTAGAAATCTATGTGTCTGGT